CATAGAAATGTTATAACGATTATTACACACAGCTTTCGAGAATACATGCAAAGTTAAAATTAATCAGATATAATGTAATAACACAAAATAAGTATAACCGACACTATTGTATAAGTCAATTTGGCTTATAAAATTGGAAAACTTTAATATAAAAAAGCATTTGTATACAGGAGGCATGGATTCATTCCATTTCAGATTACAACCTGTAAAGTTACCAACTGCCTTTAACCGTTCTCCATGCCTAACTGATGGGTTCAGAATAACATTTCTGTGAAGTCATCATGCATGGCCATGGGAAACTGGAGAGAGAATAGAATATAAGCCCCTTGAGTGTGCTTGTCATGGATTTCCATGAAGAGAAGATTTGTTTTCCATCTTCAATACGATTCTAGGATTTCTTCTTTTTTTACAAGGCGAACAGATTTACATTATCTTTGCAATAGGGCATGAGCATTTCATTACATCAGAAGTATTGCAATGAGAAGACATCCCAAACAAAGCAAACAGATTTACATTATCTTTGCAATAGGGCATGAGCATTTCATTAAATCAGAAGTATTGCAATGAGAAGACATCCCAAACAAAGCAAACAGATTTACATTATCTTTGCAATAGGGCATGAGCATTTCATTAAATCAAAAGTATTGCAATGAGAAGACATCCCAAACAAAGCAAACAGATTTACATTATCTTTGCAATAGGGCATGAGCATTTCATTAAATCAGAAGTATTGCAATGAGAAGACATCCCAAACAAGTTTATTGCTTCAGGTTCATATGAAACCTCTGCCCTTTTAAAAGATATTTATTGATAAAGGCACAAGCTCTAAAAATAAAGCATGATTCATTCACTGAGTAATTCTCCTCTCTCAAAGACAAACTACCTGTTCTTTGCTTTAAAAAGAAAGCAGTGTGTATTCACAGAGTACATCTGTGTTTTTCTTTTTGTTTCAATTTTAGGGTGATGTAATGATATTTATTCTCTCTGCATTAGGGAAAGTGTATGTTACCCAGTGTGTGTCAATATAATCTGAGCTGGATGAACCTTTTCAAATTTTTCTTTCAATTCATATTCGGATTTATTTTAAGAAAAAAGAATGTGGCAAAAGTCGGGAGACTATGTCATATTTACAGTAAAATACAAGAAAACATGAAATACATGTACATGTAAGTAAAATGTACATTGACATGTAGTAGTTCAATGATAACTAAAGAGACAAAGTGACTCCATGTATTAAACAGAAAATACCAACCATCTTTCTCCTTTTTCTATACCCCACCCGATACCCCCCCCCTCTCTCTTTCTCTCTCTTTCTCTCTATTTCAATGCTGCATACAAATAATATTTCAATAGTTTTTTTTATTGTACAGCATATTACCTGTCCTATAAAAATAAATTGTATCCAGCGGTCATCTGAAGGTGATTAGTTTCACTGTTTCAGAATCGTTTGATATATACGATGATAGTTAATATTAATGATGATGATGATGACGACGACGACAACGATAATAACAAACAATAAAAAAAGAAAAGCAAACAAGAAATTAAAAACCAAAACAAATACCCTGAAGTTACTTAAAGAGTTAGAGTGTTGATTACATCCTTTGAGATCTGTGTATTTCATAGTCATAATTAAAGATGGATGACTATTTTTATGCCTCCGCTACAAAGTAGCCGGAGGCATTATGTTTTCTGGTTGTCCGTCCGTCCGTACGTCCCGTTCTCGTGATCGCGTTATCTCAAGAACCAATTGATGTATTCCCTCCAAACTTGGATCATGTATGTATCTTACAGAGCCAATGAACTGATTAGATTTTGGGGTCACAAGGTTGAAGGTCAAAGGTCACAGGGCTCATTATGTATGCAAAAATAGCTCATGATCGCATTATCTCAAGTACTGGTGAATAGATTCCTGCCAAACTTGGGTCATGTATGTATTTTACAGAGCCAATGAACTTATTAGATTTTGGGGTCACAAGGTTGAAGGTCAAAGGTCACAGGGCTCATTATGTTTTCAAAAATAGCTTGTGATTGCGTTATCTCAAGAACCAATCGATGGATTCCTGCCAAACTTGGGTCATGTATGTATCTTGCAGAGCAAATGAACTGATTAGATTTTGGGGTCACCAGGTCAAAGGTCACAGGGCTCATTATGTATGCACAAATAGCTTGTGATCGCTTTATCATGAGAACCAATAGACAGATTACTATCAAACTCAAGACATGTATATGTATCTTGCAGAGTCAATGAACTGATTAGATTTTAGGGTCATCAGGTCGAAGGTCATGGGGCTCATTATGTATGCCTATAAATAGCTTGTGAGTGCATTATCATTAAAACCGACAGATGGATTACAATCAAACTTGAATTTTGAAAATTGCTTTATGGCGGAGGCATTATTTTCGACTGCACGCAGTCAAAATTCCATCTAGTTTATCTTCTAATCATTTCCTGGTGTTCTTTGTTTGTTTGATTTTTTGTTTCTATTTTCCATACAGACACACGTATCTTTTTTGTTCATGTACACAAAGCAAGACAACAAGTATAATTCCTTCATTTTGTTTTAAGAGCCTGGCTTGGAAGACTAAATATGACCTTGACAGGATTCATATGTTTGTCAGTTGCCTGTCCATGTACATGTAGGAATCATACTTGATCCTGAATTTGTATTTCTAGACCAGCCGGCCAATCAATATCATCAATATTCCACCACTAGCTGTCATGTTTTCAGGCTCATCCTTTGACTATTAACAATCATGCATTTCTTTTGCATTTTACAGCCTTATCCTTGGGATATGTGTACACAGGGCTCAAATTAATTTTGTGTCCAGGGGCGCTTTCACAAAAAAAAGCCCCCGTGAGCCTTCTCACAGGGGCTCTTTTAGTTCTGACAGGGGCTCTTATTTTAATACACATTTCCATTGAATTGGTACCCATGAAACTCCTAAATTCCTTGGTATTTTATCATTATCATTTAAAATTTGAGTCGGCATTTTCCCTCTTAGAAATGTACTTGTTACATACGGTAGCTGTTATTGACTTTTATCCCCGTGATGACATTCTCTCAATTTCTTCCCGTTCTTCACATAATGTCCTCCTCTTTATTTCGAGCAACCTTATTTACATTCTTTCTTTACTTTTAGTCTTTACCATATCCTTCCAAAACACAGGGGCGGATCAAGCTTTTTGCTATATAAGGGTGGGGGGGGGGGGGTGACCTAAATATGATGTGGAGCATCGTCCACGAGCCGCGTAGTGGCGAGGCGATTTTTGTTGTTGCTATTTTGAACCCCTGTTAGTGATGTTTTCCTGGCATCTACTGACATCTACTAATACTGTGTAGGTCTGGACACATGATAGCATTTTTCTATGCACATCACATTTTCACTTGGCAGCCCAATGGGGGGGGGGGGGGGGTTGAACCCCCTAAACCGCCTAGATCCACCCCTGCAACATTTTTGGTGATCTTCTTCTCAATATTGATTTACTGGTCGAGTTGCATTATTTGCTGGTCTTTTAGAATAACCAGATTTGCGCAATCCTCTCCAGCTCCAGCAGATTTAGGGCGTCAGCGTGCCCACCAGTACTACCGGCGCAGTATATAGCCATTGCTGATGGCCGCATTAGCTGCACTGCGAGTGTTTGTTGTATGTATCGGTAATATTCATAGAGATGGGAGAGATAGCGCCATCTAAGTTCCATTTGACTGGTTAAGGGTTGAAAATTGATACTCAATAGTGTGTTAAAGTTATATCAGAAAAGATAATCTTTATGTTATAATTCCACGGGGGCGAATTTTAATTTTGCAATCGCCTCCCTGAGCAACCTGACGGGGGCGATTATGGAGCTCACGGGGGGCGAATCGCCCATCGCCCTCATGTATTTTGAGCGCTGTGTGTACATGTACATGTGTTCATTACTGTTGGGGGGGGGGGGGGGGTGTGCACGCTGGAGTTCATATTTGCAATGATACTTTAATTGAAACTTGGAAAGGGATAATAATTGACAAATCTTTAGTCTTTACTCTTCTTTCAAAATAAAGTCTATGCAAGTTTAAAGTAGATGATGTCGTGAAACAAACGTTGTACTAGTACAGTGTGTATTAAAGTCATTTAGATTCAACCTGATTCTACATATATGTACTTACATCCGTGAAGCAGAGAGTGAGAAAATCAAAGTGACTGCATTCAATTTTTCAGTCTACATTGTACATGTATGAGGTTCATGTTCCATGAAGTGTTGTGTAAAAAAAGTAAAGGGAATTAAACTTGAGCCGAGGATATTTGTAAACAATATTTCTAACAAATCACTGATGAGTATTAGCTACAGTAGTTGATGATACTAGGAAATAAGGATTAAGGGCTCAATACTGTAATGTTGGGACTCACAGATTTAAAGTGTGGCTAACCGACTATAAATCATTATGGACGTATACATGTATACAAAAACTAAAGCCAGTACAAGTAACTGATTGTCAATTTGGGGTGGAGGCGGCCTTACATTTTCAGTGCCCATACATGTATGTCCTAGGCATATGTTAGTGTCAAGTCCTGTCTATGGTGTGTAAGAAAATTGTTTTGGATGATTAGACTAGGACGATCTAAAGATGACAGAAAGAGGTCCTATTGTCTTGAACTAAAACTACAAATAAGAGATTTGATTCAGAGAATTAATTGTCTTCAGTAGATATGAAACTTTTTAAAAAATCTTTTTGATGTCTAGCCTTAATGTGTATACTTCTGATAACTGGCTAACGCTATGAATCTATATGTACTGTCATTATTGTTTACAAATATCCGCCTCACACAAGACTGACGCCGTTTATATTTTGCTACAGTTGTTTTTGATTGCCTGATAATAAACAAAAAAAAAGTATTTTTTTCTTTTTCCAAGAGAAAAAACTTTCCTAGATATTGGAATGTGAAAGATGTTTTTTGATGAATGATGAGAAGTTATTGGCTTAATTCTTGTGTCCTTTGTTTGTTATTTTCATGTACAGGTCCAACAGTGTATGGGTTCTAGATGTGCAAGAAATGACCTGGAAAGAGATAGAGACAAGGAGTCATGATAAGCCCAGAGAAAGATATGGTCATGAACAGGTCAGTTAGCCTACTCATAATTTAGATGATCATCATTCCACATCGTGACATGTTGTGGAATGATGATAATAACTTTGGATTCAGAGCCCCCTAAACACCAGATGCATGGGGAAAAAAGGCAAACATTTCTGCACACATCATGACCATTTTGTTGCTGGAATGATGACATTATGTTTGGTGCCAGGAATTTATAAAAGGAAAATAAAAGCTTTAAATCACTAAATTGGCAACATGTTGAGATCCTAGAAATAAGTATTCATCAAACAGAATTTGCAGTATCTATACTTTTCAACATAGCTCATAACCATAATGATTGTTTTCGGAGACAGGATATTTTATTAGAACAATAAGCAATAAAAGGAAAAATAAATTATTGGCAATTTACAGAAGAAAACATGATCACTTTGAAATTGACCAAGACGTCATGTCTGACTTCAAAAGTTGTCCAGAATAGAATATGATGTCCCTTAGAAGCAAAGCAGAACCACATTCTGAAGTGATTCTAGATGATCTTATAAGCCCAATAAAAGACAAAACAATAAGTATTTGTGGGCTTGCTTCGTTCCATCGGCCCTTTTCGTTGGGTTGCGTTGTCCAGTTACACAAAATATCCTAAACACATATTCATGAATGGTTGTGTGCATCACTTTGGGTTGCACACAAGTCACACACTTTTTTGAAAACATGCCTCCATATTTGTGATAGGTCAGGCAGGCAAGTTGAATGCCAATAATCACAAGCCAAGATGCTCCTCGAGATAAATGTACAATTCTGAAAACAGGCCTATACAAGAAAGTGTCAGGTAAACAGGACCTAACACTTTCTCTCTATTATGATTTCAAGTGAATGTCACATACCAGGTATTGTGGATATATGGTAGAGTAAGGAAAGTCAGATTAGATTAATAACCCTTCTTGTTTTGAGCATCATCTCATCAAGTAGATAGGATTACAAGACAGACGATCTGTTTAGCAGTGCTCATGGCAATCATGTTTGACATTTCTGAGATGCCTCTAGCTTATGCACATGACACTCTACACACAGGCAGCCAGCCCTATAGCCTTGGGGTAGAAGGAGCAAAGATTATAATTTGATTTACAAGTGGTTGGCTCTGTGTTTATGAGGATGCATGTAGGGAGAGCATTACTAATCAATATTGTATCTAGGATTGGAACCATGTCTACTGCCTTCTTTGGTTTTATCCTTTGCTGAGCCAGTTGACATCAATGAATTTGAATTTTTCAATATCACTTACAACAATGTTACAAGTAGTATCAAGAGAATAGAATTTATAAAAACAATGTTCATTTATTTCCATGGTGTTGCAATTATTTGTAAATTTTCTGTGAACTAATTTGCACCTCAGCCAAAGATGAATGAGCACATGTATGCTATAGACTTTTCTCATATTGGTATTCTGAATGTTGAAATAATTCTCAGAAGGGCTTTATAAATGTCCTGTTAATGAATGCATAGTTCATCAAGGTGGTGATCGATGATAAACATGTCCTAATCATCGATCCCCAGGTCATTAATTTCTCTATCAATCTTTCAATTGGTGATCGATGATCACCATGCCCTAATCATCGATCCCCAGGTCATTAATTTCTCTTTCTATCTTTCAGTTGGTGATCGATGATAAACATGTTCTAATCATTGGAGGCTGTACCTCGTCTCAAGAGGTAAGTCATAACCAAGTAAGTATTCTCAAACAATCAACACAATATCTCTTCTATCTTTGTCTTTGTCATCCATGTATTGCTGGTGGATTTGTCTCTCTTGTCAAGTGGTAATGTTTTGGTTTTTCAAAGGGTCCATTGGAGGACCAATCTTTATCTACTCTTCCACTCTTTATGTTACCCGATGTGATTTTGATTTTTTCCCCCCTCAAAACTTAAATTCTTCTGTATAGTCTGCCCTGTGTGTATGTCATTGTTAATTGTGTATCTTTATTGTCAAGTATGTGACATTGTTAATCGTTTTGCACTTGGCAATCTGTAATTCTGTACTACGTTTTGTTTCTATTATGTACACACCTGTTTTTGTTTGTTTGTTGTGATTGTTTTCTCCAAAGTCTAACCCATGTGTTTTTGTCTTTGTTCATGAATTTGTATTCCATTTGTGTGGAATTGGGCTGGAGAGAATCCTGCAATGCTTTATTAATCATGAACTAGTTGCTGATTTGGTTGAAGAGGGCTTACCATTTACTTGAGTGATGTTTTCTCCCTGTAGAATAGGTTATATAGGATAATAGTCATTCAGGGGTTGTTTATTGGTGCCAAGTATCTTGGATAGGAGGCATCCACGTTCACATTCATATCAATGCCCTCTTTGCTGAAGAGCAACAACAGTAGGGAAATACTGTATCAATGTGCATCATTGAAGCCTTTTAATTCAGTCAGTCTATTTCCACATTTGAATATAAATAATGAATAAATACCCCATTTCTGTCTTTCTAGGCACTTCCTTCATTAAGAATTATTCATGTACCTTTAATACTTGAAATGATGGTAAAACTAGTGAAACCCAAACCAGAAGAACCCAATGTACATTGTAACTCAAATTCAAGACCTGTTTTTATATGGCACGGAATATCTAACTCATATAATGAGACTGTTGAAGAATCTCCATGAAGTGTACTCAATCATGGATAGCTGGGTAAAAGATAGACATACATGTAAATAAGAAACAAATAATTGATCTGTATACAAAGAGAAATATATTTGGCAAATATTTGGGAAATATGATGTTTTATAATGTCTATCAACCTGCAATGAATTGTTAAGTAACCTCTTTAGAAATCTAGCCATCTGATATTCCTTTTAAAGAGATGAACAAATGGTCAATAGTTCATGAGTGATATCCGTTGCCCCGGGTAACAGGCCGCATAAATCAATTGTGCTCAGATCCCCATTGGTTTATGTGTTAAATACTTTTTGTGCGAGCGTGGGCACCATACAGTGCTTGTTTGCGATTCCCAAATGATTGAAACCTTCAGTCATTTTTCAAGCAAAGATAAATAGACAGTTTCTCCGATTTTTTCTGCGATGTTTTTACCAATCTTTACTCAATAAAAGGTCAAGGTAAGAATTCTTGGTAGATTTTTGTTTCGATTCGGCATATAAAAGACATATCGACTGCTTTAATATTCAAGGCCTGGCTGTTTTATATGCTCTCGGGAACTTGCACATTCCCTTGAAGCAGTCGATATCTCTATACTACTTATTTCTTCTCCACTCCCATCCTCAACCCCATTCCTTCTGACTGCCTTATCCTTTGCTCTGACCTTTTCATCTCTATATATTCATCTGTCATTCCTAATGGCAACTTCAACTTTTGAAAATAGCCAATGCATGTTCAAGACCAGACTGCTGAGGGTTCTGAGTATAAATCTAATATAATTCTGTGACCAAACAACTTCATATGGCCAGCACTTTTCCCACGAGACTTGGCGTGCTAATATTCATTCGCACTACCATTGAGATTGGTACTCAAGCAGATAAACTGTGCTGCCCTATCCACTTAGAGCGAATCCTCATGAGATTTGAGATTTATGTTAATTTTATACAGTTGAGACAGGGCACCAATATCAGCTGTGTTTATAAAGGAGCTATTTGTCTGGCAGATCAAAAATGTTCACAAGTGATCCCCAATAGTCTGTAAATTGCACAAATCTCCCTTTTATCTGTACGAGAATATATTCCATCTCAGTAGATTCCGTGGTACAAAACTTGCTTTCTTCTGAATATTGTGCGCATGGAGGCTTAATATTTTTCAATTTTGAATGCCTCAATACAGTGTACATATCTTTTGATTCATTAAGCATTTCTTTTCTAAAATATGGTTTTAAAAAAAAAGAATAAAAAGTCGACTGTACATTTTAACGATTTTTGGGATGGCAACTTTTTTTAATAGCCTTATTGTCATGTTTTCTTTTTAAACTGATATCATGGTGATGCCTTGACTTTGGGAAGCTTTAATTGGTGTTAGTGTTTTTCAATTGTATAGATTTCAGCTAACAAGAGTAATGAAATATGTATATGGTAAGTTTTTCTTTTAAGCCTTGTATTATTGATATCTTATAAGACAGTATACTGACATGAATTAGTGTATGAAATTCTCTTTGGTAGCATGGCCTATTACATCTTTTGGATGTTGAATGTGAAAGAGGAGTTATATTACTTTCAGGCGTACTCACATATGAAGACATACAGGGGGTGTGCCTCTCTAATGGGTCCCATTTTCATGAAAAATCCCTAAACACGGGTCCCATTTTTAACAAATATACCATTAATATTGGGTCTGTTTTTTTTTTAGTTTCCAATTTTTTTTTCTCTCAGGTTTTTGCATGGCAAACACCTGAAAATTATGAAAAATGGGCCTTACTACAAGAAAAATCCCCCCAAATTACCCTTACAAATTGGTAGGCGTACCGTTTGGAGGCTTGAGCGGCACACGTACCCCCGTCCAAACCAAATCTGAGTTTTGATGAAATCAAGCCTAGAGAAGATGATGAGGAGCTACTGTTGGATCACCTAATTGCTCTTATACTCTTTTCACACTGGCAATATTTTGCTTAACCCCATACTATAGGTGGGGTTAAAGGGGGGGGGGGGGTCTTAGCCCCACCTATAGTACGGGTTAAGCCTATTCCACTTTCTGTTCAGACTGGTTTTTACCAAAGTGGGCTAAAGTTGGCTAACCCCACCTATAGTACGGGGTTAACTAACCCTGCAAAATAGCAGGGCTAACTCCGCAATTGTGGTGCTAACTCCTGCTAACCCCGCAATGGCGGTGCTAAGCAAATGAATGAGAACAGAAACGAAAAATAGTCCAGTACTACGCAATGGAGCGTATCGCAGCTGGCCAGATGCGAAGTATATCCAATCATAACATACACGATATCCGGGGTTAACGAAATGCAGTGAGAACAGCGGGAATTTTCTTATTCCGGAATAGGCGCTAGTACGGGACTGAAAACAGCGAGTGTGAAAAGCCAAAAAAATAGTCCGGAGTTAAGGATAGTACGGGGCTAAGCAAAGTACGGGGTTAAGCAAAACCAGTGTGAAAAGAGTATTAATGTATTGCACAGTATGTGTGTTTCAGCAGGACTTCATTAGAGATACACTATACCAAATATACCATTGATAATTGAGTGACATTTCTAGGTCTGCAGTATGTATAGACTTGCCACTGTGAATGGTTTCAACCATGAAGGTCTGTTGACTGAATGAGTAGCGCTTAACTTGGCAATAACTGTGATTCTAGATACACCTTACACAACATACTCTTGCTCATGCAGTATTTTGAACTATACAACATCTACATGTATGTGGAGCCAGAAAGGTATTAACTCATCATATACGCTTACACAAAGTTAACTAACGCCCTAGTTTCTACCTCTAAACAGATATGTGACCTAAAGGTGCAAATGCATGAAAAGGTCGCAAGTCTGAAACTTTAGCATACAGGAAAAAAATCTCTGAGTAGCTGCTAAGCGCATAGAGAATTAAGTATTTATTATTACGATTTAATTTAATTGAAAGTTATTATTATTATTACTATCGATTGATCTTTTATAGCATTGCTTGAATACAAAGGGATTATATTGGAATTAAATACACAACTTATTAATTATTTTTGGAAACCTTGGAAACTGTGGTTTCAGAAAGTATACAAGACAAAAGAATGAATTTTGCGCAAGAGACTGAAGTAAGGTGTGCCTGCAAATGCCTTTCAAAGTGTTTCATCCTGTTTTGGATAGCGATTTTTGCTTCTTATTATCTAGAAACAGCCAAAATATAAAGCATTTTTCAATGTTAATTCTTGCCGCATATAATTTGTTGGTGTCTTTATGAACCAATGAATCCGTTGTATATAATTATACGGATTTGTTAGGCCAAAGCAGCGCAGAGGAATTTCTTACACCTATTGAAAGAGCCATTTAAATAACTTGCTTCTCAATGTGTACAATAGGGCTGCTTCATTTATGATAAAGAAACATGATTGATCAAAAGATGTAAAACAATGTTACACTTTACATTTGATTAATTTAAAACACTTGGAGTAGTAATTAAAAGAAAACAATGGAAGAGAAAAATATGTAGTGTGAAAAACTGTGACAATCATTGTGATACACATTAGTCTAGTTTAAATATTTGTTTGTTTGAGAATGTATGACATATGAAGGATGAGAGAGGCATCAAAGTAAGGGCATTTACTCAAGTTAACATTTCACATAGATTTAATGCCTTTCTTGCTCTCAGATCATTTAAAGGATTCATTTCAAAGGTACTCCATGCATACCCTTTTCTCCAGCCATATGAACCCACTTAAAATGTTGACTCGTGTTTCAACATGAATTGAAGAAAAACATTACTCGAAGTCAGCTGAGTTTCAGGTTTTTAAGCAATAGAAAATCATGCTTCAGAGATTTGCTTGACAAGATATAATCATTTCAATGCAATTGTAAGAAGAATCTTTCACCAGGTAGACGACATCATATTCCATTGCATTTATTAGAGAGTGTTAGATGAAGAGTAGCTTGTTGAGAGACCTGTATCAGCCATTGATTGCACTACTGCTTAAAGGTAGACCTCAGGTGACGGTGAGGGTGACAAGTCAGATAGTATAATATAGTATAGTATTTATTTTCTGTTTTAAAAAACAACATATATACAAGTATATACATAGCGTTAATAAAATGGCTGGATAGCCCATATTCAACTGTGCCAGGCACGACACTGCTTGTCTTCCATGGGGTCCAGAAATCATATACATCAATATAAAACATGACGTATAATTATTTACTAAATTAAAGGATATAAAGAAGGTACACTACACAGTTATAAATGCTTAAACTCTACAAAATGGTAGTTGTGTGAAATGAGGAGACATATATAATACAAATCACACTGAATATCAAAAAAAGAAAGATATATGCTACAAATGTACAATTTGATAGATGATATGATGTAGGAGAGAAAAACACCTGTACTGGCTTGTCCAAGCTGATGTGAAACTGCCACCAGTTCCCCCCAGAGAGTGCTGTTAGTAACTTGCAAGAGCTACTGGTACTTACCCACCTTTGCAAGCAGCCTTCATGATTATGTTATTTAGAAGTGAAGGTGGTCATTGACAGGCAGCTACTACTATTACTAGTTAGTCAGAAGGAGCTTTATGGCATTAGGAGGATCAGTGTGTATCAGTCAAAGCAATATTCAGGATAAAATGTTCACTCAAGCCTGAGAGGCACTGCTTGATGTGATTTTTTAATGGAATGATATGACAAGTGAGATGTAGATTTAGTGCACCAAGGAAATATTTCCTGACATATTTATATGAAGTTGAACAGATTATGCAAAAACGTAGTGAACTTGAGTATATGGGAGTTGGTCACATCAACTTAGTCTTTTACGATTAGTTTTTATTTAATACAGATGATACAGGGCTCTTGTAATTTAACGTACCGGTATCTTATTTATTTTATCAAATCTGAAATCTCTGAAATGCTTGATATGTAAAGTGATATTTGTGTTTCTATTTTATAATTTTGATACCTTCATGGTCTCCAAAAACTGTCAAACACTATCGTAAAGCACTAAAGCTCTAGTATTTGCCCATTAAAATGAAGAGATTACTTAGTGTTGCACCAAATTTAAATGTATTTGAAATCAGGAAGTGTTAAAGAATTAATTTCAGTTTCATTTGATAGACGTCACCACTAGAGTTAAAATATGTACATGAAGCATTTTGTCAACAATCAAATGAAAGTGAAAACACGATTGGTTATGGTGATTAAATGATCATTGATGACTAAAGTAGCTGTGCGAAGATTTTAAAAATTGATTGGACAACTTTATCAAAATTCAATGCTTGGAAACATTCAAAGTAATGATTATGATCAATTACAAAACGCTTAAATACATCCCGGCATAGCACCCGAAGAGCTCTCCGAACACTGCTGAGATGTGTGACATCACAGGTTGGGCATGATTTGCACAAGTAGACAATGTCCCATGACATCTCACACATTTTCACCGCCTGTTTTGTCATCTTCTCTTCAGTCAATTCTCTTACTTCACTACCATCAGTCTAAATGTTTGATCTATTGCCTCACTCTAAATTCCGCGGATGGTATTTTTTTGATGAAAAATGCAGCGATGAAAAAAATAAAGGAATCCGTCGCTTGCAAATGAAATAAGACGCCATTGTATTTTCAGCTGCATACACCACTGTATGTTCGGCGTTTCAAGAAAGAACAAATGCCGTCCATGCTATCATTTTGGGGGATTTTTAGTTTGAAAGTGTGGTTTCTTTGTTTGTTCATTAACCCCTATCCTGTGTATTTACAAACAAAAGATGTTAGTTATCGGAGTCGGTTTCATATCCCTTTTTGAATGGTGTGAAATGCCATCACATTTATATACACTAAGTTCATTATAATTTGAGAAATAATAGCATTGCAATTATGTTCATTCTTTATGGGATGTCATCTGCTTGTGCAGATCATTCCCAACCTGTGATGCCACACATCTCAGCAGGGTTTGGAGAGCTCTTCTGGTGCTATGCTGGGGCCATATTTAAGCATTTTGTAATTGATCATAATCATTACTTCAAATGTTTCCAAGCATTGAATTTGATAAAATTGTCCAAAGTTTCACCTTTGCAATAATGAAAATAAATAATTTTTTCAAAATCTTACCACAGCTACTTTAAAGATACTATGTCCCTTTTGCAGCCAACCTCAAATTCTGTAGAACTTTGCAGGAATTATGAATATGTCATGTATGTCCTATCTGTGAAATTTAAACTTTAGCAGTGTCCTAATATTCAAATTATGCAAGGAAACCTGTTTACTTGCTAGACTTCACTGTCAGACACTATTGTCAGTATTGAGTGAGTGACTGGCTTTTTTCTTCTTTGGTAATAACATAATGAGATGTAAAGGATTTGTCTACATCAATAACCTACTTCTTGTAATGGCCAAAATTAAACTGATTGAATCTTTGCGCAGCATAAAACGTACGACCATGCGGTGCAATGGTCTGAAAATCAAGACTATTACTTATTGGCTCTATAGCTCCTAAGTCAATTTGGTAACTAATAGTCGTTATTTTCCCACTTAAAGACATTCTCAAGCCCCCTGTTTTTAAGGGGAGTTCTAAATTAGTATTATCTTTCAAATGCCATTGGAATTTAACCTTTTCATTTTTTTGGCCTGCAAATGGGACAAAGTACCTTTAAAGATTGTACTTACATGTATGAGGGTTTTTTTGCCAATATAATATATCTAAATAATTAATTTGGGTATTTTGTGCCAAAGCCATCTCTTTTGCTCCATCCCTCTTTTGGTAGGTATAAATATTAAGATCTGTATATACTGTCTTCTCTCTGTTGGATATTTACTATTGATATTAGTAAGATATGAAGTCTGATTTGATCAACTATTCTGGTTGTCAAGTACTCTTGAGATATTGGAGAGAGCCCTATGTAATGTGAAACTCTTCTCTCTTAATCTTTTTTTTTTTTTTTTTTCATTTATCATTTCTCTATCTGTCTGTCTGTCTGCATCTCTCTCTCTCTCCTCTCAGCATAATGAATATCTCTGTGTAACATGATATCTCTGAAGCTCCCAACTCTCTCTCTCTCTATCTCTCTATCTCTCTATCTCTGTCTCATCTTACTTTTACAAGCCTTTTCCATATTTTGTTCCATCAGAGTGCATGTACTGTATGTCCTTGTAGGACAGGAAATTATGCAGACAGAGATCTTTCTGAAAGAAGAAAAGACCTCTCCTTGAGAAGACAATCATGTGAATTAAGAGACAAGACTAGATGAGATAGTAAGATAGGAAAGAATTTAACCCAAAAATCAATCCAACATGGGCAGATTGTGTTTGGCAGAAGAAGCCAATCATGAGTGCCCACTACAATATTTTCAATTCCTCAAAATGTATTTAATGGGTAAATTGGTATTCAGTGTTTCAATTATTATTTCTACATTGATGCAGGATAATTTCAGTCTCTGTAATGTGTCTTGTAGAGGTAGGTTACTTCAGTAAATTGAGTTTACTTCAGTAAATTGAGTTTACCAACAAACCCTATGGAGAAGTACATTGTAACTTAGGATCTGTGTTAAAATGTATTTGGTATATGAGCAGTCAGTAGTGCACTTTGCTATGTACATAAAGCTATATAATCTAACCCTGTATAAAATGGATCTTGGAATTCCTTTGGTCCTTTAAATATGTATTTACGACAACTACGCTGAGTGCTTTGCGAATAAAAAGCTGCAGGACTCTATTTTGTAGTACAGCATGACATGTACATGTACCGGTATGTAGTTCTCATTCTTTGTACATGTATGTACATGCAGTGCATTGAGTGCAATTTAATTCAAAGATTGCAAAAAAATGCATTTGTTTATGTACCGGTATGTACATGTAGTTGAACTCCTAACACACATGACTTGCATTTATACCTACATTGTCTATACATGTCTAAAACAAAGTAATTTCATATTTCCTATCACATCGCTGTACACCACTTGTATGCAAGACCCCCCCCCCCAAAAAAAAAAAGAATAGGAAAACAAAACAGAAGAGAGGTGCGGGGGGGGGGGGGGTAGTAGTAATGTTTGCAGTTCAACCGCAAATCCTACTGTAAATGGTTGGCAATATACGTGTGCCGATTGGCAAATGGTGGCATACCAGGAAATGGGCCTGTAGAAAGGTTAACAGTATGTCTTCATCAGCTCAAGATTGCCAAATAGCCTGCTGTTTCTGATTTGGGAAATAAGCCTGAAGTTACAAATCACGTCTTCATCAGCTCGAGACTCGACCTCAAAATTATACAGGAGATATTTACAGAGAGCCATTCTTTATTTCCTCTAGCAAGATATTAATAACACCATCCATGGCAAATCGAGGGATACATACAGTATTTGCAAAATATACCTGACAGCTTTCGATCTAAGAAAAGATTTATAGAATGTAGTAATAAACAGCATGCATTCAGTGTGTATGATGGAAGGTAATAATGGGGCTAGACACAGACACAGCTCAATAAAAACATATAAAATGCAGAAGTCATGTAACAGTCAGAAGAATGAATTTCTTCAGCTTCAAAATATCATTCTATAAATGGATTGTTAAACAACAAAATCAGAAACAAAGCAGAGAAAAATGAGATGGTACGAGTTACATGGCTGCATATACACAGAAGAGGCAAGAAGAAGAGTCTAAAAGTCTAAAAAGCAAAGATTAATCCATCACTGTAGGGATTACTCTCACAGAATTGTAGATCTTTTGATAGGGTGTTTGATTTTTTAATTTGAGTTCTTCTTGAATTTGTGTGTACCTTTTGACTACCTACATGATGCAATAAATGTTAATATCTTTAAATGTCAAGTAATCTAGAATTCTTAAATCAGTGAAAAGCACTGCATGTGAAAGTTATCAAATTGATTCAAAATGAATGTCTCTCTGTTGCTGCATGTTGTGAATGTCTTGTATATAAAAGGATCCATTCTTCAGTATATAGTGGTCTTCAAACATGAAATACCATTATAGGAAAATGGTTTGAATATTAATGAATCCAATTCAATCTTGTCTAAAATCATGCATAAGTGCCAAAGGAGAATCATGCCATTAAACCACAATGCCATTGTATTTTGTTTTGTTGTAATTCTGCAGGCTCCTTTAGAGATCTTATCCGATGCTTGGCTTCTTGATATGAGTGGTCCTAAGTGGAAATGGCAAGAGATGAGAGTCTGTAATGAAGAGTTTGCAGCACCACAAATATGGCAACATCCAGCTTGCAAGGTAAGATCAGACTACTATGTCGGTCGGATATAGAAAGAGTAGTGATGGATGTATGTATGTAGGTGATGGCAATGAATGATAATCAGATTGTAATGGTGGTAGTGATGATGATGGATGATAATCAGATTGTAATGGTGGTAGTGATGATGATGGATGATAATCAGATTGTAATGGTGGTAGTGATGATGATGAATGATAATCAGATTGTAATGGGGCCAGGTAGTGATGATGATGGATGATAATCAGATTGTAATGGTGGTAGTGATGATGATGGATGATAATCAGATTGTAATGGTGGTAGTGATGATGATGGATGATAATCAGATTGTAATGGTGGTAGTGATGATGATGGATGATAATGATGATTAGGATGACAGTGTTTATGGTATTATAGAGAGTGGATCTGGTAATATATAATAATAGGCCTATTTATATAGCGCAGCTTCTATATGAATATACTCTAATGCGCTTAATACAAGATATCACATTATTACCCTGGCTGTAGCTGAGCTGCAATAATAAGGGGCTATTAAAAGCATTGGCAGAATTTCTTCCTACTGGGTACCCATTTACTTTACCTGGGTGGAGAGTGGCAAACATAGATTCATGTCTTGCCAAAGGACATTAGTGTCGCGGCAAGACGCCAACCACAAACCATGTGATCCACAGTCCAGTAACGTATCCGCTAGACCGCAACACCTCTACTAATTAATACATGTATGCGAGTTAAAGGTGACAATGGTTGGGACAATTGTTGCAGTAATGTAGGTGTTGGTTATAATGGCGACCTTGTTGATAGTATATTAACAGAACGCGGAAAAACAATAAAATCTGGGTCTTTAATCCCATGATTTGGACTGTAATGGAAAATCAGAGCTGCCAACCATTCCGTTTTTGCCGGAATTACTCTGTTTTTTCCTCAAAATTACTGTACTACATTTTTTCTTCATAAAATACTTTTTAATTTTTTTTTTTTTTTAACATACCGCATGTTAAACAACTGCCCTAAAATGGTGATTTGATCACAAATTCAATAGAAAACTAATTTTAAAACATACTTGAAGAGAAAAATATTCTCAAAAAGAATGAAATGCCGATAATGCCAAAAAAATACCTGCTAGTATGGAAAAAAACAGCATGATGAATGAACATGTCTGCATTGGAAGTTTGTCGCGCGTGGTTGTAAGTTTCAATTTCATGAATTCCTTTTTTTGGTTGAATTCCTTTTTTTGCTTGAATTCCTTTTTTTTGCCATCATGATTCCTTTTTTTGGTCGCACAAGGTTGGCAGCTCTGGATAATGATGATGATCATGACACTTTATTTATAATGAAGATGTAAGATAATGACTTAGGAAATATCAATTTTTCTATTCCGACAGGTTGGAGACACAGTACTAATCTACTCCACTCCCAGGCATCATAAACCCTATGGATTAAATCGCAAGCGCAACCATGTGGCCAACACACCGTCCCCCACCAGACCGCATACAAAACAGACCCATATGAGCGGCAGAGACCAAGGTCAAAGTTCACAGCGTGGTCAGAACAATCTTCAGAGTTTATTTCGTCGTGGTGATGGATCTGGTGGTTCAGGACGAGCTGCTGTGTCAGGTATTAAGGACAGTATGAACGGATGTAGTAATTGTGAAGTGAACAGTAATGCTAGAGATGCTTCAGCAGACAGTGTGAAACCTAAATACCATGGTGGTGCCAGGCCTAAAGTTAAGGTCATTAATGGATTGAAAGGACTTACAAAAAGTGTGACATTATTTGATGCAACGTTAACGGAGAGCACATCAGACATGGCTTGTTTGACGCTGTTGAAGTGTAAATGTAGACCTGAAGCACAGGCTAGTCCGTATCCATGGCCCACATCAGGACCACAGCCTAAGAGGTCTACCTTACAGCTTTATGTGCTAGACATCAGTCAAGCTACAACTCAAGGACAAGTCAGCTGGCTTCCTGTTCCTGATTCTACACATCCAGATTTCCATGAAAGACCAATATCAGGTGTGGTTCCTAGTCAGCATGGTCCACCATCTGAATCTACCATCATGGCTTCACTTACTGCAGCTAGAGGTGAACTGGTTATGTTTGGTGGACTTGTGGAGAATCGCAGTCAAAGTTTATTGAGAGGAAGAGGTTCTAGTGCCTCTTGGGATTATAAAGCAGTCAATAAGATCTATTTCTCTTTCTAGTCATCCTTGCAATCAAAGATTTCCCTTCCTGGCTACTGGACTTTGACCTAGCTCTTTGTAGCTCGATCATGCCTTCATATTTGTAGTTATAAATAGGCATAAACATATGAACCCATTGAATCTAATTGAATATTGATGGAAAGTAGATTCACTTTAATGTATTTTGATGACTAATCTTCAGGTAATCTCTGAAGGTCAAACCAACTCTGTAGGATCAGAATTTAGTGCTGGGAGCCGATGTACACCTGTAGCCTACATGTGCATTATCAGTATGGCCCTCTTCAGAAATTAACACATGTATTAAGTTACATGTGTGTTTATTGAATGCACAAATGCACAGGATATCAATATTTTTTGTCAGATATAACCATGATTTATTTAAGCATTACATGTACCTGGTTAGGATGCATGTTCTGAGATATGTAGGCTTCAGTAGAATTTAATGCCAAAGGCACCAATGTCCTTTGGCAAGACATTGATCTACATTTGCCACTCTCCACCCGAGTGTTGAATGGGTACTCGGTAGGCAGGATGCAAAAGCTAATGTGCTTAGATTAGCAAGTGTGCGCTTGTAAAAATGACGCCTGGCTGGAATGCTCCCCGGTGAGTGGAGAATGTCAATACATTGTGTCCGGGAAAGCCTGAATCCGATGACCAGGGTAATAATACAGTATATATCTGTAAAACGCTTGGGAGGGCGTGCGGTCCTGAAAAGCTCAATGTAAGAACCAACTATTGTTATTTAATGATAATAATATTATTGAGTGAATAGATTTAATACACACAATACATAATAAGTCAGAGGAAAATCAGCCAATTCTTGAAGTATTATTGATGTTTCTATTGATGTACATTTGCAATGTCTGTGGCACTGGAAGTAGAACTGTTGAGCCATGCAAGAAAACGCTGAAAGGCTTTCTCATATCATCATTGTTAACGATGAACACATTATGACATTTTAATACATCATAATTCCTTGGCTCTGCAGATGAATACGTATGCCCTACACGCTTTTTGGCTTTCAATACAGATTTGATTCCATTGTAAATTAATTATCGGGTAACTTTACCTCCGGACGTCTTCTGTTAAATCAGTAATCAATATTTCTAGAATGCTCATTGTTGGAAGGAAGAAGTGATATTGATACGATTTCATTAAAAGTAAAACATGTTAAGGTGACTTGACTATCAAATTAAAAGGCTGAAAGCTATAAGGGTCAAAAAGCCAGTATGTACAGAAGAGAAAATTTGATTCACTCACTCAGTAAGAACATGGAACCAACCATGTTGAACAGCTAACTGTCAATGCTTGCTTGATTAATGTTCTCTAGTCACATGCTCACGCTGTATATCAAGGAAATATCTCAAGAATGTATGTTGAAATAATGCCAGAATCATTTATTCTATAAACAGTTTATTGATATCTAGAGAGTTTCATGCATTCAGATGTAATGTTAGTGACCTAGCTTTGCTTCAGTACCTGACTGTAAGTTTGGGATATGTGTTTTCTACTTTTTATCTTTTGTGCAGCTATTCTGTAGGACGTTTGAAATCCAGATATTAACAATAATGTTTATAATTATGAGGATACGGCATGGTTTATCACGGGCTGAGTCACCATTCTCATCTTTTTTGCAACTATACAGAAACCATTAATGATTGTTACTCATTAGATACCACTTGTAATTATCCACACACACACACACACACACAAACTAGTATACATGTACATGTATAGTCAGTTCTGTTACTTGTCTAATGTAATGCTTACATTGTGTGCATTAGCTTCTATGATAGAAATACAGCACAGGGGCTGTGGATCATGTTCATCATCATGAAAGACCATCATTTAAAGTCGTAATACTTTAAGAAAGACTTTGAAAAGAAATAAAGCCTTTTATTAGCTGTCGCCATGACACCCTCGATATAAAACTATTTGAATCTAAAATTACCCTCCTTGTTGGGATGAATGCATCCTCTTGTATTGAATGGAAAGCTATTACTGCTTCTAGAGATTATTTTTGTTTCCAGTAGCTTAGAAGCATGTACCGGTATGTGATCTTTTTTGTGGTTCTGAAGGGGTTAAACATTGAAGGGTTTAGGGGTCATTAAATCTGTGCCATATGATGATATTGATCTGTGCATTAAGGATGCAAACTCGTAATAGGACCTTGCTTTTACCCTCAAGATTGAAAATAATGGTATTAATTTGGTTTCCTTTTCTCACAGCCTCTCAATCACCTTTTCTTTCTTCTTTGTTATGTTCTTGTTCTTCTTTTCCTCTCTCTTTATCATGCTTTTATCATTTGTCTTTGAAAACCTTTCTTTCTTTTTGATAATTCTGATTTGTGCATATAATTACAGTCCCTCTGTCTTTTTTTTATTTTGGTTTCTCTACGACTCTGTCTTTATCTCGATCCGTCTTGTGATCTGTCAATATAAACATCCTGGTTGTGTTCTATTTCATTTATAAGATTACATCTTGTTTCGATCCCTTTACAAGTATGACTTGATCTGTAATTACTTTGATGATAATGTACCTAATCTGAGAATGTTGTGTCCAATGGTTTTCAGAAGTTACATGCCTGTATTTTGTGACTTGACCGGTTTACACATACATGTAGCATACCGGTAGATTCAAATCAATATTGGTTTTATGACAACTGTGTTCTAATGGTGATGATATTGATAATGATATGAAGTTTTGTCTAACATACTCTGATTACTCAAGTATGCGATTATAATAACCTGCATGTGCTAATACATTTGTTATGAGCCTAACTGGAATTTGACAAGCTTGTAGTGTGCATATTATGTTGAAAACATGTAGATTTAGTTATAACCACTATTGTGCAATTGATAGGAGCTACAGAAATGTTAATATTATACATGTAAGCACTCACTGAATCTGTAATGCACCATAGAAACCATATAAAAGTGGAGTAAATAATGAAGTTTGCTCATAATCAAGAATGAGTCTGACACAGATTGACAATGGCTCATGGAAATGTGTGTATTCCAATCAAGTACCAAGCTGATTTAGCAAACTATGCCTTTTTGAAATTTCTTTTGGTCATAGAAATATGTCTTTTTGCTGATGAAATGTAATGTATAGACTCTTAATACAAACACTTCATACAAACACTTCATGCACAATAGATATTGCATGTATTAAAGCACAAGTATAGTCCAGATTACTTGTACAGAATATCAGTATTTGAAAATCATTCAAGTTTCACAAACACAGAGAATATATATATATATATAAACAGTCATTTCATTATAATTGGTCTTCTCAGTATTTTGTTATTTATTTTTTAAGTATAATTATGTACCTCTTTCAATGTGTTATTATTATTTTGACGGCTTTGGAGGAGTGGGGGGGGGGGGGGGTAGGGCATTGCCGTTAAGATGGATTTAAGCAAAAAAGAAATGTTCAAACTCGTGTTTTTTCTTTCTAAATCAGTCTTACAGTGTATTGGGTTGTGGTTGCTTTGTCTTGCCAAGGGTATTAACCATTGAACAGCTTTTCATTTGAGCAAACCATCTATATTTTGTTGTATTTTTACATTAAATATTTTGAATTCTAAGAAGTAGATTACAGCTATACATTGTTAGGAGAATGTAAAATAAAATGCTGAATTGCTGATAATAGAGCGAATCGAGTTGCATTATTATGCTATATCAACCCATCAAAACAAGACAGAGATAAGTTTTCTTGCTGGTAGTAACACATTAATACCACAATGTAAAGTGAAACTCAAAGACAATCTCTTTGTACAGATGTGAAATAAAACAAGTCTTCTTATATATATATATATATATATATACATACATATATATATATATATATATATATATATATATATTTTCGCTTCCGGGGTTGGGGCCATAGCATGTGTCACACAAAAGTCTGTATTCTACTAATTCAATTTAACCCAACCCGAGTTTAAGATTACATAGACTTCGGTCTAATTTCCTTTATAAATCAAACCATAATTTTAACTAAAAGCTTAAACCCAACACCAGGTTTATATTTGAGAAGAATACACAGCTACCAGTTTGAAATGTTCCTTTTCAAACATTTTGCAATCTATTGAAGAAAAAAATGCAATGTATAACATGCCTGATGGATTTGTTACTGAAACAAAAAATATATATTTACTTTACTAAATACATGCAAATAAGTATGTTTCATATTGTAAGATATATTGCAATGTATTTCAATGCATAAAGTCAAAGATTAGATGGTGTTAATGCATTCAAATAGGCAATCCAGTAGCATTGTTTTATTCAGATTGAAGAAATTTTAAAATAATTTCAACAAAATGTGTAAAAAAATTATGTATCTCAACTTCATATACTCAAATGTCAACGTAGATCTTGTGTATTATAGTACATTCACACTGTAAAGTGAATTATTATTCTTGTAAAAGTGCTGTTTTCATTAAAATTTCTAAATGTAACATAATATGAACTTGCTTTGAACCCCACTTTGTAGAGTGTCTCAGTAATATTTTAAGTAATTTACATGGCACGCAGATGTATTTGAACATTTTCACATGCATGCAGGTGAAAGGAAAGATTCTCCTGGTGCAAATTTGGTGGTTAAACATTAAATAAAATATTGTACCAGGACTTAGTCCCATTTCAAGAAGAGAATTCGGTTGTGGAACTTTTCTTGTGTGTTGTCAATATGTACATTGTAGCTTTGACCTTTGGTTAGATTGGGGTACATGTAAATAAGGTTTAGGTGGCCAAACACCTTGAACATCTATGGAACTGGAACTATGGGTAATCATTATTATTCATCAGTATCAATATCACAATACCCACCACCATTCATCATCAGAACCATCATCATCATCATCAGAACCATTATCAGAACCATCATCATCATCAGCAGCATCATCAGAACCATTATCAGAACCATTATCAGAACCATTATCATCATCAGAACCATTATCAGAACCATTATCAGAACCATCACCATTCATCATCAGAACCATCATCATTCATCATCAGAACCATCATCATTCATCATCAGAACCATCATCATCATCAGAACCATCATCATCATCAGAACCATCATCATTCATCATCAGAACGATAATCATCATCATCAGCATCATCAGAACCATTATCAGAACCATTATCATCATCAGAACCATTATCAGAACCATCACCATTCATCATCAGAACCAAATTGAGACAATGACAAATCTGCCCCCCCCCCTCTCCCATAATATTATAGACTGTACATGTATGTCTTTTTTAAAGTATAATTATTGGCCAGCACAGAGTAAGGAATTCCAATGCTACATGTATGTAACATTAAAGATGTACACTTATTCATAAATCTTTTAACCCTATGTTAACTGGGGGGGGGGTCAATTTGACCCCCCCCTGTAGAAATTTCGCGTCTACTCCGAAACCGCGGCAGATATGAAATTTTCCTTTCATGACTTTTTACTTTCGAGTCTTACGCATCTTTTAAAACGATTTTTTCGAAAATCGGACCTACGGTTACAAGGTCACATGACCTTTTGTCTTTGCATGTCAGCCCAAAAATCGCTCATTTTCGTGATTTGTGTACAAAACATATGTAAAAGTCATTTTTCCTAAAAAACAGATCAAACATGAGTTATTGGGTCTTGTTTAAAGTTTAGGTGGTTGTTTTGGGAGTCATTATAGTTGAATTGTAGTAAGAAATGAAATAAAACAACAAAAACAATGAAATACATAAGTTAAAAAAACAAAGAAATACATAAGAAATTATCAAAACAAGGGATAACATAAGGAATAAGCTGGCTCTTCCAAATTTTGTTGTCGTATTATTATTCATAATGGTCTAATGAATATATGTAGTGAAAAAGAATGCTTAAATATGAATAATATATGATTTATGGGTAAAAATGTGATTTTTATGACTTTACTTGCATAAATTACCATAAATATGCAAATTAGTGAATTTTTCAGAAAATTGAAATTACCATAGTATTCTGTACACTTCAATTGACATGCGTGCAAATTTTCGCGGCGATCGGCGGTGAAACGGCCGAGATCTTAGGGGGGGGGTCAAATTGACCCCCCCCCCCAGTAAAAACCTGGTCTGAAATAGCCCAGTTAATATAGGGTTAAGGGGGAAGTCCACCAGATATTATCATGGTTAAAATAAAAGCAGTAAAATGAGAGATAACAAATTAGTGACAATTTTAGCGAAATTCGATTAAAAATAGGAAAGTAATGAATGTTCTCATCAATGAAACACAAATTGGCAACAAATTTGCTTTGTACAGAAAATTGTATGAACTTTCTGTTTTAGTTTTTGATGAGGGTAAAAGACTTAATTCATAGGTTTTTTTTATAAAAAAACATATTTGCAAAAATTATATTAAGGGTGAATGTATGTTTGAAAATATACATTTTTGAAGTGTTTTTTGTTTGGGGCAAATGGGAGGCCGGGGACCTTGCAAGGTAATGATGTATATCACAGATTTGCCAATTTGTGTGTGATTGATCGCATCTTCATATACGGTACTTATAACTTTCTTATTTTTAATCAGTTCTGCTCGAACTTTCAGTGACCTACTTCTACTGAAACCAACTTAATAGGGTGGACTTCCCCTTCAAACTGTAGTTACTTGTATAAATAAACACTGGTATACCAGGAAATGCTTGTTAGTCAGATGACCATCTGTTTCATGCATACATTTACTGGATATTCACTTAGTATGTCCATAGTACAGTACAGTACTGCATCATTCAACAAAACAGGATATGAGAATGGCCATTGATTATACATATTTGAGAATGCCTTCAAAAATTCAAAAAAAAAATGAGAGGAATGCTTTTTTTCTAATCAATAAGGGATGTGAACATGTGAACAAAAATGCATGAAAGTATCTTACTTAATCAAGAAATTACAGTTAAGAGTGATGCACTAAATATCAGCTATCCCTTTCACTGTGTGTTTAATAGCAAGCTTCCATACTATATACTTCCCCTTTGTATCTAGATCCTCATATCATGATATCATCTCTATGGAATTTATGTATTATAGTCATACATGTACACGAGTCCTGTTTGATGAAATCCTCATAAAAGATATCCCAAACATGTTGCACTGAGATCTAATTCTACTCTGATATTAAGTGGGTTTACATAGAAGCAGAAAAATGATAGGAACAGGTCAGTGCAGTTCGAGCAAAATTTGATTAAAAATAAGAAAGTTACACATTTGTAAAGTTGCGATCAATCAGGTTTCCTCCCATTTGCTCTGTACTACTAAATGTCCACCTTCAATTTAATAATCATAATAGTGGGTTCTTGTACAGCGCTCCTGTCTGTCAGACTTGACACTCCTGGCGCTCCACAGTTAAGAAAATGTTCAATCATACATGCACTCTAAATATAATTCTGACGAGTATGTTTCTACACAATCCCTGTATGAAACAAATATATTCTATCGTCAATAAGTAAGAAAAGGAAAGTTTATGAAATTTCTGTACAAAGCCATTTGGAAAGGACCTCACAAGATACATCACACTTGCCAATTTGTTATTTCGCTGATGACAGATTTTACTCAAACTTTTACTGGCCTGTTCCTGTCATCAGTTTGCTTCTATTTAAAGCAACTTAATATCAGGGTGGAATTCTAATTAATGGAATCCCAATTATCTCCCACGATTTTGATGTGATCATAACTGGGTTCGAGCTGATAATGTTTCCCCAAGGAATGGTCCTGGGTAGGGGCTACTATCATGACGATTCTTCTGAGGGGGCATCTTCAACTTTTCTTCGTTTGGCAAAATGCTCTATCCGGTTCTCCAGACTCTCTGAAAAAAAGGCAAACCCAACACAATGCAAATTAAATTACCAGAAGAATAAATAAAAAGCTAGTAGTTGTTCTGAACAGTCTGCAACAATCATGTACATTTTCACTGTAAAGATTATTGTACACATTTCTTTGCGAGCCAATGATAAGAACATACATTGTACAAGTATATATTTTCAGCCAGAGTGTTAGACTACTCATTATGTTGTTATGTAGTTTGATGGTAATACTCAAATGATGGCTGATTTTACTTAATTATTTTACCAAATTCTTTGCCCCAGATCAGTAAATATTAATCAAAGAATATCCATCTTATAATGTGCTTTCATTACACTGTACTGTACTCACCTCCCCTTTTCCTGTCTAATAGTGGTCTGTGATGTTTAGATGGTAAGCCTACAACGAGACTGGTAGCCTGCCTCTGTATAGGTGGTCTGGCATCACACCAACGAATAGTCTCATCTGTAAGAAGTTTGATATCAATCTATGCAAATCAAGGTACATTTATTATCAAACACAAGTTCAGAGCACTGGCACTGCACTGAGGATTTAGCTCTTAATTTTCATATGACAAAATAATCACAAACTAGAGACAAGTACAATACCCCTACGTATCCATTCAGAATGGGGTTAACAGGCTGGGTTACTTCCTTAGATCCAGCTAGTTCAATCATATTGACGATTGATGATGAAGGGGAAAAAGGTTGGCATACAGAATCAATAGCTTTTCCCCAGATCCCCAGACTCTTTTTTTGTGTTAAATAATAAACCTATCAAATTAGGATTTTATTTCAATCTTTGATTTAGTTTGATATTATCTAACTATGAAAAAGCAAATTGTAAGGTGTGACGAAATGGGGGCTTTTTAGTGGCACCAACCCCAAACCCATGACTAAATTATTGACAGTTAAAGGGAAACAAACCTGTATAATATTTATTTGATTGAGTGGTAACAGGAACGGTTGTCAATCCTTCTAACATGGCACGCATCATGGATGCCCTGTGGAATATAAACATTCTCATCTTTAATATATCATTTCAAAAGTTTCTCTCATTATGTATCTCACAAAAATTGTATTTGCAGTTTCATTTGTTCAACTTCAATGGTCACATTACTAAGAATACAGCCTAACCTACCATATACAATTTACCAAATCAATGCTGACTTTGTTTTGAGTTGAGAGATCAATCCACGTTTACGATTTCTATGAATGTCCTCAAACAAAAAATTCATCAAAATACATTTCCCTCCAAACTAAAGCTGAATGTTTTCTTAGCAACCCCTGAACATGTTGCAGTGCATACCTGATTTGTATCAATCCATGTGTACATACCAAATTCTGTATGCAGTGATAACAGACCCCTAAATCAGAGCACATGTCCATTAACACATGCACAAACATACTGTTTCTCTGCATGTACGTACATGTAACTTTATGGATATGTTTGAAATTGTTTGAACAGGGTATCTACCTAACACATGTATACTGGTTCTCTGCATGTACATGTATGTAACTTCTTTATGGATATGTTTGAAATTGAATGAACAGGGTATCTACCTAACCATGTGACCAGTCCACATTTCTTGGAATTGATTGATGTTCTTCTCATGAATTGCTGGAATGAAACAGATCAAAAACATAGAATAAGTGGAACATAAACAATGTGCTTAGATTAGCAAGTGTGCACTTGTAAAAATGACGCCTGGCTGGAATGCTCCCCAGGGAGTGGAGAATGTGCATACATTGTGTACTGGTAAGCCTGAATCCGATGACCAGGGTAATAATATATATATATCTGTAAAGCACTTTGATAGGGCCCTCCTGAAAAGCGCCATATAAGAAATAGTTATTATTATTTTATACTCTTACACAACTTGGCCACATTACTTTTAAATAATTGATCAACATTGCCTTTCTGATTGATTTTAATGCATAGGTACGCCTACAGTTAAGACAGTGACCATTCAATCTTCTTGCTTTAATACACACACATGTAGCTTGGTTGGGATCTAAAGTCAAGTACAGACTATCCAATCCTTTGGGCAAAAAACTAAAGGAGCCAGAATCAGATGAATTAAATGTATACAAACACCTATGTTTGTCTGAATTTGAGTCTGCAATTGTAGTAGTTTCAATTTCTCTATTACCCTCACTACTGGTCTTATTTACATGTAGATCTCTCATAACTCTAATGAATTGATCGTTGCGCTGATCCCTGAAAAATAAAGTAGAGGATGTGCTTAGTTGGTGTGTAAGGTTCTAAGACAATCCCATTATCTCTGCAGTCTGCACAGGAATGTCTAAATATTGCTAATCCTCCTTTTGTCACCTTGCATAACATCTTGTTCTTCAGGTAATTAGTGCTTAACAAAAAGACTACAAACTTTTACGGAAAATTCTTCGGAACTGGACAGTCTTCTCCTTTCCATTAGGTTTGAGATGTATTAGTGGTATTTCATTCATATATTAAAAAGGAAATTGGTATCATCACTAGCAGCAATTAGCTTACATTGATCATATCTCCATGATATTCCTTCATAGGCACAATCATAGAGAACCAGAGGAAAGTCTGCTGCCATTGCATACTGGGGTTTACATGGCTCATTCTCCACATCTAGCAGCTGATCAATTATCTGCAAGAATAACAATGCCATTCAGTCAACAATATCCTTTACTTTTACAATCATGAGACAGAAGAAAGCAGTAGGTAATACTAATAGAGGCAGAGACAGGTACAATATATAGCTTCTCAAAAATGCCAATAGAGATGGGACAATAATATTTTGACAATTCTTGCTATTGCCAATACGCCTAAAATTCCCTGGATGCAGACACTTGGAAGTAATTTTGAACCACTTCACGGACTTACATACTTCTGGTGTACATCAGCGCATTTGCGGTACATGAATTATGTATGTGCAATGTACGCAAGCTATTTCTAGGTTCTTTAATGTATGTGACGACGGCAAAAAAAAAGAAGAGAAAGATACCCTAAATCATTTCGATGACCAGATTGAAACAATACAAGGCCATTCTCAAAACTTGAGAATACCCCACCAAAACGTAGTTTGTTTATTGGTCGTCCAACGAGCCACTGAACCCTTTATCGTAGTCCCATTCGTTAGTATTTTAGACGAGTTTTCACACTTTCCAACAAACGCAACCAAAGAAAGTTGACATTATTATTTCTATTCTTCTACTTGCTCTTGCCCATCACACACCAAAATATTTTGTTTCTAGAGTATGGTGAACAATATTTTCATATGTTTTTTGTAATGATCCACTCTTGAAATCGCTTGAAAATTGTGATTAATCGCTATGATTACACCCCAAGACACAAACAAATAGACCGGAAGAGACTTGGTCACCAAACTGTCCCATACTGCATAAAATGAGGCCTGAACACAACATACAGGTATTTCTAATATATATGTCATAGCGGAAATTATGCCTTGAAATCATAACATGTCTTGCTTTCATGTTATTCTAATGCCACTCAGGGATTGAAGAAGACTTTTTGTGGAGAGAAATGCATTCTATAAATCATGATAGCCCCTATCACAGTGCACCAGTAACTACTCCCAAGACTTCATATTCAGCCATTAAACAACTGGGCCTTGCAAAATATATATGATGATCAACTCATTTAACTCAATACATGTAATTATTACAATCCAAGATAGCAATGATGATGGGGGTAACAGACAGTATGACAGGGGGAGAGAGAGAGAGAGAGAGAGAGAGGGAGCTGGGGTAGTATCCAAAAGAAGGTCATTGACCTTCACCCCGGCATGTCATGTTTCTTCTCACCTCAGGCTTCTCCTTGTGTTGTCCAATCAAGAAGAGGATAGCTGTGATACATCTGACTTGGTGATAGAGGAAGGCTAGACCACTTATAGTGAACTCACACATCTGAAAGCCACCTGAACTATAATAGATAAACAATACTGTGATCATACATCTGACTTAGTGATAGAGGAATGCTAAACCACTTATAGTGAACTCACACATCTGAAAGCCACCTGAACTGTAATAGATAAACAATACTGTGATCATACATCTGACTTAGTGATAGAGGAAGGCTAGACCACTTATAGTGAACTCACACATCTGAAAGCCACCTGAACTATAATAGATAAACAATACTGTGATCATATATCTGACTTAGTGAAAGAGGAATGCTAAACCACTTATAGTGAACTCACACATCTGAAAGCCACCTGAACTATAATAGATAAACAATACTGTGATCATACATCTTACTTAGTGATAGAGGAAGGCTAGACCACCTATAGTGAACTCACACATCTGAAAGCCACCTGAACTATAATAGATAAACAATACTGTGATCATCCATCTGACTTAGTGATAGAGGAAGGCTAGACCACTTATAGAGAACTCACACATCTGAAAGCCACCTGAACTATAATAGATAAACAATACTGTGATCATACATCTGACTTAGTGATAGAGGAAGGCTAGACCACCTATAGTGAACTCACACATCTGAAAGCCACCTGAACTATAATAGATAAACAATACTGTGATCATACACTGTACATCTGACTTAGTGATAGAGGAAGGCTAGACCACTTATAGTGAACTCACACATCTGAAAGCCACCTGAACTATAATAGATAAACAATACTGTGATCATACATCTGACTTAGTGATAGAGGAAGGCTAGACCACTTATAGTGAACTCACACATCTGAAAGCCACCTGAACTATAATAGATAAACAATACTGTGATCATACATCTGACTTAGTGAAAGAGGAATGCTAAACCACTTATAGTGAACTCACACATCTGAAAGCCACCTGAACTATAATAGATAAACAATACTGTGATCATACATCTGACTTAGTGATAGAGGAAGGCTAGACCACTTATAGTGAACTCACACATCTGAAAGCCACCTGAACTATAATAGATAAACAATACTGTGATCATACATCTGACTTAGTGATAGAGGAAGGCTAGACCACTTATAGTGAACTCACACATCTGAAAGCCACCTGAACTATAATAGATAAACAATACTGTGATCATACATCTGACTTAGTGAAAGAGGAATGCTAAACCACTTATAGTGAACTCACACATCTGAAAGCCACCTGAACTATAATAGATAAACAATACTGTGATCATACATCTGACTTAGTGATAGAGGAAGGCTAGACCACTTATAGTGAACTCACACATCTGAAAGCCACCTGAACTGTTCATAGATAAACAATACTGTGATCATACATCTGACTTAGTGATAGAGGAAGGCTAGACCACTTATAGTGAACTCACACATCTGAAAGCCACCTGAACTATAATAGATAAACAATACTGTGATCATATATCTGACTTAGTGAAAGAGGAATGCTAAACCACTTATAGTGAACTCACACATCTGAAAGCCACCTGAACTATAATAGATAAACAATACTGTGATCATACATCTTACTTAGTGATAGAGGAAGGCTAGACCACCTATAGTGAACTCACACATCTGAAAGCCACCTGAACTATAATAGATAAACAATACTGTGATCATCCATCTGACTTAGTGATAGAGGAAGGCTAGACCACTTATAGAGAACTCACACATCTGAAAGCCACCTGAACTATAATAGATAAACAATACTGTGATCATACATCTGACTTAGTGATAGAGGAAGGCTAGACCACCTATAGTGAACTCACACATCTGAAAGCCACCTGAACTATAATAGATAAACAATACTGTGATCATACACTGTACATCTGACTTAGTGATAGAGGAAGGCTAGACCACTTATAGTGAACTCACACATCTGAAAGCCACCTGAACTATAATAGATAAACAATACTGTGATCATACACTGTACATCTGACTTAGTGATAGAGGAAGGCTAGACCACTTATAGTGAACTCACACATCTGAAAGCCACCTGAACTATAATAGATAAACAATACTGTGATCATACATCTGACTTAGTGATAGAGGAAGGCTAGACCACCTATAGTGAACTCACACATCTGAAAGCCACCTGAACTATAATAGATAAACAATACTGTGATCATACACTGTACATCTGACTTAGTGATAGAGGAAGGCTAGACCACTTATAGTGAACTCACACATCTGAAAGCCACCTGAACTATAATAGATAAACAATACTGTGATCATACATCTGACTTAGTGATAGAGGAAGGCTAGACCACTTATAGTGAACTCACACATCTGAAAGCCACCTGAACTATAATAGATAAACAATACTGTGATCATACATCTGACTTAGTGAAAGAGGAATGCTAAACCACTTATAGTGAACTCACACATCTGAAAGCCACCTGAACTATAATAGATAAACAATACTGTGATCATACATCTGACTTAGTGATAGAGGAAGGCTAGACCACTTATAGTGAACTCACACATCTGAAAGCCACCTGAACTATAATAGATAAACAATACTGTGATCATACATCTGACTTAGTGATAGAGGAAGGCTAGACCACTTATAGTGAACTCACACATCTGAAAGCCACCTGAACTATAATAGATAAACAATACTGTGATCATACATCTGACTTAGTGAAAGAGGAATGCTAAACCACTTATAGTGAACTCACACATCTGAAAGCCACCTGAACTATAATAGATAAACAATACTGTGATCATACATCTGACTTAGTGATAGAGGAAGGCTAGACCACTTATAGTGAACTCACACATCTGAAAGCCACCTGAACTGTTCATAGATAAACAATACTGTGATCATACATCTGACTTAGTGATAGAGGAAGGCTAGACCACTTATAGTGAACTCACACATCTGAAAGCCACCTGAACTATAATAGATAAACAATAATGTGATCATATATCTGACTTAGTGAAAGAGGAATGCTAAACCACTTATAGTGAACTCACACATCTGAAAGCCACCTGAACTATAATAGATAAACAATACTGTGATCATACATCTTACTTAGTGATAGAGGAAGGCTAGACCACCTATAGTGAACTCACACATCTGAAAGCCACCTGAACTATAATAGATAAACAATACTGTGATCATCCATCTGACTTAGTGATAGAGGAAGGCTAGACCACTTATAGAGAACTCACACATCTGAAAGCCACCTGAACTATAATAGATAAACAATACTGTGATCATACATCTGACTTAGTGATAGAGGAAGGCTAGACCACCTATAGTGAACTCACACATCTGAAAGCCACCTGAACTATAATAGATAAACAATACTGTGATCATACATCTGACTTAGTGAAAGAGGAATGCTAGACCACTTATAGTGAACTCACACATCTGAAAGCCACCTGAACTATAATAGATAAACAATACTGTGATCATCCATCTGACCTAGTGATAGAGGAAGGCTAGACCCACTTATAGTGAACTCACACATCTGAAAGCCACCTGAACTATAATAGATAAACAATACTGTGATCATACATCTGACTTAGTGATAGAGGAAGGCTAGACCCACTTATAGTGAACTCACACATCTGAAAGCCACCTGAACTATAATAGATAAACAATACTGTGATCATCCATCTGACTTAGTGATAGAGGAAGGCTAAACCACTTATAGTGAACTCACACATCTGAAAGCCACCTGAACTATAATAGATAAACAATACTGTGATCATCCATCTGACCTAGTGATAGAGGAAGGCTAGACCCACTTATAGTGAACTCACACATCTGAAAGCCACCTGAACTATAATAGATAAACAATACTGTGATCATACATCTGACTTAGTGATAGAGGAAGGCTAGACCACTTATAGTGAACTCACACATCTGAAAGCCACCTGAACTGTTCATAGATAAACAATACTGTGATCATCCATCTGACTTAGTGATAGAGGAAGGCTAGACCCACTTATAGTGAACTCACACATCTGAAAGCCACCTGAACTATAATAGATAAACAATACTGTGATCATACATCTGACTTAGTGATAGAGGAAGGCTAGACCACTTATAGTGAACTCACACATCTGAAAGCCACCTGAACTGTTCATAGATAAACAATACTGTGATCATACATCTGACTTAGTGATAGAGGAAGGCTAGACCACTTATAGTGAACTCACACATCTGAAAGCCACCTGAACTGTTCATAGATAAACAATACTGTGATCATACATCTGACTTAGTGATAGAGGAAGGCTAGACCACTTATAGTGAACTCACACATCTGAAAGCCACCTGAACTGTTCATAGATAAACAATACTGTGATCATCCATCTGACTTAGTGATAGAGGAAGGCTAGACCACTTATAGTGAACTCACACATCTGAAAGCCACCTGAACTGTTCATAGATAAACAATACTGTGATCATACATCTGACTTAGTGATAGAGGAAGGCTAGACCACTTATAGTGAACTCACACATCTGAAAGCCACCTGAACTGTTCATAGATAAACAATACTGTGATCATCCATCTGACTTAGTGATAGAGGAAGGCTAGACCACTTATAGTGAACTCACACATCTGAAAGCCACCTGAACTATAATAGATAAACAATACTGTGATCATACATCTAACTTAGTGAAAGAGGAATGCTAAACCACTTATAGTGAACTCACACATCTGAAAGCCACCTGAACTGTTCATAGATAAACAATACTGTGATCATCCATCTGACTTAGTGATAGAGGAAGGCTAGACCACTTAAAGTGAACTCACACATCTGAAAGCCACCTGAACTGTTCATAGATAAACAATACTGTGATCATACATCTGACTTAGTGATAGAGGAAGGCTAGACCACTCATAGTGAACTCACACAACTGAAAGCCACCTGAACTGTTCATAGATAAACAATACTGTGATCATCCATCTGACTTAGTGATAGAGGAAGGCTAGACCACTTATAGTGAACTCACACATCTGAAAGCCACCTGAACTGTTCATAGATAAACAATACTGTGATCATCCATCTGACTTAGTGATAGAGGAAGGCTAGACCACTTATAGTGAACTCACACATCTGAAAGCCACCTGAACTGTTCATAGATAAACAATACTGTGATCATACATCTGACTTAGTGATAGAGGAAGGCTAGACCACTTATAGAGAACTCACACATCTGAAAGCCACCTGAACTGTTCATAGATAAACAATACTGTGATCATCCATCTGACTTAGTGATAGAGGAAGGCTAGACCACTTATAGTGAACTCACACATCTGAAAGCCACCTGAACTGTTCATAGATAAACAATACTGTGATCATCCATCTGACTTAGTGATAGAGGAAGGCTAGACCACTTATAGAGAACTCACACTTCTGAAAGCCACCTGCACTTAATAGATAAACAATACTGTGATCATACATCTTACTTAGTGATAGAGGAAGGCTAGACCACTTATAGAGAACTCACACATCTGAAAGCCACCTGAACTGTTCATAGATAAACAATACTGTGATCATCCATCTGACTTAGTGATAGAGGAAGGCTAGACCACTTATAGTGAACTCACACATCTGAAAGCCACCTGAACTGTTCATAGATAAACAATACTGTGATCATCCATCTGACTTAGTGATAGAGGAAGGCTAGACCACTTATAGAGAACTCACACATCTGAAAGCCACCTGCACTTAATAGATAAACAATACTGTGATCATACATCTTACTTAGTGATAGATGAACACTCGACCAACTCACATATCTTAGTGAAACTAAATGCATGCAAATAACAGTACCAAGAGCCAGTGAGGGTTAATTGGCCATGAGTGCTGTATTCTGGGCACTGATGATGTTTTCTCGTATTAGTTATAGTAATAATGATAATATTGGTTTCTTATACAGCCATTATACATGTATTCACCACAAAAAGTGATCAAAGAGCTTAAAAATTACATTTTAGCCAGACTACCAACTTCTGTTCTCAGAGTATTCAATGAAATACTCCTTGCAGGTACCTATTTAGAACACATACATGTAGATGTAGAGTTGCAAATGCACACTAAGGTCTTCCTAAATGATGTTAGTGCTATGCCAGGTCAGTGCTCTGACATCGAGAACCAGAAGGATTTAAAGCCATTTTCTTTAACACAAGTTAATGCCCTTCTGCTCAAATGAGATGATTTGCTATAATAGTGGCAACTGCTCCTGGCTTTATATCATGGAAACCATAGCGTTAGGATTACACTTGGGATTTGAATTACCGGTAGTTTTAAGGTTAGGTTTGAAGTTAGCCTTAAAGTTGCTCAAGCTTTGGTATACAGAGGGCAGCACATGGACACCACAATAATCTCCCGAAGGAAACTCAGTGTGTACATCGGAGCGGTTTCGGAGTACCGCGCGTAATACCATAATAATCGTACATAATGCAGTCATAGAAAGTCTGCATGAACATTTGCAGTGTACGTACAGTGCATACAAATTGAAATATTTTGTACGTGCACATTGCGTGCTCGCTAAATATGATCTAACAACGCCTGGACATTAACCATAATACGTAATTCCCATCAAATAAAACTTGCAAGATTAAATTGTAAATAAATATATTTTACAGAACTATGATAAAGTGCATTTTTAAATGTATTCAATTAATCACATATCATTCAATTTGATATTTTAAAACTAAATAAAAAACAAACAATCAAAAATTGGGATAAATTGGGCATGCACGACTCGACTCGTTCGTTTTTGAAGTAGGGAAGTTGGCAATCACTACATAACACTGAGCCAACGGGTATTACCCTCCCATGCGTAAAAAGTTCTTCTTTTATTTTTGTCCTACTTTTGTCATTCTGTTTCTCTTATTCATCTGATTCCGTACCACTTAGGTTTTATTGCCCATTAAATGCAAGAAAAATTTTGTTGTTGGTATTCTTATAATCTGTTATAACCTAAGTCAGGAAGATTTCCATTCTCACATTTATTATTTATTTTAAAAAACGAATTGTAGGAAGATCGTATAGTGTGTAGTGGGCTTATTAAATACATCTCTGCATTAACCCACCATCCATGGTGTGGCTAAGATAAGGAGAACATATTACCTGTCATCTAGCTTTCTAATTTCAGCAGACCGGATAGTTCTTACAAACTTCACTACTCCATTGCCTACATCCATCTGGAAATTAAAAGTTATGAAAATATAAAAGAAATTAAATCATAACAGAGATGACAAAAGTTGTACAATGTACTTCTAAGGTGACCTAGGGAAGTCACAAGGCGAAGGTCTGCATATTTCTTGATCCCTTATGGCCTGTACATACTTTCTGCTATCACTCAGGATCATTACCTTATAAAAACAATTTTAAAATAATTTTTTCTCTCACACACAGCATCTGAAATGGTAAAAGATAATAATGCTCCAAGAAATTAAAAGAATGTTTAACACAATGGCAAATATCCAATATAAATATCAAATAACCATGCTATCACAATTGATGTAACACACTTTGTTTCTTTACAATAAAGTTGATCCTTTATACTCCGGAGGAAAATGTGAGTTGTTACGCGTGGCACTAAAAGGGCTAACACTTACAGGCGCTATCAGGGATTTGCAAGCCCTAAAAATCTAATCTCAAAGTTTATATGTAGCAGCAAGATTAGTTCATGAAAGTATGTGCACAATGTATCAAAGGACTGTGTTGTTTTATTCTCTCTGAGTGAAAATTGAAGCCCTCATTTTACACAGAAAAAAATGGGTGAATAAAACACTGCCAGTTCCAAAATAATTGAAAAGAAAAATGATTGGTATTTTGCTAGTAATGAATAATTGGCCAACATACTTTTAGGACATTTTTAATTTATGAATTTACCTCGTTTTTTTCTTCTCCCTTTTACAAGTTTTGAAATTTGAACAATGCAAATCCTTGCAATGCCCACTAAACTGAAAGAAAATCCAAACATACAATGTACATACCTTGCAGAAGTTCCTGAAATCAAAGGTTCCAACAAGCTTTTGAGAGGCCTCATTCATCAGCTTTTCATTCATGTACAAGAGAGAGAATGAGGGAATCATTCACACATGTTAAACAATGCCAAAACACCTGGTAGGGAAGGACAAATTCACAAATGAAACAAACACATCGCAGGAAAAGATTCTCTAAAAGTTGATTGAGCACAAGGCCTTTGTGAAATATGGGTTAACCCTATGTTTTTTCTGTCGATCACAAGGTCCGCGGTTCGAGTCCCGCCGCGGCACTAATGTCCTTTGGCAAGACATTGCTCTACATTTGCCACACTCCACCCAGGTGAAGTAAATGGGGACCTGGTAGGAATTTATTCCTTGAAACGCAGCGCGCGGGACAGCTGCACTAGCTGCTAAAGCCAGGGTAATTATGCTGCATTATTGTCGAGCGCTTAGAAACTTCAGATAAAAGTAAGTGTTAGGCGCTATATAAGTAAATATAATCATTATTATTATTACCTTAAATAAAACTGAAAACTGCAGCAAACAAAATGATTTTGCTTATGTTAACTATGCACTGCCAAAGTCATTCAAGATGTCAGTGTTCTTTCTTTCAATTTCCTTCTTGTTTTGTTGCTGTTGTTATTTTCTTCTGATGGAAACTACAAGTGGTTTACAAGCTTTTGCCCAAACTGTAGTTAAAAAAATTGATACAACACATAATATTTCTCTTTCTTTACTGAACCCTGGTTAAAGAAGATAAATGCTTACCTTTGTATCTAGATCACCAGCAGGGAAGAAGTACTTGTATGTTCTGTGTAGTGTATCAAACCTCAACATAGAAAAAAAACAATGAAAAAAATTGTTTGTAAGTTCATGACTAGAAGCATTCATGGGGCATCCATAAAATGAAATTACAAATTATAAAATTTGAGCACTCCCCCCCCCCCCCCCCCTCTTTCTTTCTTTCTCTCTTTTTATCCTAAAGTAGACCATCAAATACAATCAGAATAGAAAAGTAATTCAAAACCTCTCGTCATTTTCTAATTTTCTAATGCTTTCCTCTGCTTTGCTAACTCAATTACTCAGTAGTAAGTTTAATTGGATGTAAATGAACATATAATGTTCACAGTAGATATGGGATGTTATTATTACTCCGTGCACTCTACATCTATTACCTTGCATGGAAGCTGGGTTCAGCTGGTGTCCATGCTATGACTCTGATTTCACTTGGTAAAACACGGTTCAACATCAAAGGGTAGTTGATCTCCTCGGTTGTGTTTCCTGTTCGGAATATAAATGAAAATGATACCATTCTTATTACTTGATAAGTTACATCCATCATCGCAGGAAGGCAAGATTTCCTTTCACATGGTAGCCTGTCCATTTTAATGAGGCCTATTTAAGGTCTATTTCAACTCCCTTTACAAGTGATCGTCATTCATTATAAGAAACTTTATGACCCAGCACCTCACAACCACCAAAAACCATCACAGATGATTTTTGGTCATGTTCATATCTGATTCTCAGCTTCACAATGGTATGAAACTCATCAGAATTGGTTGTCCACAAGCAGGGCTCAAATTAATTTTTTGTCTACGGGGCTCTTCCCCCCAAAAAAGAGCCCCCGTGAGCCTTCTCACGGGGGCTCTTTTAGTACTGACAGGGGCTCTTTTGTATACAAATATCCATTGCATTGGTACCTATGATACTCCTCAATTATTTGCTATTTCATCATTATCATTTCAATCAGCATTTTCCCTCTTACAAATTTACAAGCTACATAGCTGTTACTGGCCTGTGTATATAATATAAACGCATACAACACTGATCTTTATGATGTCTTTAACGTGACATATCTTCTTCTCCCCTTGCAAACGAAAAAGAAAACATGGTCATTAAAAGGGATTAAGCGACAAATAATGATTGTGATTCAAATTGATGCAAATATTTGTTTGAATAAGCACTGCTATTCACCCGAATCTTCTTTGTAAAAACAACTTTTACAAATCTCAGCCATGCTTACTGAGTTGAGACGTTCCGTTCAATTTAAAATACCCATTACATAATACACTTCTCCTAATCTCAAAGTGATCTTACAGCACAGTGGCAGAATTGCATGGCTGAGATTTGTAAAAGTCGTTTTTGCAAAGAAGATTTGAATCACAATGATTATTTGTCGCATGGTCCTTTTATTAAATAACCTTGTTTTTTGTTTTGTTTGCAGAGGGAGAAGAAGCTATGTCACGTTAAGAAATCATAAAGATCGGTTGTATTATGCGTATATACATAATGATACCAGAACAAATGTTGATTATCAGAATGTCATTTTGGAATACCTCTATACAAACCCCCCCCCCCCCCCCCCCCCCCCCCCCCCCGTAGATCTGCCCATGTTATCATATCATTCCACGACATATTGGTCTTCCTCTTCTTCTTAAAAGGGACTTTTAGATTTGCGTGGACGTGCACTGGCAGTCACATGTGATGTCCTTTAAGCACTGGCACTGCCTTAAAAGGAGGTCACACGTTGCAGTCCACGTTCTCATCGTGCAAATCTAAAAGTCCCTAATATTGATTTACTGGTCGAGGTTCATTACTTGCTGGTCATTTGAAATCACCAGATTTCAGCGGGTTAACGCTTTCACAACGAAAAACTTCCCCATGACCATGTTTCTGCCCTTGCGCGATCGCCTCCAGCTCCAGCAGACATGGCGCGGCAGCGTGCACACATACCGCTACTAACGGCGCAGTAGGCCTATAACCACTGCTGACGGCGGCACTGCACTGCGAGCTGAATCGGTAATAATAGGCCTATACTCATAAAACGAGAAATCTTGCACGCTAATCTAAGTTCCATTTCATTGGTTTAAGGTTTGAAAATTGAAAATCAATATTGTGTTAAAGTTATAACAGAAAAGATAATCTTTATTTTAAATTCCACGGGGGCGATTTTTAATTTTGCAATTGCCCCCGTGAGCAACCTGACGGGGGTGATTATGTAGCTCACGGGGGCGAATCGCCCACCGCCCCCGTGTATTTTGAGCGCTGTCCACAAGGCACTTAAGAAGATTGTTCATCTGAAGAAATAATCCTTTTGAGAAATGGGGATTCAAGTTTGATGTCTATTCAAGCACTATATTAAGTGAGGTATTGAGCAAGGGGATATATGAATGATTAAATCTCAATACAAATTTTTATGAAGGGACGGCCAGATTGTCATAAATCTTGGCACACTATTAAAGTAAGCACATCCTATAAGCGAGTTTGTAATTAGGATTTACGCATGTGCAGATAAAGGTCAGTCATTCCCAAATTGTAAAACCATTGAGACGAATACTCGTATCGTGCTCATGAAAGTTATGTAATTAGTATTCATTTATGTACCGACAGTATATTTATTTGATACACAGGTGGAAGTATTATTCTCAAGAGGGCAAACAAAAGGTATTCATGAAGCACCTCCATCACTTTGACAGTGATTATTCTAAAATGCACAAGTGGGACGTTTCCATAGTGTAAAAGATCTGTGGATATTTGGGGGTCATGTGTTCCAAAGCTATTTACGAACTGGCTTATTCAGACCAAAAGGAATATGACAAAGTATATCGCACATTATGTGTATTAGAAATCTGTACCTGTTCTCTCGTGGGCTGTACCATCTAGCCTCTGAATGACCCCTACACCTTGAAGTAAGTTGGTACGAAGGTCAATGGCAATAACCTGGCCAAAGGCGCTGACTCCTTTATCTGTTCGTCCACAGCGAGAGTAGTTAGATGTCTGACGACTCTCGATCAGCTTCGTCTTAGTGAGAGCTTCAAACAGGTGATGCTAAATAGAGATGAATGAAAAGATATACTTTGAATGACGTTTCTCCTCATTGAATTTCTCTCACCTTGATATCTGCATGTATACCTATATTACACTCTAAAAACAACTTGCAAGAATACCCTAAAATGCATATTATAAGCAATAAGCCCAGGCATTTTGGAGAAAGTACTAGGTATGGAGTTACTGTACATGTAAAGACAAAAAAATCACCCTTGATTCAGACACTCCAAGAGTATTGGACATTTTGAAAGGAATGTTGAGTATAACATACACGTACATGTAGTATTGATTATTTCTGTCATACACTGTAGTACTTTGAAATTAATATTACAGTGGTTATCATTTGAAATGATAGCTCAATCATAAAATGCTACAAGTACTACAGATCGTAAAGAATCAATTATGAGCCCATTCTCTTTCCATATGATATAGTGAATAAATTAGGCTCTTTTCCTTCCCTGCAAAAGACATTAAAAAAGAGGAAGACAAAATCTTGAGAGAGAAACAGATATCAAAGAAGAAGAGAGACAAATAGTTTATGTAGAGGTTGGAGGGAAATCTAGTTTGTACAGTGTTACTATACTTACCTCTACTGTGTTATTAGAATCCTCTTGCACAACAAAACCACGATAATCCCATCCTAGATAGGTGATCTTTAAAGATCTTCTTGTACAGTGTTACTATACTTACCTCTACTGTGTTATTAGAATCCTCTTGCACAACAAAACCACGATAATCCCATCCTAGATAGGTGATCTTTACAGATCTTCTTGTACAGTGTTACTATACTTACCTCTACTGTGTTATTAGAATCTTCTTGCACAACGAAACCATGATAATCCCATCCTAGATAGGTGATCTTCAGAGCTACATGCCTCGTGTTGTATCTAAAGATATAACAAATGCAGGGAAAAGGAAATAAATGTGCAAATATAAAGATACCCATGATGTGAGTTTGACCAATTAGACATAAATCAGTGGATGGGACTGCTTCTCTAATGTACATGTATGCCTTTTAGGTAATCCATCATTTTTCTTGTCCTAAGCTATATTTAAAAAATCAAAGATATAGGGTAAGGTCTTGAGTTGTGATGGGTTTTAGACATCCTTGTAGCAGCATGTATACTATCCCTATGCCTTTCATCGCGATTGCATCTCTCATTGCAGCTTTCATTAAATGAAATAAAGGGCTCAAGACTTATTCATAAGTAGCCTGCTAAATCCCCCCCCCCCCCCTCTTTCCAGTTTCCCCTATATTGTTGTCTTTTTATTTGATGTTGATCCTGAATGGTTCCTCTTCTTCTTCTTCCAGTGAAGTGCTGCTTAACTCATATCATGCCACAGGGCTAATCCCCATTGTGCCAAGCCCCAAATCCCCCAGTGCCAAGTTTATATTGAGATATTCTGATTAATGCGATGGTTCTATGAATAGCGCATGCAAAACACACATCACACTACAATAAGCATGAACAATACCTGCTACTACGAATGTGTGCATGCACACACATGGCAGCATAGCAATGGTTTGCTCGCATGTACAAAGCACTATAACGATAGAATGCATGCAGCCTTATGGCAGGCTATGAGTTAACAGAGACTTCTTGCACTTCAACGCATAAAATGACAATCTGAAAAATGGAAGATGGTTACATAGAGAAAAAATGTAGATCCCAATTAGATAAATGATTGTATTAACACTTCGGTTGCTTTTTTTGCCTTTCTGTGTGGTCACATGTTTGCCAAAAGTGCACTTCTGCACAAAACAATTGGCACTAATGGATGGAACGGTTGCTTTGAGCAAGACAATGGCTTTGCAAAATTACCCATCCATTTTCATTCTTAATTAGCTCCATGACAACTCTATTAAAACTCTACTGGAAAACAATTAAATAATCTTAAAACGTCTGGTATATTTATGCCCATCATAAATACAATGTTGCACATTATTATGTGGAATATAATTAATTTGAAGTCCACCTAAGCACCATGCTTCGCATCTTACTTACTTCTTAAAGTCAAATGGCCTTGGAATTTTAGAGCTCTTTGCTTTCTTCTTGACTTTCTTTGCTTCATGATCTGTAGATGATGCTGAACAGGATGACGAAGTATGCTGCTTGAGGATGCCACTGACTTTTATCCATTCCTCTTCACTCAACTCCTTCTCTAACGTTTCAATTAGCTCCTGACAAGAAATAGCAATATGGAAAGTGAGATTAGAAAATAATTAAAAGGCAATCCAACCCTTGTAATAACTTCATTGGTATGGAAAAAGAAAAAAGGGAGAAGGAGAAAGAGAAGGGCAAAAGCTTCAAATAAATCAGACCAACAATAAGGGAGAACTTATGAATGTTGGAAATATGAGTTCACTAAATCCATACTAATTTCAAATTGGCATTTTGGTCAGTGGATTGTGACGAAGTCATGACAACTCTCCAGTTTGTCGTGTTCAAATATATTATTGAAGCTTATCTGTACTAGTTTATAGGAGGGATTAGAATACCCTGCAAGGTCACTGGACAGGTGATTATCTCATCAACTCAGCTCTCAATTAACATAAGAAAAAAAGGATCATGGGGGACCAATGGTCACCAATTAGGCATTGTTTTCTATATAGAGGGAGCAAGTACATGTAGCTACAAGTAGGACAGTGTGGCTTTAATTCATCTTTTTTTTCTAATTGCTTGCTCACTTGGAGCACTACACAAAAATATATTGTAGGCCCCCTAAAAAGAAAAGACCCTCCTGAATCATACATTAAGAAAATAAAAATTGTAATACTTTTTGTGCATTGAAACAAATGGTAGTCCTGCGCTCCGTCATAGCCACATTATTGATTTAGCCAATTTGAAGTGCCATTACAATACTTAAGTGTGAAAACTTTCAAAAATTCATAACTCTCTTATTTATTTATTTATTTATTCAAGTTTTATTTAAAATAGAGGGTAGGTACATTCAGTTTAACAAAACTGCTTTCCAAGTATGCCCTCTAGAAAGACATAACAGGTATAAGATATACAAAAATACAAGGAATATATAAAAAAAAAAAATATATAACACTCATCAAAACTAAACATTGACATATTTGACATAATATAGAGTACAAACATATATACATGTAACATAAGACAAATAATTATACCGGTAGAGGGAAATAAGAACGGAGATTCGACTATAATAAATGCTTTGCCAGTTGGCATCTGCGCTTAAATATTTGAATAGATTTGGTTGATTGAATTGAGGGAGGAATTTTATTAAATAGGGTACTTGCTTTATATGAGAATGATCTTTTCTTGAATTCGGTTTTGGGGTATGGGATGTCAAGTGGAGCAATTAATGAATAGCGGGTACAGTAGTTGGAGGTCACATTTAATTCAAACTTTCACCAGTCTGCTTCTCTGATTTTTCAGGATTTTTAAAAGTGTTTGTCTACATGTACTTGCGCCCTCTATACCGGTATAGCAAACAATGCCTAAGCGGTACATGTTCGTGTTGGTCCCCCATTTTTCTTATTTTAATTGAGAGCTAATTTGATGAGATACCCACCTGCCAGTGACCACCCAGGGAGGTCTAATCCCTCCTGGCCAAACTAGTGCAGACAGGCTTGTAGTTGGAATTTTCTTTAAAGGGTACAAAACAACAACAAAATACTTTATTCTACATGTTTGTGTTCCAGAAAACCTGATCAACAAAAAAGAAATTCTGTACAGGGAGATGGCAAGTGAAAGGTATTACAAAGTTTTGGTATGGGGTCATGAATTCGGTTCAAATTAAAATATTGGGAGCATATACGTTTCTACAATATTCATTGATCGTTTTCGTGGTTGAAAACGAGTCTGAAGTTATGAAATTATAAATAATAAACTCTTTATGTTGTATAGCTCCCTCTCAAGGTCAAGCAATTAATTTAGCTTTGAAACAATGTTTCTTGACTAAAATCGACCGATTAGCTATTCCCGTTTGAAAATTATATATCACAACTACATATTCTGAGATTTTCATGGTCGCAGCTACCATTGTACGGCCATAGGCGCTATTTGAAATTTATCCAAATTTACCGGGAGCACCGGTAAATTTTTATATTCAACTTTTCTCGAAAACAGAAGTGTTTTAGAGGCTAATTTTTTTAGTGCTTATAATACATCCACAGGGATATCCAAATATATCAAAAATTGTAAAGATTCACTATATACCCAATTTTCAAAATTTCCCAAAACTTTGTATTACCTTTAATACTTTCAAATCAAAGATAAAAATGAGCTGTGGGTAGACCAAGGCTCGAGTTCTGTGTGCAAAGTTTCATAAATCTTCATGTTTCCATTTTTTTCACTATCCTACTTTTGGATGTTGAAGAATAACACAATGTATTATGTGTTATAACATATATGACATAATATTGAAGTCAAAAATCTTAAAGCTATTTCGTCCAGTATTTATGTCCTAGGGTAAGGGGGACCCGGTGTCCTAGGGTAAGTGGGATTTGGTAAGGTAAGGGTTAGGGTTAGGGTAACACAGATTCTGGTGACCTAGGTAAGCAGGACCCGGTGTCCTAGGGTAAGCGGGACCCGGTGTCCTAGGGTAAGCGGGACCCGGTAAGGTTAAGGTTAGTGTTAGGGTAACACAGACTCTGGCGTCCTAGGGTAGGCGGGACCCGATGTCCTAGGGTAAGCGGGACCCGGTAAGGTTAGGGTTAGGGTTAGTGTTAGGGTAACACAGACTCTGGTGTCCTAGGGAAAGCAGGACCCAGTGTCCTAGGGTAAGCGGGACCCGGTGTCCTAGGGTAACGCGGGACCCGGTGTCATGGTTAGACTATACAAGTATAAAATTACGGTTCTTACCTAGGCCTAGTCTATTCCTTTGGTTTATAGAGCTCAGCAGCGTCTCGCATGAATGCCTCAAACAAGTCTGTATACTGGCCGAGGCTAAAAATATTGACTCTGAAATAAGGCTCTAAACAGCGCCACCTAGTGACATTCAAAATATAGTCTTATCTACCGATAATAATGTTACGAACCCCAACATCTTCAACTCATCGTTACAGGTACATTGTCACCGTCTTTCATCGATCTAGGTGCAGGTTCAACTCCTGGGAGCTTTCAGCAAAAAGTTAAATTTATAATTCTATTGCTATATGTTCCATTCTTATTCTTATTCTTATGTTAATACCAACAGGATTACAAGCTGCTGAGGCTACAATGGACAACAATAGAGAGAGAGAATCAGAGTGAAAGCAGACAAGAACAAAACTTTTTTTAAATAAAAAAAATTCTAGTCTAAACCCCTTTTTAACTCAACCCCCATCAAAAAATTGCCCTCTTTTAGAATGTAGGCTGGAGCTGTAATAAACCGCTGCACAATACAAGTGCATACCGATGGTGAGTTGCGGGAGGGCGCGCGCCTGTGTATGGTTATCTACCGTAACCCACCATCGCCTGCAACCATCGCCTGCAACCCACCACCACTTGTTTTATTGTGCAGCAGTTTGCCATGAAACCAGTGAAAAAGTGTATAGATCTATCATCGTTTTCCTGAAAAATAGTCCAAAAATAACAAGAAAATTGACACGAAACAGGTAATAAACATAATGACTTTTAACTCATGATCTTTATTTTATGACATTTAATGAATATTTACTTCATTTTGGGTATGTTTTAGTAGGGTATCTCCACGCTGGAGTTACGGGTCGAATTTTGGATAGGCTTCTGAACAAGCGCCGCATTCCGACCCCCCCCCCCCCCCCCCCCCCCCGACCCCAGCAGCGAAATTTTTATTCCCAAACAGGTTTGCAATTTCTTATATTTCCGTTCTTCTCGATGGCTGATACGTTCTAGAGTCTACGTCATTAGTAACTCCGGGAAGCTCCAACACCGGCGCCGCAGGCGTCGGAGCTTCGGGTGGTTTCCTTGGTTTCTCTTGGGGGCTAGTAAAACAGCCGATTGGGTGATATTATCGTTAAATCTGCAAAGGGAGTACTTACAATTTTTACATCATAGGGTGCACGACTCCTCAGGGCTCAACTCCAATCACTTGAATGTATAATTTGAAGAAGTCTTCGATGGGAAAAAAAGGTTAATTCAGGATACTACACCAACGATTCTTCCATGTCGCAGCGTTGATTCAAAATAGCGATGAGAAGGTACGCATGCGCGGCAGTGGCGAAGAAAATATGAATATTCAGGCTATCGAGCGGCGATCGCTCGAAATCGCTGAATATGCACGACTCGAACAAACAGAGCCCTTCTCAACCTCGTGCATATTCAGCGATTTCGAGTGATCGGCGCTCGATAGCCTGAATATTCATATTTTCTTCGCCACTGCCGCGCATGCGTACCTTCTCATCGCTATTTTGAATCAACGCTGCGACATGGAAGAATCGTTGGTGTAGTACCCCGAATTAACCTTTTTTTCCCATCAAAGACTTCTTCAAATTATACATTCAAGTGATTGGAGTTGAGCCCTGAGGAGTCGTGCACCCTATGATGTAAAAATTGTAAGTACTCCCTTTGCAGATTTAACGATAATATCACCCAATCGGCTGTTTTACAAGCCCCCAAGAATAACCAAGGAAACCACCCGAAGCTCTGACGCCTTCGGCGCCGGTGTTGGAGCTTCCCGGAGTTACGTCATTAGCAGCTTGGAAAGAGGTCAGAAAAAATTAGACTTTGATTTTTTATTGCTTTGCCTCACTATTTATAAAAGGCAAAAAAACTGAATAAACTGAGACTTGAACTAAGGCTGCGACGGGTAGTCGAATACTCGAGTACCCGCACGGTTGACGACTACTCGGGTACGATTTCTTGTACCCAAATATTCGGCCGCAAAAAAAAAAAAAAAAAAAAAAAAAATGTCCAGGCCCACGCTTACCCGTGCCAGGGAGAGCGACGGCCGCTAGCATGGTACCGCCGGTAAAAATGTTTCCCAACTCAAGCACTGTCAAACTCACCTTTCAGAAACTGGGACCACATGTCCAGATTTCTGTTTGGACTTGGAGGAACATGGATTATTCTGCCATCTTTGGTTTTTAAAACAGCATTGTTTACTGTTATTATTCTTATTAAATCGGCGCCTTCAACTGCAGCTCAAAGTAAAATTGCATGCGTTTTCGGCGAGGGACCTGGGAAACTGCTTGTTGTTGTTGTTCGTTTGGTATTATAATGGCTATTAGTCAAATTTGACTATTGTTGCCAATTTTATCGCATCTCTTTCTTTTAATGTCTTGGTAATAATTATGCCGAGTGGTATGGTAGTGGCGAAAAAATAAAAAAAATTAAAAAAATAAAAAAATTAAAAAATTCAACAAAATTCAAAAAAATTCAAAAAAATTCAAAAAAATTATAAAAAAACATGGCGTCCTTTTTTTTCGAGTATTCGCTTGTGAGCCTGGGAGTGTATCCAGGTACTTCATTACACTGTTGTGCACAGCCTTAACTTAAACCCACAACTCTGAGATTGTATTACGCTGACCTTACCGATTGAGCTTGAGCCAACGATGGGTTGACGAAAAGTGATTCTGCATGATTTCTATAACCCTATCACTCACCCTAACGGTTACGTCATTGCTAATGACGTAACATATCAGCCAATCAGATGACCGGAAATATTAGCATTGGCCAACCTGTTTGGGAAAAAAATTAGCACCCCGGCACGCCTGGCCCACTCTAGCAAAGCATAGAGAGTCAATGCCAATACATATTGACCTCTAGCACTGCACTACGTGTTAATAGGCAGCATGAATAGTCAATACACTCACAACACACGAATGCACACAATCATGTCGATGCGGCTGTAAGCAAAGTTTGACAGTAGACTTACAATTTGAATTTTTAAATTATTCTTTTTAACATTAGAAAGTTGAAAAAATGTATTTTACAGCTATTTTTTTAGGTGTCATCAATTGTCACTAATATCGATTTTGAGTGAAATCAGTTGAGTTTAGGACAGTGGTGTTTCAAATGTTGAGAATCAAAAGCACAGCTAAGTACTACACAGCCAGGATAGTGTAGACCGAAAACTTCAGTCTCTCTAATCATCGGTTGTTCCACTGAGCAGTAGGGGCGCTGGTCCGAGAATGAGGATCGTCCTCATAAACAAGGATATCCTCATAAACGAAGACAAAATGTGTCCTCAAAAATAAGGGTCGTCTGCATTTTCGAGGACGTTTTTTTTCATCGGCGCTCTGGGGGTTTCATGTTACAGAACGGCCCGCTGGCGATGCCAAAAATGGATTCCCAGGGGGAAAATAACCCTAGTTGTCCGTCTACTTTTATGGGTTGTCCGTCTTCCCAAGGCAAGGATTTATTGCTCATAATGTGAAGGTCTCTGTACAAAGTCAATGTAAATTGCATCAAGAAAATCATTGCAGAATCCGTTTTTTGCATTGCCAATGCGCCGATCAAAAATATGAAACGTCTGCAAAAATGCAGACGGTCCGTATTTTTGAGGACGCATCGGTCAGTGTTAAAGAAGACGATCCTCGTTTATGAAGACGATCCTTATTCTCGGACCAGCGCCCCTACTAGCCCTACTGCTGAGACTACGTCTGGCTCCACTAGACCTCCGATTATAATAAAAATTAAAAATAACAGCTTAGCCTTAGATCTATTTGACTTACGATAGCTTGCTCATTTAGATCCTAAATTAATGATTAAAGGTAATACAAAGTTTTGGGAAATTTTGAAAATTGGCTGGATAGTGATTCTTTACAATTTTGATATATTTGGATGCCCCTATGGATGTATTATAAGCACTAGAAAATTTAGCCCCTCAAACACTTCTGCTTTCGAGATAAATTGAATATAAAAATTTACCGGTGCTCCCGGTAAATTTCGATAAATTTCAAATAGTGCCTACAGCCATACAATAGTAGTTGCGACCATGAAAATCTCAGAAAATGTAGTTGTAATATATAATTTCCAAACGGGTTTAGCCAATTGGTCGATTTTTAGTCAAAAAACATTGTTTTATTGCTAAATTAATGAATTGACCTTGAGAGGGAGCTATACAACATAAAGAGTTTATTATTTACAATGTCATAACTTTAGACTCGATTTCAACCGCGACAACGATCATTGAATATTGTAGGATCGCATATGCTTCCAATATGTTCATTTGAACCAAATTCATGACCCCATACCAAAACTTTGTATTACCTTTAATCCGAGAAAGTCTCGTCGTCAACATTATCCGTCTTGGTTTTAGTTGCTCCTATGTGTGGCCTGGCCCATCTCAAAGCGACAGTACCGGTACGATACGGTACCGTACGCGTGGCAGTCCAACTCCAGAGAGCTCCGACCCCGACGGCATCGGCGTCGGAGCTCCCTGGAGTTAGTAGGCCTACCGGTACCGTACGGTACTAGTAGATCTACTGACTAGTAGTAGTAGTAATCATACAGTCAAGTCGAAACGACGTGGCAACGCCAACGCTGTTGGTATTAGGTCAATGTCTGTCTTACCCTAAGTTATATCTCTATAAATAAAATGCTTCACTTTATCATCTCCACCATCTTGTGTATGGTTTTCTTACCTTGGTTAACATTTGAGACATCATTTTCAGCTGAACATCTCGCTCGTGCTTGCATAGGAGGAGTATGGTAAGCCAAATATGTAAGAAAATTTATCACCGATCCTAAACATTTCATATGGAACACTAAACAGTCACTGGTCAACGTGTGGAATCATGACTGAAAAAGAACCGCTTCGGTTAGAAAGAAGAAAACAAACGACGGAAAGAAAGAAAATTATATGTATGTATATTTTTTAAAGAAAAACAAGGAAGGAATAAAGGAAGAAAAAAGAAAGAAAGACAGAGAAGAAAGATTGAAATGAATTATAACGAAAGAAGAACAAAAATCAATTACAACTGTATAACAACGCGAAAACAAAATTATGAAGCAAACACAAATTAATACCAGACATATATATTTATTTTCACTGGAGCGTTTCGTTAGCTCTTTGCAAAAAAAAATGTTCATTATTTCTTCAAATCATGTATAATTATACTATTTGTACATCTTGTTACGTTTTAATCTCTCAGGGGCGTTGAAGGATACTAGTAACAGGCGCGGATCCAGGATTTTCCAATAGGGGGGGGGGGGCGGAAATTTGAAAATTGCGCAGACATTTTTTTGTTTAACTCATCATACCAATACTGACAAGGACATATCAGAAGCGCTATACAAGTAGCCACTATTTTTATTATTATACCGGTACAATTTTTGACATTTTCATCAGGGGGGAGGGGCTATAGCCTCTTGCCCGAAAAAGTAATTTTCCGGTTTCACAATTCGAGTAAGCGAAGCGGGCGAGCAAAAATTTGAGCATAATATGTATTTTGTGAAAGTGTTATTTATCACCAAAATAAACGAGAAAAGATATCAAAAATTCATATTCGGACAGTCCCCCTCCCGCGCAAAGCGCGGAAGCTTTGACATTTCATTAAAGTATTAGAGAAAGAAGACGATTCGTTGTACCGTTCTCGACTTGTCAGAATTTTCAAAAATGTTTCTTTGTCTGCTTTGTTTTCGTTCTGTCCTCTTACTGCCCTTACCGCCCCTGGCTACGCGCCTGCTTTAAAGGGATAATGAAACAATCATGATTGTGATAGCACACAATTAAGTTAATACAAATTAAAGGGGAAAAAAATCTATTACACCAACCATGGATAAATCACGGCCGGGAGCGTCAGATCATAGTTTTGTGTTATCGGGCGAGGGCCGGGGCGTAGCGACAAAGCGAGATTTTGCAATGTTGAAATTCTGCATTCTAGGAAATCCCTAAGGACAATATGTACGTTCTTTCCGCTTTTACGTTCTTTCTGCTTTATTTATATTTCTAAATTTCCTGGGGGACATGTCTCCCTATCGGGCCAAGGATTGCCGCCCCTGTCCATGATTACTACCAACATAATTTCAAATACAAGCACAAGCGAGATGGTATGAGCTGAATCCAAATGAAGGGCAAAATAAGAGTTGTGAAGCGGCCCTATCGTTAATTTAAAATTTGACTGTTGAGTATAATATATCCAAAATATTGTGCCCTTTTTCAAATGTTTCACTAAAGAGTGATGACCTTTGTAGCGCAGGGGCTGTTTTTAACGTTTAACGTTTCCGAGGCTCGAGAGTTTATGCGGCCGGCCCGGCCCCCTCTATTCAATAACGTTTGCCAAGCCTTCTGGAATGACCCCAAATCTCCAGATTACAGTTTTCCCTTATTTGTTGTTACTGTCAATTAGCGCCATTTCCTTGTCTTTCCCCTTTCTCACCCGACTTCCCCCCCCCCCCCCACACACACACACTCAGTGTTATCTAGGGTACGCGCATGTAACTATGTTCCCTCTCTTTGAAAGCACCCCTCTATCTCCGGTGTGTAAAGTCAGTACGGGACGGATTTGTGTGTATTACGGGCCGGACTTTGTTGCGTGAAAAGTAACCCTTTATCGGAGATTTTGGCAACACAAATTCGGACCCTCTGACCCCGGAGTGGGAGGGGAGGGGGGGGGGGGGGGGCTTTCTTTTTCTTTTCTCCTTTTTTGTTTTCTCTCTCTCTCTCTCTCTCTCTCTGTTTCTTTTCTCTTCTTTCTTTTCTCTTCTCTTTTCTTTTCTCTTCTCCTTTTTTCCCCCCTCTTTTCCCCCCTTTTTTTTGCGCCGCTAATAGGGGGGCGGGGGGGGGGGGGGGCGCGGCCGTTTCGGCCCCCCTGGATCCGCCACTGCAGTAAAGCGATTGTTAGCGAGAGGTGTAAAAAGAGAAAGGCAGTATACGAACAGAGAAATGGAAAGAGAGAGCTTGCTGAAGGGGGGGGGGGGGGAGAGAGAGAGAGAGAGAGAGAGAGAGAGAGACCGGGGCGATAGGAGGAGACTTAAAGATCCAGGAGGGAGAGTATAGGCCTATGGCAGAGATGGAATGGGGGTATCTTTTGGATATCCTCTTGTCTCAGATCTTAATCTGAATCTTTCAATCTCTCACCCCTTTTTTCTCTCTGACATTCTTCTTTTTCTCAGACTCTTTTTTGTCTCCCTTTTTCTCTCAACTGATCTTCTTTATCTCTCAAAACTGTTTTCTGCATGTTTGGACGTGCTTTCGTTTATCAAACCTGCTATGTATTACAAAAATAGACTTTAAATTTAGTACTTTTACACTTTCAAGTTGGTGAATTTTGTAATCAGTGAAATGTTCTCTCATCGTTTTCAGAAAAGTTATGTTTTCAAACTCTGTCTGAATTGTTCCACTCAGTGTTGGTGATGAATTTAAATGAGGAGGGATCCTGTTTCATAGTCTGTAAGCAATAGAGGAGAAGGCTAGATGCACCACCAGCTTATGATTATTTGGTACATGGCGTTCAGAAGCCCTCTATCTAAACAAAGAAGAATGGAAATGTCATACGAGGAAAGGTTGCGACGCCTCCGCTGGTCATCTCTTGAGTCTCGTCGGAAGTTCACTTTGATCACATTCATTATCAAATGTTAACTTTGTTTATGTATGTATCCTGCGATAGTGTAAATAGCGCCATAAATGTAAACCCAAGGTATAGTACCGACCTGAAGTTCAAACACTTGTTCGCTCGAACTGAAAGACTGCGTTCGTCAGCCATTAACTCATTTCCCAGATTGTGGGACACACTTCCTCAACATATTCGTAACGATGTACTATTGACTCAAATTGGCACTTGGTGCTCCCACTTGAAGGTGTTGAACTCTGGCTTGTAAATCTGTATATATATATATATATGATTCCATATTTATTCATGTTGTATTATACATTATATTCCTTAATAATATTAATAATGATTGTAAAAGTTATATGATATAATCGTAGCAATAATAATAATTGTAATAACAATAATATAAATGATGTTAATAATAATGACGAATATGCTTATACATATTTGTAACAGTGTGATCTTTTAATGCTGTTTATGCTTTCTTATTGCTAGTTGTTTAATTGCTGCTGTTTATAGTCATTTATAGAATATAAATAATCCTTCAATTCTATAAATGATTCACATAATAACCACCTGTGATGTATACCGTATAATTTTTGTTCCATTTTTCATTATATAATATGAAACAATAATGATATTTATTTGAAACAATACACAGTCCATTTTAACCATTCCAAACCATTCCAAAATTGTATTACTGAATCTTAATATTTTCATAAACATGATATAGGGCTTACCTTTATCTGTACATATTATGATCGTGCAATAGCTTCGAGACTGGTTGTTGTTGAAATTGTATTCTCAATGAAAATTAATTTTGTTGTTGATGTTTTAATATAAATATTGATGTCAATGATACAAATTATAATAATCATAATAATCATGATAGTAACGGTAGTAGTAATAATGTTAATAACGATAATGATAATGATATTATATTTATTTTTTACAACGTGATGATGGTGTTGATGATTAACAGTAATAATATGTTACCATACCTGTCATGAAATCACAACTTTAAAAAAAACGATAGTAACGGTAGTAGTAATAATGTTAATAACGATAATGATAATGATATTATATTTATGTTTTACAACGTGATGATGGTGTTAATGATTAACAGTAATAATATGTTACCATACCTGTCATGAAATCACAACTTTTAAAAAAATTGTCATGCAATGTTTTTTTTCCTTTCTTTTTCTCCCTCTTTCCTCCATTTTCTTCTCATCTATCTTTTCTTTTTAAAGCTTTATTTTAACCAATATCAGGTGCATCTAGACGGGTGTGGGGAGGAAGGTCTGCGGATCACAGTTATTTGGTTAACTTTTTCCATACCCGGGCAGCTCGACCGGATGCACCTGCTATTGCAATATTTATATATGCTTTCTATTGATTTTTTTAATCTCAATTCATGTTTGTTATATTGTTGTATTATGTGACTTGATTTGCCAAATAAAATAATAATAATAATAAAAGATAAAGAGACCCTGGAGTAATGCGTAGAAAATCCAAATTAAAATTACAAATTAATTGATTATGATACAAACAAATAGGATGAATATCAATTATTTCAACAATGGATAACAACAATCTAGTATGGCAAAGATAATTGAGTGCAAATGTCAGAGATTACAATAAAGAGAAATAGCAAATAATAACGTACTACCACACGCCTCTTCTGGAATGATCACAGAGATGAAGATAAATTACATTTCTCGTAATTCTGTTTACAAGCTTAATTTCTTTTTTTTTCCAGCGAGATAGAGAAGCAGAGGAACTCGCTTAACAATTTTTCCTTTTTTCCAAATTCGTGAGAATTTTTTTTTCCACTACTTGAAAAACCTTAGGGGCGACCGCCCCTGCCCCACCCTCCCCTGTGACGCCGCTCCTTTGTCAAGGTACTGAGTTTATCATTTTCCCCTATAATTATGAAACAACTTATTACTCTATAGCTTCAAACTTAATTCTTTATAGCTTCAATACTAATCCTTACGATGACGTTAGTCTATGTAGGAATTTTCCAACATGACTTGTACCATTGGGAAGAGTCTGAGTTTCTGCGGTATTTTGTATTGCAAGATAGACGCGTTACTATTGGCTAAGATGTACTTCTGGAGAGCATCGAAGGCATTAGGACGAACGGAGTAAACCCGTGGATGAGAGATGAGACCTTCCCGACGGAGACGATCAAAGTCACCATTACGAAGACGAAGCTCCTCGTCGATCTGTGAGAAGACATTCCAAGGATCAAACAAAAGAAAGCAAAACCATAAATTATCTAGACAAATTAAAGAAAATACAATTAAAAATAAGATTTAATATAAACCATAAGCCTTGTTCTATAGGCCTAACCTGTCACGTCTTTATGTTGTATCCATCTGGTATACATCTTTGACAAACTTGTAAACAAATCGCAAACCCCTGAACATAGGCATAACTACTGTAAAACACGAGCTTTCTCTTAACAAGCTTACTCCAGTTGAGATGCTGTCGTACCAATTCTTCGTAAACTTCCCCTAAACAACATTTGACATTAGCCTTCTATGTAGGCATATTAGCTTAATTTGTAGGCATATTAGCTTAATTACAACTTTGGTAGCTGTAAAGTAGCATTACCTATGGCGAAATATTGATGTTTAAGGTCAAGATACACACGGAGCAGTTCTTAAATGTATCTAACAATAAAGAGATAACCTGGGTATAGGCCCATACACAAAGCCTTTTTCTGCATAATGCATATTTCTTAATGTTCAAATAAAAATGCTTGACTAATACCATGATCTTCTCATCAGCAGACAGACCAGTGGAAGACCGAGATTCATCGCCTTCAATCCGGATGAAAAAGAGATAGTATGGTGTGGTTTCATGCCCAGCCAGTTCTGGAGAAAACGACAGAAACTTTATTTTACAAGTGGTTCCTGGATAATGTATGTATAACGATGTGATAGTTACACACCAAACAAATCATTAATGGAATATCATAAGATATTGCGTTGAGAAAAATATATATACATGTACACGGAAGTAATATAGTAATGGTGGAAGTAGTAGTAGTAATAGTAGTAGTAGTAGTAGTAGTAGTAGTAGTAGTAGTAGTAGTAGAAGTATTAGTAGTCTTATTAGTAGTAGTATTAGTAGTAGTAGTAGTAGTAGTAGTAGTAGTAGTAGTAGTAGAAGTATTAGTAGTCTTATTAGTAGTAGTAGTAGTAGTAGTAGTAGTAGTGGTAGTAGAAGTATTAGTAGTCTTATTATTATTATTATTATTAGTAGTAGTAGTAGTAGTAGTAGTAGTAGTAGTAGTAGAAGTATTAGTAGTCTTATTATTATTATTAGTAGTAGTAGTAGTAGTAGTAGTAATGGTAGTAGTAATGGTAGTAGTAGTAGTAGTAGTAGTAGTAGTAGTAGTAGTAGTAGTAGTAGTAGTAATAGTAATGGTAGTAGTAGTAGTAGTAGTAGTAGAGGTAGTAGTAGTAGTAGTAGGCCTAGTAGTAGTAGTAGTAGTAGTAGTAGTAGTAGTAGTAGTAGTAGTAGTAGTAGTATAGAAGTAGTAGTAAGTGGCGGGTCCAGGGAGGGGGAAAAAACAGGTAAAAACACGTTAATTTTACCTTTATTTGAAGACGGCCTCCCTCCCCTGGTGCTCAAGAGCGGGGGGGGGGGGCGATTTTCAATTGTTTGGAGGTAAAAACTTATTCACCGGCTGGCTGTTTCGCCCCTAAATATTTTCTCACGAATATTGGGCCCCGTTCCTGCCGCCGGCTGGATCCGCCCCTGGTAGTAGTAGCAGTAGTAGTAGTAGTAGTAGTAGTAGTAGATATAGTAGCAGCTTCATGAAGTGGGATTAGTTGTCCTAAGTTCAATTTATTTTATTCCATTTTACTCCTTGACCCATTTTAGAAGAAAAAAAATTACACAAATTGACTAGAGGAGAAAGTAGGGGGGGGGGGTATATATTTAAGAGTATTATATCCTCACCAGTATAATCATCGGGAACGAGCGTACTTTCTGCTACGACGAAATCAACGAGAGACACACCTTGCCAGCGAGCTGTAGCTGCTTTAACAGCATCCTCTACGACACGTTGATCAAGTTTTTCATAGATCAGATTCAGCATCTGTCCCGTTCTTAATTCAAACAAGATTCAAACAAAATAAAGCAAATTAATTCCAGTTCAAAAGGATGAAACTTCGTTCTGAGAGCTGTAGAGAATGACATTATACAGGGTTAATGGTAATACAACGCTTTGGGAAATTCTGAAATTGGCTGGATGGTGATTCTTTACAATTTTGATATATTTGGATGCCCCTGTGGATGTATTATAAACACTAGAAATTTTAGCCCTTATAACACTTCTGCCTTCGAGAAAAATTGAATAACAACATTTACCGGTGCTCCCGGTAAATTTTAATCAATTTTAATTAATATCTCGACCTTGAGAGGGAGCTATACAACATAAAGAATTTATTATTTACAATTTCACCACTTTAGACTCGATTTTGACGGCGACAACGATCACTGAATATTGTAGGATCGCATATGCTTCCAATATGTTCATTTGAACCAAAATCAAATGACCCCAAACCTAAACCAGTCATTGTATATTGTAAATCTTGTCTAGGCATTATTTAGACGAGGGATTTTTGTCTATTTGAGTAGTTAATATTTTTACTTTAAATTAAAACGATAAAAGGTCTATACAGCTGTCTCAAAAATTAAAGAAGAAACTCTCAACAAAGAATTAGCAACTGAACACGTACCATTATAATATAGAATAATAATATCGATTATTTATAATGCGCCAACTACTAACATTGGGCACATAGTTACAGTAAATTGTTAATACTTTTTACTATTTACTTTTTAATATTTAATACTTTTTTGTTGCCCTTTCCAAAAAACAAGAAAACGTAATGCATCAATTAACAAAGTATGAGAATAAGTAACGGCATCATGTTGTACAGCTATAACCATTATACCATATAACCATCCAAATTGTAGGTCTCTGACCATGATGAAATAAACTATAAATGTTCACCAAAAAGGAGAGTGTGATCATCATACCAACCTGTACATGAACTGGAAGAAGGGGCAGTTTTCATAGAACCCTGTAATTTGTATGACATCACCAAGTCGATAACGATACAGACATGACTGTCCTTGAGTGAGAACGACCTCGTAACATTCTCCTTCTTCCACCTCGTCAAGAAAATAAGTCTTAGGCTGACTTTGACCACTGGAAAATAAACACAGTATTGATTATCAGTCTTAACAACTGGACTAAAGTGGACATGACCTAAAGTCAATGTTTGTATGGTCGAGATAACATTCATACAAAGGTTACAAGAATATAACGTTCAGAAGCAACCATTAAGGTATTATACGCAAGTTGATTAAGGTACTGGAAATTTAAATTGCCTTGGGATGCATCGACAAGAGCAACAACTAACCTATGAACCATCACACACCAGGGAAACAACAGGCCAAAGGAACGAAACAACAATGTAAGAGGGAATTACGACGAAGGGGGGGGGGGGGGGCGTGGTAAAGTTGATGGTAAAGTCGACATCGTGGACAACGTGGACTTATATATCTACAATTGCATAACGGATGATGCGACTAGGGATCAATAGCTAAATCTTTTTTTTTTAAATAGGTTTTATAATAAAGTTTCTACTAAAATATACTTACATATCATCCTCTCTGATAAACTCTGCCACTGTGTCTGTTGGGAAGGGTAAATAAGCGACCTGGTTCATTCTTGCTGGACCTAAACAGACTCCAAAGAATCCCTCTGAACATGCGTAACCTCCACTCATAATTTTCACGCCTAAAGTGTATTGAGTTAATAAGAAAATATGCATCACACACTGTCTACAAATGAGATCAAAAGTATCATGGAAAATAACTGTACTAATATAATCACCACTATGATTTAGTTAAAAAAACGACTTAATTGATCAACGAGATATAAACAAAGATAACAAACCCTTTACAAACCCGCGTTACAAACACTACGGAACATGATTATGTGTTGTATTTCATGATGTAGATGGCTTTACATAAAAAAACAGAAAAGTGATTGTTTATCAAGGCTACACAATGGTTGTGTCATTATCATTAAAGCGTGGGGGAGACCGGGGCAATTGAAACAAGGGGCAAATGTAACAGAGATGTTACAATTTATTTTACCCCGTCTCCCCTACCTGATACTCAATCCATATAGCGTATATTCTCACCTCGAGCAAACTTGCTTTCAATCTTGGGCCAGATGTTTGTCCGATCAATCGCAATGACTACCTGAAGACGAGGCCAAATCCTCTTGAGAATCCCAGAGAATCCTCTCTTAAATTCTTCTTTCAGTTCTTTTGCTCTTCCAGGATCTCCGTTACCTAACGCAATAAGCAGACTCTTTCGAATATCACCGGGTAGTGAGAGATTCGCGTTGATGGTACCATTCTCTATGTCGAATAGGATCTCTCTCCAACAGTTCTTTAATTGCTCCATTAAATTCTCCAGAAAGGTTAGAAAGGTCATCTGAATCACCCCAAGATCCCTTTCTAGTAGTCCGAATAGTAGATGAATATAGTTTGCCTCGTAGATGGTTTGCAGACGGAGACCTGGTCCTGGTGTTGTGAATAGTCCTAGAAACACATCTGGTATAGCCGGAAGGGTTGCTATGGTTTCCACTCGGGCACCACTTGTAGTCTTGCTCACATGAGGTTGAACGTAGAGATAGAGTCGCCTTTGAAATAGTCCTAAAGACGGAGCGTTCTCACGCAACGAAATATCGGAGACAGCTCCAAGAGTCTCAAATATGGCCAGCTTGTTGACATAAGGGATGTGTTTAGATTTGCCAGTTGTTCCTGTTGTCCGCGCGTAGGACGTTGGGGTTTGTCTGGTAAGGACATTCTTTTCTCCATCCATCATCCTATCGACATAAGATCGATAGTGTTCATATGTTGTCAAGGGATGGGCCCTACGGAATTCATCAAGGGAATGGATGTCACGAAGGTTGAAACGTTTACCGTATTCAGTGTCGCCATTCTCCTTGATGATCTTCTGAAGCAGTTTTTCTTGGAATTTACGCGGTGTCTTCCAGGCTTCTATGGCGCGCTTGAAGCTAGAGGGTCCAGTCAACTTCATAATAGCTATCACAAGGAGATTGCCATTGAAACCAAGAAAGGATTGGTGAGAAGATGGCCGATGGCTTAAAGCCCAGAAATAGATTAATGAGACTCCCATGGACAAGGATCCACCAGTACCTGTTTGATTGAATGATCGCGTACATCATTAGTGCTAAGGAATATGAAATGACGGACTTCCTAAGCTAATTTATTATTATAATTATTGCTATTGATTACAAAACAGGCTTAAACTAAAATGAATAGTATTTTCTAAAAATGCAAGCTGTACTTGTTGTTGAAAATGATATATCAGAGAGAGAGAGAGAGAGAGAGAGAGAATATAACTGTGCACAACATGCTAATCGACTGCTAGTCTATATGCATGGCTATCTGAAAGTTTTGTATGTATTTATTTATTTATGTTTTATTTATTAAAATTAATAAAACAGTGGAGCTAGTCCGATTCAGTTAAAAGAAACTGCCCTCCACATGATACAAACAAAAAAATAAAATAAAAGAACCAAACATGAATTAAAACATCAATATAATTCAATATATAAAAAAAAACATGGAGCGCACGTGGGATGCAAGGCGAGACCATGCCCGCTCCACCCCCAGTAGCCAGATTGTAAGTTTTTTCTATTTTATAAAGTATGTTAGAGAACTGTTTACATATTTCCTTGAAATTGTTTAGTCACTTGCAATTTGGACGGACAATGGCAACTTATGAAAAAACAAATTTCCGGTGAATGAAAGGGATCATTTTTTGTATTCTGTTTTAAATTAAGGTATGATATTTGTAAACGGTTTTGGGTGGTATGGCGAGTATCATAAAAAAAATGGGTCGCATAACAGACAATGGTTTCAGGTATTGTGGTGGATAATCATTCCAAATCTTATGGACTAACAGACACTAAAAAACCATGCAAGCCGATAAATGCACTGTGCGCTGATAAGACTGCCGGAGCTAAAGCTAGGGTAATAAAGTCCAAAGCTCTTTGGAAGCGCATAGAGATGTTATTTCATGACGTATTATGCGCTATACAAGAACTGAACTATTATTATTATTATTACAAGCAGCATCTAAGAAATTTTTGATATTTAATTATTTCTTCAACAGATTGCCAATTTTAGGGTAGTTATTTAAGTTCATTGTGAAGTTGAATAATCTGTATTAAAAACCAAACGAGCATATCTATTCTTTAATTTCTGAAACCGAGTTATATTAATTTCCCCATACTGTACAACAATAATCTGATATCAATGCAAAATATAACTGTTTCAATTGTTTGTTTTGGGTCAAATGTTTGGTTCTTATAATATAAACGATGGAACGTGAGACTTTACTAGAAATAAACTGAATATGTAATGTCCAATTTAATTGGACATTGAATTGGACCCGCTGCCTGGCTATTACGTGAATTTAGTCGTCATTAATCCAAGGTACCTCTGTTTGTTTCCGGCGAACCATGACATGCGTGTTTATCACTTACTCCCTGAATCGCGGCTTTAAAGTTCTGCCAAAGATGACCAACATCCTTGTCAGATTCATATATTCAGACCAGACTATTTCATTTAAATCTTCCTTAACATTTTGTTTGTCAAAAGTTCCAAATGTTCGAAACCTGCTTATTTGAGATTTTAGTAATGACATTTACCAATTTATTACCAAGTAAACCAAAGAGTGACCACTGATTCCAATGGTATGAACCCCTGATTTGAAACAAGTTATTGCATCAGAAACCAGCATTAAATCAATTAATGTTTTACTATTGGGGGAAATACGGGTATAGTCATTGATCATTTGACGTATATACTGACATTAATACGCAATTCATTTATTCTATCAGATAAACGGTTGCTTGTCATCATATTACAATTTAAGTCACCCAAAATAATAATGTAATATGTGACAGAAAATATCTTGTTCAAATATATTAAAGAAAAGAGTTGCATCACTGGATGGTTTTCTATATAATACTCCCACAAAATAGGAGCTGCTTTGGTGACTTTTTATTTCTAACCACAGTTCAGTCTCGTCACATTCCAAATCTTCCCTTCTTAAGAAAGATATTTTTTTTCTTTATGTAGCAACCCATTCCTCCTCCAACTGACCCTCTATGTTTACCTACTAATTTATATCCAGGCACACAACCAGCGCTCAAAATACACGGGGGCGGTGGGCGATTCGCCCCCGTGAGCTACAAAATCGCCCCCGTCAGGTTGCTCACGGGGGCGATTGCAAAATTAGAAATCGCCCCGGTGGAATTATAAAATAAAGATAATCTTTTCTGTTATAACTTTATCATAATATTGAGTTTCAATTTTCAAACCTTAAACCAATGAAATGGAACTAAGATTAGCGTGCAAGATTTCTCGTTTTATGAGTAGGCCTATTATTATCGATTCAGCTCGCAGTGCATGCAGTGCCGCCGTCAGGAGTGGTTATAGGCCTACTGCGCCGTTAGTAGCGGTGCGTGTGCACGCTGCCGCGCCATTTCTGCTGGAGCTGGAGGCGATCGAGCAAGGGCAGAAACATGGTCATGGCCTGGAGAAGTTTTTCGTTGTCAGCAAATAATGAACCTCGACCAGTAAATCAATATTAGGGACTTTTAGATTTGCACGATGAGAGCGTGGAGGCACTGCCAGTGCTTAAAAGGACGTAACACGTCCACGTCCACGTCCACGCAAATCTAAAAGTCCCCTTTGAGGAGAAGAGGAAGACCAAAATGTCGTGGAATGATATGGTAACATGGGCAGATCTACGGCGGGGGGGGGGGGGGGGGTTAACCCCCTCCTCCCACCCCCCGGCCCCCTTGGGCTGCCAAGTGAAAATGTGATATTAAAGCGGGGGGGGGGGGGGGGGATTCTGGAGAGGAGGACTACTAATCTATTTTATTTTTTTCAGGGGGCGGGGGGAAGTGAAGCGCCGTTTTAGCATGACTTTCTTTTTAACTCCTACTTTCACCTATCTCAGATAACCCTAAGTTTTTGGTTGCTGCTTTATATGGAGTTGATAATGCATGATTAAAATAAAGAGAGAGAGAGAGAACCACCATCATTTTGCAATGGTTCAGAGTTCATGTAATGTACATTTGAAACCATTTCTTAGCGTCTCAACTATAAAAAAATAGCAAAACTATTTTTGAGGAAAAGCATTATACTGAATAAAATAAAAAATAATAGCTTTATATTGGATCATACTAATATAATATAATAATAATAACTTTACTTATATAGCGCTTTTCATAAAACATTTATATCAAAGCGCTTTACAATATTGATACAATTAAAACTTAACAGAGTAATGACAAGAAAACAAATGAATGAAAGTGAAATTATGAAACATAAGATAACAAGGTAAGGTAACAATATAAGAACTAAGTAACAATTTAAGAACTAGGTAACAATTTAAAAGCTAGGTAGAATATGCATTTTCCATTGATACGGGCTAAAGAAAATGTGGTATTTGTATAGAGGTATTCCAAAATGACATTCTGATAATCAACATTTGTTCTGGTATCATTATGTATATACGCATAATACAACCGATTTTTATGATTTCTTAACGTGACATAGCTTCTTCTCCCTCTGCAAACAAAACAAAAAACAAGGTTATTTAATAAAAGGACCATGCGACAAATAATCATTGTGATTCAAATCTTCTTTGCAAAAACGACTTTTACAAATCTCAGCCATGCAATTCTGCCACTGTGCTGTAAGATCACTTTGAGATTAGGAGAAGTGTATTATGTAATGGGTATTTTAAATTGAACGGAACGTCTCAACTCAGTAAGCATGGCTGAGATTTGTAAAAGTTGTTTTTACAAAGAAGATTCGGGTGAATAGCAGTGCTTATTCAAACAAATATTTGCATCAATTTGAATCACAATCATTATTTGTCGCTTAATCCCTTTTAATGACCATGTTTTCTTTTTCGTTTGCAAGGGGAGAAGAAGATATGTCACGTTAAAGACATCATAAAGATCAGTGTTGTATGCGTATATATTATATACACAGGCCAGTAACAGCTATGTAGCTTGTAAATTTGTAAGAGGGAAAATGCTGATTGAAATGATAATGATGAAATAGCAAATAATTGAGGAGTATCATAGGTACCAATTCAATGGATATTTGTATAAAAAAGAGCCCCCGTGAGAAGGCTCACGGGGGCTCTTTTTTTCGGGGGAAGAGCCCCCGTGGACAAAAAATTAATTTGAGCCCTGCACACAACTAATTTCATTCATACATATTATGTCATCGTTTAACCATGTTTCGGATAAACTGGACAATTCATATTTATTACTTGTCGAAAAATACTGAACATCGATCACCTTATTCCCTAAGCTTCTGATATTAACATGGGCAATATGATATTCGTCCCTTTTTCATATGGAAATTCACCATTCCTTGTTTCTCCTGTACGTATACTTTTATCATCTTTATCACAATTTGTGTTTTCTGCAGCTGTAAATGACTCATCATTTTCGTTATTAGCATTATCCCAAAATGGTAGTACCTGTAACAAACATTTATGGCATTGCCAATCTACAAAGTCCTCGAGTGGATCGTTATATTTACATAATGGGATTCTGTCAAACTTAATGTGAAGCCATTCTCCACACTGTCTACATACGAGAGCTTTTTGGTTTCGTTTCACTGGCTTACTACAACAAACACATGAATACGTAATCCCCATATCAAAACATGAAAATCAACATTAATTTAAGTAAAGAAAAATATAATACCATTAAGATTTAAAAGTGTTAACAAAAATTCTTTGTAAAAGATGCTAAGAAGCTAATTGGAGAATATTTATAGTGAAATCAAATTAGAGCTGATAAAATCGAATTGAATACGATTCATCAAAGAAAGATTTTTCTATCAAAATCAATACAATAATAACAGTGTCGAAGCTGAAAATTACGACATGAAAGTTCTGCTTATTGGTCAGCTATTTCATAATGAATGTTCTCAGTTCTTACCTAATAGAAGACATGTCCACACTGCATTAGACCAAGCTGAAATCAGAAGATACCAAGCACTTACATGAAGACATAACGCTACCAATAAAACCTGCAAGTGAAGACCCCCAAAGGCCATTTTCACATTCAAAATTATACTATATAAAGCGAGCACTACGGAGAAATTAGTAGTGGGTTGATCGCTCCCTGTAAAACTTGGTCTGGACATGGACCTACTACGAAGGTATGAACAACTGATCAATGATCTCAGATTGCAGCTATTATAGCGGACCAGGGGGTTTCAAGGTCTTTTTGAAGGAGGAGTAACATTTGGCGGGGGAGGGGAAGTGGGTTGTGTTAGTTATTATGAAAAAATAATGAACCTATGAGATCTACTGAAGGCATTATATAATTTAAGGCGTTTAGGGTGATTCTTTTCCTACAAAAAAAACGTCTACAGATAGTTATAAGGCTCATTTATATATTTTTAGAGAACAGATCATATAGGAGAAGAAGCCTTTAAGCGTGGTACAAAGGTCAATGGAGTGGTCGTAATGAGCCAAGTAAATACAGCTATACATACATATATATCTATACAGCCGATACCGTTGAAACCCAAGCGTCTATATTGCGGTTTACTTGACTTCAATTACCACCCCTCCTTGTGTGATATGGACAGGACCCGCGCTACGTTTTTTTCAAAGTGGAGGGGGGAGGGGGGGGGGGGGGCTAAAATATAACAAACACATTTTTAATGTAGCTCATGATGTTATATCAAATTTAAAACAACTACGCCATATTTGTTTAGTATTGGCAATTTTTATTTTGAATTTTTCTCAGCAGTTCTAGCATTTATTGATACTTCACTTGTTTTAAATACGATGCCCCTACATTTCATCATTGATTTCAGGTATTTCTATATGCATTTAGAGTTTCTGCTAGCCGCTAGCGTTTTACGCCCTATAATACATTTTAAAAAATTGTTTGTATTTAGCGAATAAAGTAAAATAATACGGAGCTGAAAAAGAGGAAAGGAATGGAGAGGGTTTTTTAATAAAAGAAAAACTTACAATTTAAATTCTGTTTAATATTATGTTGAGAAACATGAAGCTCATTTTTTTTAGGTTAAGTATTATTCTGAAAAAGCAATGCTTGTTCTCGTTTTGGGGATGAAATAACTGTGTAGTGCGGTAATATCTTACTATTATTATGTGATTGTGATATATTGTAGTCATACACATTGCGAAATTATGAACAATAAATTATATTGTATTTATGTTCGTTTATCAAATGATCAAAAAGTTTTGTTATAATTATGTTTGTATAAACTGTGTTATGTACGAAAAATAATTGGAGTTTTGAGAAACAAAATCAATTATTGCAAAAAAATTATCACAATTTGATATTCAATGTGACTATTCATCAAATAATTTCCATACTTTCAGAGCCTAATCGAATCCAATACAAAATATTATTATACGAAAAGGGATGATACGTTTTATGCTAAGTAGCAATACTCTGGAGTTTAAAAAGTCTTGAACGTGTATTCTAAACTAATAATATATTTTGTCAAAATATTTTTTTTTCTTCATTTGCTTTATCAACAGATGGAAGTTTCCCGTTTCGTTGTCATGGTTTCTTTGTGTTTCAATAATCATTTGGATAATTGTCAGTATACTATTTCATGCATATTGCGCGGTTCTCTTTCTATTTTGACTTTTCATAATATATCCCTTTTTGAAGAAGCAAAGTGAACAAGAGGGGAGAAGGTGACGGAAGTGACTACCCCCTCACAGGTTTTTGAAGTTTTGTTGTATTAAAACATTACATTCTTAAGCAAAACTATAGTGTGACTTCCAAAACACCTCGACACCATCGACGACAGAACTTGACAAAACATATAAACATTTGTTTCGTCATATGTCGCCATTATAACTCATTTATCATGAAATCATCCTTTTAGATGTAATAAACTTCACCTCAGTGAAATATAATACTGCAACCCTAGTTCACTTGTTTGTATTAATTCCTATTGTTATTTGCTTAAACCAAGATAAATTGTCATACAATTTGATCTATAATACTCTGTGGGTCTTTCCACACTTGTTACAATTAGATAAACCATTCAATTCCTTCATCGTATATGAACTGAATAGATTGTGATTAATGTAAAAGTCTACAGGCCTATACCTTCATAATCATAACCTTGACATAACAAATCAAATCATGCACTGCACCAATGTTTCTAGTGCTGCATGGTAGTAATATTGTCTCTCTTTTGTAGAGAGTATGCACACTCATTATAATCCAACTGAGCTACAAACTCCATAATATGCCTCTTATAATTTCATATCGTTCATCTTTACTTTGATAGCTAAACAATACCTAAACGTAAATGCCAACATACGCCTGATTCATTATCAAAGTACATTACACGTACTGACAAGTACATTCAGGCGCGTACGCATGATTTTTTCAAGGGGGGGGGGGGGTTTAACATTTATAAATCGGTCCGAAAATTTCGCAACGACACAGCCAGCCGCAGAATAAGCGGGGGGGGGGGGGGGGGGGGGGTAAGAGGACACTTTTTTTTTTGGGGGGGGGGGTCTCGAAATTTGATATTTGGCTCAGTTGGGGGGGGGGGGGGGTAAGGTCACCTTTTTTAGGTCGCCGTGGGCATAGTTTTTTTTTTCGTTTTTTTTTTCTCATATACGGTTGTCTCATTTACTTCGTTTTATATTTATATATGTATGTATTATGCAAATGAGATAGCAAGAAAAAAAAATCAAAAGGGGGGGGGGGTTAGGTTTTTTCTAGGGGGGTTTACATACATAAAATTACCAAAGGGGGGAGGGGTTAACATTTCCGAAACAGGGAAATTAGCAGCACGCCTAACAGCGCCTCCAAGCGGCCAAATCAGTACTAGCTTCTTATTTATCGCTAGTGACGTCACAGTCTTGCCTAAATCTAACCAAAAGGGCTTTCTACACACGACATATAGTATAAAAACAAGCAAGACTACTTTTTTAACACTTCACTTTTACTTTGCAGGTCATTAGTGCGCAGTCCTAAGGGTCGTAAATATTTAGTAGGTAAATTATATGAAGTAGGGAGCTTGGCATGGATAAGATTTCTATTTCCCACTATTTACACAAGTAAATAGTGGGAAATAGAAATCTTAATATGAAGGATAATATGCGAGGGAGTTTAACGACCGAGCGAGAAGATTTTTGCATTTTCAATTATCTAAATGCTGCATTAAAGGCTATATGAATGGATCTCGTTTTAAAGAAAACTTACACTTATTCTTTAGGGTGAGGATTCCTTTAGTATGCCTTGCTTGAATGCAAAATGGGAGAGGCTTGAAGAATCTTGCTAGGCTAGGCGAGCCCCCATCTAGAACTGCTACAGACTGCATCAACCCAAGCATCAATACATCTCGGCATCTAAAAGGTAATACAAAGTTTTGGGAAATTTTGAAAATTGGTTGGATAGTGATTCTTTACAAAGTTGATATATTGAATGCCCCTGCGGATGTATTATAATCACTAGAAAAATCAGCTCCTAAAACACTTCTGCTTTCGAGTAAAATTGAATATCAAAATTTACCGGTGCTCCCGGTAAATTTTGATAAATTTCAAATAGCGCTTACAGCCATACAGTTGTAGCTGCGGCCATGAACATCTCAGAGTATGTAGTTGTGATATATAATTTCCAAACGGAAATAACCAATCGGTCGATTTTAGTCAAGAAACATTGATTTATGGCTTAATTAATATTTTGACCTTGAGAGGGAGCTATACAACAAAAGGAGTTTATTATTTACCATTCCATAACTTAAGACTCAATTTCAACTGCGACAACGATCCCTCAATATTGTAGGATCGCATATGCTTCCAATACGTTAATTTGAACCAAAATCATGACCCAATACCAAAACTTTGTATTACCTTTAAACAGAGTGTATAAATATATTTGTTGTAATCAATATTCTTTATTTTTAGTGTACTGTGTAAATATCTTATGCCTTGTTATTAGCATATGCGATTGTTGATGATTTACAAAAATTTGGATTCTAAAAACATGTTATTTTAATCCAGAACGTTACCCCTGCAGTATGCACATCGTATGCTCTCTCTCTCTCTCTCTCTCTCTCTCTCTCTCTCTCACTCTCTCCTTTCTTCTCCTCTCCACATCTCCTCTCTTTTTCTTTACTCTTCACATATGCAGCAACATTTTCTATCCTTGCAGTTTTCTCTTTTCTGTTGTGTTAAACGTATATAGTTGTTTCTTTTAAATAAATAGTATTATACATTTCTGTCTTATCTGTCAGTCCCCATTGTTTCTTATGACCTTTCAAGTGTTCATTATTCTTTATACGTGTCGTAACAGTTTTCAAAAAATAATGTTTGTCATTATTTTGAGGGATCCAAATTTTACAATCTCTGCTTTTCAGTGGATCCCTCCATTCTATTATACTGGATATTTATGTTATTTATGTTATATCCGTTTCCTTGTGAAAATCACTGTTCTTTTGGAAATGAAAAATAAAACTGAGACTGAAACTGAAACTGGATCTTGTCTTCTCATTCCATAATTCTCACCCAGCTTGTGAACCAAGTCATGTCTAATTCTGCAATTCAGTGGTTCCTGCTATTACTTCTCTACGGCAAAATCCGACTTCTACTCGGCCGAATCGTCATGCGAGGACCTCGGCATGCATGTGACAAACATCGAGTCGCAGGAAGAACAAGAATTCCTGGTCAAGAACCTCCCCAACAGCGGCGAGGATTGTTGGATAGGGCCATCTGCAGTGACCTGGCTCGACGAGTCAATCCTGATCTAGGACAATTTTGGTTTGTTTCAGGATGTATCCATGGTCCAGGTTCAAGTGCTACGACGACAGCTTTTTCGAGACCATACATTTTATTTGTGAAGTAGAAGGCGGTGAGTGCAAACCCTACAGAGAAGCGGGCGCAGGCAGTTTCACGAAAGCGACATAATTATCTCGTTAAACTCTATGACATCTATACCGATGGTCCACAAAACCGATAGATACAGCACATTGGACCTACAATGTCGGTCTTGTGAGCCTTTGGACAATTTTTGAAAGGGTTCGCTGGATTGACGGCATATATTAAATCAAAACCCCACTATATAGAGCGAAATCTTTCGTTGCTTATTACGTATTTTCCGGGGGGGGGGGGGGTCTCTTTTCTATATCCGACGGATTTCTTTCAGTCAGCTGTCGGTCTTCTGAGATGACCTTGACGATACAGGTACACTTCTGACAACGGCTCTAGCTGAGTCTAGCCCTAGATATTACGTCCCGTCAAATTCCCTTAATGCTCTAAGGATTCACACGGAGAGAATGTTCACCGGCAACACGAGGGCACTCGTTTTCCGCAGGTTCATAATAAGCGAGTTCGTAACGACGTCAACGTGTCATAGGTTAAATGAACATATCTCCAAAGCTTACTTTCCCGTTCACTCCCACGCTCTGTGTAATGTACATAGTGATACGTGAAAATGTGTGCGTGCGTTCGTCCTTAACTGTTAAGTGCATGTTTTACCGGCTGTTCGCCGTGCTTTTTATCTTTTTATTCATCAAAAATTCCTACAAGAGTGGTTGCAATTGATTAGGAAGGCTTCTTTGATAGATGATATACGTTTGTGGACCGTCAACTCATCAATTTTATCATAGAGGGGGACTCAGATCACGAGGAGTATATTTCTCTTGGCGTAAGTCCCCTCCTATTAAAGGGAAATTTGATGATCTTAACACGCAAGGGGGACTTGCACCACGAGAAAAATAAAGACAGTTTCTTTAGTGTTTTTTAATCACATTCTTTTTATTATATTTTCTAAAATTATTTATTAGTATTTACTATTGTTTTATTTCTACAGGTTGGTCTAACTTCAAGTCCATTTCTGGAACTGCTCTCCTAGAGAGCTCTGCATTCACATAAGAACATGTACAATATAAACATGAATTCAAAACACAATTATATACATAGGTAAAAATGTACATGGCATATACATTAATTCAACTAAAATTTATATCAATAACAAAAAGGGGAAGAAAAAATATTAAGTATAGGTAACATAAAAACCCACATTAACAATTATTAGAAAACAATACAACCATCATGAACAAAATGAAATGTGATTAATAAAGGTCAAATTAACGTAAAAATATATTTACAAGAGAAAGTGAAAAGTTTGAACATACTTTTTAAAACTTTACAAAGACCTACAGTTTTGGATATCACAGCTAAATTTGCTGTATAATTTAGCCCCTAAAATCGCTTAGGTTGTAATGTTAGAATTAATTCTAAATTATGGAATCAATAATGGACTGTTTAGAGCATAACGAGTATAATATAATACCGGTCATTTACTAATACATGGATTTAGAAATGGTGGTGATAGGTCGTTGATGATTTTAAAAATCAAGATGCATTTTTTATATTTTATTCTATCCTCTACTGACTGCCGATTCAATTTACCCATTAAAAAGTAGTTCGTCTTTTCAATCTGAAACGTGTTCTTTGTTAAAATACCTAATTTGTTTAGTGGTAAATAACTGAATTATGTATTGTGAATATGTTTTGATTTTTGTTGTTGTTGTAATGTGCTTATGTATTTACCACTTTCCTACAGGGCTCCTTTGAAAAGCAGGACTTGCGGCTCTGAAGGGACTACCCTGTATTTTAAAGAAGACTGAATAAATAAATCAATCAATACACCAATGCGTCTAATCTCTATTATGTGTGAGAGGAAGAGAACTGACACAGTTTCGCTAAAAAAAAACCATACAGTGAAAGGCACTGCACACAAATATGTCAATATTTGTTGTGTTATATATTGTATTACTGTATGGTTTATATATTTCATTTAATTTGTGGATATTTGAGTGGAAAATAAATAAAATAAAATAAAATCGAATCAAATCAAATCAAATATTGATTACATAGAGTGGTGAAGTGTGACGTCATCAAAAATCTATTTTTTGAATTTCTCAATTTTTTCTTCATATTCCGAAAGAACATCAAAAATAATGTCCAAATGTCGAAAACCAATTAAATATGTTAAGTATTGGCTGAGATATGACCATCTGAATAAATATACTCCCCATAGGAACTCAGTGTTATATGCTCTGGCTCCTAATGGTTAGGAGCCAGAGCATATAACACTGAGTTCCCATAGGACATATATTCATTCAGATGGTCATATCTCAGCCAATACTTAACATATTCAATTGGTTTTCGACATTTGGACATTATTTTTGATGTTCTTTCGGAATATGAAGAAAAAATTGAGAAATTCTAAAAATAGATTTTTATGACGTCACAGCTTCGGTACTCTATACACATGCAGAAGGAATCTATCGGTAGTCACATTTGGCTATGTAGAGAATGAGAAAGCTCACAATTGTTCTTTTGTTCACTTTTAAAAGACATAACCTTCCCTTTAAGATACATGCAACCACACGATAAAGACTGAATAGAATAAATTGACGGAAACGTGAAAATTCATCTACTTCGTTTAAATGTTTGATTATTCTGATATTATAAAACAGACAAACGGCAAATCCATAATGATGACTACCGTTACGACAACGGCTATATTCTTTGAGCTTGAACAGACCGCAAAATCATATTCATAGAGGTCGAATAGAAACTGTTTCGAACGCCGTGTACGGGTTTGACGAACCACTCAATCAGCATTTCGATCATGGGCGCGATCTAGAATTTGGTCTTCATCGCTTGGGATAATAAGAGCAATGCGACAAAGAGGACGAACATGACACCAACGACGATTGAGATAATGACGATGAAGGTCATGGAACCTTCTTTAACTTGTTCTGTAAGAAACATAAACAAAATAGTAAGTTACAGAAATATACGAGAAAAAGTAAGAGAATGCACAAAGATACACAAGATTTGTCGACGTTTACTTCCAGTGGCTTCCCTTGATGTCGGTAAATACCCCCCCCCCCTCCTTCACATGGTTGAAGAGGGCTTGCTTTGGGCATCATTGTGACTCCATGTACCCAACCACTACACCCATCACTTCACCCACACCCCAGGCTGGTCCATTTAATACATTCAGATAAGAAAGAAACACACTTCAAATATCTAAAACAGTGTGAAGCCCCCCCCCCCCTCCATTCAAAGGTTTATGCATACACACAAGCACGCATACACACAAGCACGCATACACACACACACACGCACACACGCACCACCAAACACACACACACACACGCGCGCGCGCCCATTACTCAACAACGATTTGTCGTGAGTCTATGGCACTCTGGCTTCCTTGGGCAAGCCAGGTGTATAACACCCCGCCCTTGCATGAGTCTGCATGCCCCCTCCCCCATTTAAACAAATATATTACTGCATACCCCAGTGCCTCTTAACTTAAAATAGAAGACGCTCCTGTATATTTTACCATTCTCACACACCCTTCCCGGGCCCGCACCAGTAGGTGAGATATCTGTGTAGCCCGGAGGACAAGCGCAGGAGAAAGTTCCAGGCTCGTCGGTGCAAGCCGCCACTGGGGAGCAGTCATTCAGCTTGGCGGAGATGCATTCATTCTGGTCTGAGAGGGAGAGAGAGGGTGGTGATAGAGAGAAAGGGAGGGTGCGAGAACGACAAAGAAAGAGAGTGGAAGATCGAGAATGTGAGAAACAGACAGAGAGGAGCAAATATTTTAATTAATCACCAAACAATTAAAATATAGTCACAAGTTGCTTAATGTTGACTTAGAGCACATGATAACCCTGTATTATTTCTTTGTAGAATTAATATGTGTTTGAAACTCATGTTTTCAATATTATTTATCAACATGGAACCCCTGATATACAGAGCGCATTGGAGATGATTGGTATAGAGATATCGACTGCTTTGAGAGGCCTGGCTGTTTTATATGCTCAAGGGAACGCGCGCATCTCCTGCAATGAGATGTGGGTGTAAGACAGTGCCAATGCCTTTCTCTTTGATTAGTAGGGTTAATTATAATGCCTGTTACGCCCACCGCACACCACACAACCGTCCTCCAATCAAATAAATGCACTTCAATTGTATTTGTATTAGATTGGAAATCTAGGCAAAAATCATCTTCCTTATTTAACTTCTAAATATTGATAAGAATACTTACAACCTGAATTCAGTATATTAAGAATCGTCTAAAAATCGTAGGCAATCGCACTACTGGTCTAACGTCACAACGATTTGGAGCCGATTGAGCATTTTCCAAGCAATCATGAAAACCCACTAAATTTCGATTTTCCCAATCATATGACTATTTAGATCCTAGATTTCATATGTTAGAATGTTCGTATAAAGTACTATTGCAAATTCTCAAAAAAAATCGGATCGTACTTAGATCGTTTAGTTTAAGACCTACTTTAATTTACGCTCCACTTGCTTCGCTCGCTTTGCCTGATCGTAAATACTTTAGCCCCCCCCCCCACCTCACTTTGAAAAACGTTCCACGGGGTTTGCATGTAACATGTACGAGTGGAGGGTGATGCCGATTTTGTTCTGCCTCCGAAACGTTTTTGCTCATTAAGCCACTGCTCCCTTGTTCCTCGCATTTCGTCCCCCCCCCCCCGGACATGAACAGAAATCACCGCCCCTGTCCTATAGGCACCTCTCTTGCAGTAGCCTATAAGCCTTAGTTCTGGCGATAGTGGGAAATTATTATTGGTTATCACAGCCTACCTGCACATAATCTTCCAGAGCTCCCAGTAGAGTCTTCATATCCCGAGAGACAAACACAGTTATATCCACCGACTTTGTTCGTGCATCGGGCGAACGGAGAGCATTCATTTAAGGATGAATGACTGCATTCGTCGATATCTAAATGTATAAAGAACGTGGTCACAAAGACTGTCAAAACTCAACTAAAGTTGTTTCAATAGGTTGTGGATTACCTTCTTAGAATAATAATATGTCTATTTATATAGCGCAACTACTATCTGAATAAACTCTGCCGACATTGATACAAAGTATCATAATATTACCCCGGCTGTAGCTGAGTCGTCATGAAAAGGCGCTAAAGCATTCAAGGAAAGTCATCCTACTGGGTACCCATTTACTTCTCCTGGGTGGAGAGTTACAAATGTGGATTAATATCTTTCCAAAGGACATTAGCTCTAAGACTGGGCTCGCGAACCATGTGATCCACAGTCCGGTGCTGTATCCACTACACCAGGACACCTCTACTACGTGGAATAAAAATTACGGTACATAATATAAATGATAAAACAATTATAAAATACGCAGAGCATATGTTTGGAGAAATGGCAAACGGGTAAGGCCTATCCAATGTCAATCCCAGCGGGAATGGAGTAGAAAATATAAATTTAGTATCAAGCAAAAACAGAAATGACAAACAAAACAATGTAGATAGTCAGTAGAGATATATCTTTAGCTAAGTTAGCGTCTGAATCTTTAAATCGGCATCATTATCTTACCAATACAGACCGTTCCTTGCCCATCTGTCGGATCCCCTTGATCTCCAAAGCCAGGCAGACAGGAGCACTGGTAGGAACCAATCGTGTTGTTGCAAGTAGAATAGACAGAGCAAGCGGAGTATTCCATTTCATCGCATTCATCCAAATCTGAGACAGAAAGATGGGTTTTCTATATGTCATTTGTTCGTTTATTAAATAACTCTTTAAAAACACAATCACAAAAAAACATACGAAATATCAACCTCAGGCAATTTCATTACAATGACGTATTGCCTAGTCCGGACATAACTTCTAAAGGCCAAACAATAAGGTATATTAAAAAAGTTACCCTTGAATTGATTTGTACAACAATCATGGAAAAAAGGTCTACGTAGTGTAAAAGTAGGACAAATATTAGGACCTTCATCAATGAACCCGTTTTCATTATCTTCAGGTTTCATTCTCTCAATTCTGCTTTAGTTCCTAACTAATAATATACGTATCTAAGAAATAATGCCCCAAAAGGGAAGAATATCGATCGTGAATTCGAACCCGGAACCTTCGATTTCCAAACTCGCTATCCACAGAGCCATGGCCCATCGCATACCTTGAACATCGATAGAGCTAACATCCACGGTGTAAGATGTGTATCCAGACGACAGATCTTCGGCGGCAAAAATATAAGAATCCGTCATAAGATCATAAATCATGACGTCATCCGGTGTACTGCCTGCATCGAGAACGATGTCCATCTCTACTCCGAGACTCCCATTGAAGGACTTGATTGCGACACTGAATACTGAGTCAACGAAGATCTGCCATCTTGATAACCGGTGAAAAATCTGAAGGAAGTAAGCGGGCAAATAATGAGCATTCCATTCATGGCATTTGTAATAGTAAACATTAGGTTTGATTTTTTCCCTCGTCTTTATAATTATGACCAATTCGTGAAAAATAGGAAAATAATCAGCATTTGTAACATTTTTCATAGTACCATCAGAAATTAATTTGTCTTTCTCCATGATTGTTGTTAAAGTAGTATCCCGAGCAGAATTAGAACTCGGCTGTGCTACGGCGATCCGGTCTGGCATAAAATCTTTGAGTAACCGGTTTTACCATACTCATTTTCCCCCAATAGACTGTAGTGTTATAAAAACCGTTAGGAAAACGAAAAATTAATTATTGATTTCCAGTCACAGATATCTTGATAATCAGACAGGCGATCGGCTTGTAAAAGCCATGGGATTCCTGACTGACCTTAACGTTATAATTATGATTGCAGCATGAGCTAAATCCAGGATTTCATTTCAGAATCTCAGTCAATGTTACCGAGTAACTTTGAATGCCGACTAAACGAATATTCAAATAGCATATTTAATTTCAATGGTTAACAGCATTTACATGCCTGGTAAGCAGTAAATAAAACTGCATATATCTTTGAACACTTTACTTCCACCTTTCCAAAAATAATGCATAATACCATAAATGCAGCGTTTGGAAGTGGCGGATTTCTTCCCTGTTTGAGCTATGTTATGTAATTTAACTGTGTGTATCTGTAGTGGTGGTTATTTAACCTGACTGCTAAGAAAGCATAATGCTTGTTAGTAAGCAACCAGAGGACCAACGGCTTTAGGTCCACTCCGAAAGACTTGGTAAATAGGAGTAATGCCTTACCAAATGTCACAAGCGCATCGCCTTGGCTTTGAATCCGGGTCACCGGATTACGAAACCACTGCTCTACCAACTGAGCTATGTGTTAGTCTCTTGATTGATTGAATGATTTTTTAAATATTTTTGAAGTAAATTGTCGTAAGATGGACGTTTTCGTACCGCATACTCTAGCTCTCCTCTGATTATTTCATCACTAGATTTGAAAGTGTCAGGGTATATTGCAAGTGACCCGTTGATCTTCGTAACTTGAAACCACAATTCGAACCGTCTCGGAACTGAAGAAAAAAAGATTATTAATTGCAATATATTATAAGTAACAATAAGTAACATGAACAGCGACACCAACAACAACACAAAATAATAATAATAATGATAATCACAAAAATCATAATAATCATAATCGTATAATAAAGATAATAATACTAATGTAAAGTTTACCCATGAAGCCTGTCATGGCAAACCTTCAACTAAGAAATGAGGCATGCAAAAGGTCTATTGAATGACCCTTTCTTTTTTTCAATGACACCTTGGCCGACTTTCTGAGAATCCTAAATTTCAACAATATCATTTGTTTATTTGTATGCGTTGGTGTGGTTATTCTCACACCTATGTAGTGATTATTGTGTTCTAATAGCAAAACAGAGTAGCTATATAATTCCAACAGGCATTATATAATTGTCTAACTTTTCAAATGAAGTTGTATTAAGTTCGTGTGATAATACTTACTTTCACAACCTTCTTCTGTTCTGATCCGACCGCGTCCACAGCTGCACAGCCCATCTTTGCAAACCTCATTCTGTGCACATTGGTCTAATCTGGAACAAATGGTTTTACCTGCGAGAAGAAAAGAAAAGAAGTTCCAGTTTCTTTTCTTCGAGTCAATGGACTATTAATATTTTGGACTAATAAGGTCTATTATAGTTCGTTTAAGACCTTGGTATAACTACTACCTGATGGCTCTGTATTAATCTTAATAATTTCTTACGCATTAGAGGAATCAACCTGCCTGGTATCCGTTCACTTAACCTCGGCGAAGAGTGACAAATATGGATTAATGTATTGCTAGAGAATATAAGTGCCTTTGCAGGGATTCGAACCCCGTATTGTAAGCCACATAGTCCGGTGATTTATCCTCTGGCCACGACACTCCCATCGCTAGTCTTCGCATGCATCAATGAATCAAACCTTGGTTTTTTCTGCTCTCTTTAACCTACTGTAATCGCAGTGGCGCCCTGCATATTCTGCGGTGCATGTACAGAAATAGCCCGTTATTATGTCCGAGCAAGTCGCTCCATAGTTGCAAGGGTCACTGTCACATTCGTTGATATCTGTGGGGTGATAGGACAGTTCATCATGTCACAAAGGTTTATCAAATATTTACTTGTTTTTATGCAATTATACCTTTTAATTTATGAAGAAGAATGTATAAATGTAAATTTGACATGTTATTTTTTAACAAATCACGTGATAATTATATCACACAAAGTGAAAAAAAAGTTTTTTATTAGGGATATGGTTCATTCCATTACACTGTGAAGAAATAAAGTACTGTCTGCAAGCGAGAAAAAAAAGGTTGATGATGCAGCCCTAAGAGTTGGTGTATACAGTTAGTTCTGGAATGATCAAAATAGCATTATAAATTGACCCAGTCTTGTTGTTATTCTCAATTACTCATGCAAAAATATATAAATGGAATTACACAAATATGTGGCATGAAAGTTTTTTCCAAGCACTTACGCTTTTTCTTGCAATATTTTGAATATGAGGGGATTAGAAGAGCAATCTTTTTGAAACATTTTTCTATGATATTCTTTCACTCAACTGAAAAAAGAATGAACAAGTTCGCAAATTCTTTTTCACCTTTCCCAATATCAACCTTCTCTTTAATCATCCAAGTTGAAAAAGTCATTTACATCAGCAAGGCTCTTTCGATCTCTACGGATCACATTTAACTCTTCCTCACGATGTAAAGTAGGCATATAACAATTGCCATTAAAAAAAAACTATGTTATCATAGGAGAACTTAATGTAATTCGTCGAATAGTCTCAAACAAATTACTTTTTCTTCGCTGCCTAATATTTATTGCAAATGATGCCCGGCTGTATTTAGACGTGAAACGTTTTAAAATAAAATATCCCCCTTTCCTGTTCTTTTTGACAAATAAACTCAAGTGAAATTAAAGCAGATCAAATCAAATCAAATATTGAGGGTGTAATGCCTGCAAGATAAACTAAATCTTACTCCAGCAAAAATCTTGATAATTTATTTGTTTACTTTTTTCACTAACCTCTGTCACATATTTGTCGCCGATAATCACTGGTTTGTAGTCGATACGCAGGCTATACACAAAAAAGAGTCACAGATGAAAATATTATAGTATTAATGACTGCTTTGAGAGAAATAGTTGTTTTTATACGCTCAAGGGAAGGTTAGAATTGTGCTATTGCCCTGAGGCGTGCCGAGGGCAATAGCCCAATTGCAACATTCCCGAGAGCGTATAAAAACAACTATTTCTCGAATATTAAAGCAGTCATTAATACTTTAATATGCCGAAAAAAAAAGAAAAAAAAAAAAAAAAACTTTTGTCGAAGATGGGATTCGATCTCTTGCGTACCAAAGGTGATATAACGAAAACCACCGCCTTAAACCGCTCGGCTATCGCGCTCTGTTACCATACATAGCAGTTTTTTCTTATATATACATTAAAATGGATTGAAAACGGCTTCGCGTGGTGCAAGCTTCGCGGCTGCTCCATTAAACAGGCACTTCTTTTACTTTTGCAATGCATATTGGCACGAATTTAGATCAAGACTATCGGCAGATGTTGTTTTTTTGTTTTTGGAAGTTTATTTTCGTCTTAATGTCAACAATGCAAGATAAAATTGTCGGTAAGATCGATCGATATTCAATTGTATTGAAATTACCGACCAATTCTTCGCACACGTACGGTATCCTCGATCGCTCAGACCATTTTTTAACATGTAAACCTATGAGGTAACCATGGAGACTGACCTATTTTCCCAATAACCATGGTTATTGGGATTTTGAACTGTTTTTTAACCATGGTTACCGGGAATTTTCGGGAACAGTTAAAGTTTATGAATGCAATTTCGACCAATAAGATTGCTTGATTACTTAAGTGAGGTATATAATAACTAATATGTTCCGAATACCCAATTATCTCTAACAAACGTGTACAAAAAAAATAATGTGATACCAGGAAAACTTACAACACGATTTCAAAGACTTTCAAACTTCAAACTAAAGCACTTTCAATAGCCTAATACATCACGTATTGAAGTGTGGGAAAAAACAATGAAATATAACATAATTCGTTGAAGATTTCTATTAGCATGACCGAATAGTGTATACAGATTGCCCTTACATAAGTTGGTTTTTGAAAGCCTTTCTGATCATCTTTTACTTGTTCTTCATACTTTTCTTCTCAATATTTAAGATATGAAATATATTACAAAATACCTTAGCTAAACCTCCTATCGAATACACAGTCGTATGTTCCCAAATACACATCTTTCTATACTTTGGTGACAGCATCTTTCAACAATTTACATATTTCATCTATAATATCTTTCTTACAAATATTCTAGACTTTGAAAAACCTTTGTCTGTGTTTTATTTTATTGTAAGTGAAATAAACACTTGTATTTAATGTTACACTGTCATGTGACTGCGTCATGACCTGGGTTTGAAATGTTTACATGTTGTTAATACTATTATTTTGAATCAAGAGGAGTCATATACTTGCACGTGAGCATAACCAATGAATTCTCGACTCTCCCGCTTTAAAAATACATTATATTCATGGTTTGTAAGTTGGTACAACAGAAAATTGGTTCAACTTACGAAAATAACAGGGCAATGATCAATGAACATAAACAAACCGCCAACACTAGCTATCTCCGTCTCGTTGAAGCCGGGAAGAGAATCAAAATACTGAAGTAGAATCAAATAATTTAGGAAAAAAAAGAAACGTTAAGATCAATCCTTTTTGCAGTTTCAAATGTATTTTTGTTCGCATGATGGATGGGTCATAAGTAAGTCTTATACTGGTACAATATATAATATTATGTTCTGATATTCAATATCATAAAATGATATGAGAGAAATCAAATCGTTATCCTCTGTTACTTGCCTCGATCACCAATAATGATTTCATTTATTGGAATAATGCATTACCATCTTCTTTATCTGTTTTCATTTTACGCCAATGATGGACAATCAAAGATATAGTGTAATCATGTACAAATATTAAAACAATGTTAATAATAGCAGTGATAATAACAATATTAATACAAAAATAGTATTAATGATAATACTGCTACTAATACTAAACAAATAATCGGATCTTATTTTTCCTCGGTAGCCACATCAATATTAATACTGTTCTTTCTCAACGATTGCCAGGTACCCATTTACACCTGTGTGGATAGTTGAAATATAGAATAACGTCTTGCCAAATGACGTTAGTGCCTGGCTGGGTTCCGAACACTCAACACATCATAACATTAAAATTGTCTTCGACATTGAACTGTCGATCTTTGTCGGCACCTGATATTGATCCGGCAGTGGTTCATCGAGTTTTTTGTTAGTACAGACGGCAGCATTGCCTTCCATACAGAGTAGTTCACTGGGGTTCTCACAGTACGGGATTAGGGACAGCCCTCTTCATGACAGACCGCGAAAAGGAATGTAAAAAGAAATCAAATTATTAGCAATAAAAAATATTAAAAAAATAAAACAAGAAATGTTTAATAGATTATAATGGCCTAGAATCATATTTTGAAGTAATTTTAGTCAGTTCCTCAGTTTTGTCACAATAAAATAATACTAATTAAAATGTATTTTGGATTGAGTACACACGATAATTAAATTGCTTTGATTTGCTCTTAGTAACGTTTAAATATATAACTAGGTTAAATTGGAATTCAGTATACGAAGAATCCCGATCGAAAAATCAAAGCTGACTGGTTGGCATAGTTATACCTCTTTATTTGAATTGAATTGAATTGAATTTATGTATCAAATTTTATAGTTAGTATGAAATTATACGCCATATTGTTGTGTATCGATATGTTTTTCAATATTACCCACAAAAGACCACATTACGTTTAAAAATTAATATTTATCAGTCGCTTCTTGTTCTTTCTTTGTTTCCTACTCGAGTTTATTCACCCGTTTTTTCACCTGTTTCTCTGAGTGTCCATCCACCATTTACAACTCTTGTTGACGAAGCCACACCCGAGGTCACGACCCCAAGTAAATGGGTCAGCGAGGTCATAGTTCACTTTATACCATCCGGTATCTTCGAGGAATGCCAAAGTGAAACGAGAGAATTTTCGCCCCTTAGTGAAAGCCGGCCCCATTGACTCGGTCTAACAAACAAAAGGTTAAAAATTGAGTGCTATATTACTGTAGCCTTAACCTTTTATCATTAAGCTGATGAGGTTGGGTATAAGTTACCTAAACGACCCAGATACACCAGAACAAAGGTGCCCATACAGGTGTTGACACATGAAGGTGGCAGAACATAGGGATGTTTTAACCTCTATTACGTCTATGTTTTAACCTAGTGGTATCGGAAACATACGGGTGTCAGCAAATAAGGGTGTTGGCGTTGGAACATAAGATTGTCGAACATAAGGGTATTGCAACACCCCAATAAACAGAACACTAAAAAGTAACCTCTTTTGGGAGTGTATTTTAAGTGATTTTAAAGTATAGTGCCTTTTGAACTAGATTTAAACGTTATCGACACGTGCTTTCATTTAAACAAAAAAGGTATTCCTGTTCACGTTTTCATCTAACCTAAAAACCACCAGTTTATCACGCGACTGGAGTAACGTGATTCCACTTACCTCTGTAAATAAAGTGTTTATGACCAAATAACCACTTGACCAAGCAACGAGTTTTTTGTCCGTTAACCGATGGTGGCGATAAATACGTAATTATTTGGTCTTGTAAGCACCTTTATCGATTGGTTTCACATGTTATCCAAGGTTGATGGTAATAATCACGTTACTTACACCGGCTAATCGTCTTATTGTTCTGTCCGTGAATCTCTGGTTATATTAAATTAGTAATTCGGAGGTGTCTTACACACCTCTTTAAATGGTTTCAAAGTTACCATAAATTTCTTGGTTATGATCACGTGGCTCAAGCTGATTACTAATCTGAGCTGTGAATCCGTGATATGTAGGTGTGCAAAATTAGTAATTATTAGGTGTCTTAAAACACATATTTAAATGGTAGTTAAAGTTGTCAGCAGTTCCGCGGTGATAATCTCGTGACTCAAATGGAATATTAATCTAAGCTGGGCATACGTGACTTTTAGGTGTGAAAAATTAGTAATGATTAGGTGTCTTAAAGCACCTATTTAAATGGTAGTCAAAGTTGCCATAAGTTCCGCGGTGATAATCCCGTGAGTCAAACGGATTATTAATCTAAGCTGGGCATACGTGACTTTTAGGTGTGAAAAATTAGTAATTATTAGGTGTCTTAAAACACCTATTTAAATGGTAGTCAACGTTGCCAGCAGTTCCGCGGTGATGATCTCGTGACTCAAACGGATTATTTATATAAGCTGGGTATTCCGTGTTTTCCAGGTGTGTAAATGAGTTATTCTTGGGTGTCTTGATGGTTTCACAGTTACCATTTAAGTTCCGTGGTGATAATACCGTGACTGTTGGCATATTTCTATGTTCACGAGTTGATAACTGACTGTTGGCATATTTTCATTGCACCAGTTGATAACTGGAGTGTGCATATTTCCAGTTGCACCGGTTGATGACTGAGTGTCGGCATATTTCGAGTTGAACCAGCTGACACCAGTTAATTTGCATATTGAAAATGGGGTGCGTGCAGATCTATGTTTTTTAAACAATTTATCTGAATTTACAGCATATTTCTTAATAACTGATGATTTAGTTATATGCAATTCATTTCGAAAATACTACAAATATAAATTACCAGTTATTAGGACATTTCGCTACTTCGTATAAATTACATTTAGTTAAACATGAATAAGGGAAACATTAACTATGAACTAAAATAATTTCAATAAAGTACAAGTATACGAAATTTTTAGATTAATTAAATTACGTAAGTCTACTTATTACCAATGCCTTTACATCGGAAATACAGACGTACCAGTATTGAAGTATTGTTGCTGTACAACTGGTTGGAAGTTAACCAAATGGTTCTAATGGCTCAGCTAGACCAGTTGAAGTATAACTGGCCTGGATCAACTGGATCATTTAGCCCATTTTAATTTCCAGGATTACCAGTTGGCATTAAATGGTTCATCAACTGGACCAGTTGCTGCAACTAGCTTTCTCTTCTGGGATGTTTGCACCCACCCCTCCCCCAACCCCCTCTAACCCCAAACTGCTACCAGCACGCCTGGACGTAATTATGGAAGATCCAAGACACGATGTTCAGAAACGGGATGATTATTATTATTTTAGTTCATTTATTGTGTAACATTTGCGTAATTATTGGGTTAAACGCGGGTTACAGTAACATACTTCCTCTTCGACGTAAATTTCACGTGAATGAAGAACATGATTCATCTCAAGTCAGCCTCAATTTCACGCAGATATTTTGACCAAAACTATCACTAACGCTTCACGTGTTTCTGTGACGCGATAATTTCGTTTATGAAGATGTAATTTCATAACCAAACAAACACGGGAGTATTAGGTTTACAAACCATGGTCTCCAAGGTAGGGATAATCACGTTATTATAATGGTGATATTGCAGTGACAATTGCGTGATTTGGTGTACGTGTGTTTTAAGTTACCTAGTGCAATAAACGTATTAACACATTTACGTAAATGTCAGGTGTTTCAAGAACGTAACTCTCCTCAAGTCGATACCTTGATATTGACGTGATTTTCACGTGATTTTGTTTATTGGGACAGGAGGGAAAGACCACAGAGATGATGGAACATAGAGATATCGGATCGGTGGAATACAGGGGTGTTGGAACATTGGGAAGTCAATTTCAGAAAAAAGGTGACGGGACATTGTAAAATATGCAACAGAAACCCAGGCTGTAACATTTTCAATATTCTTATCTGAATTTAGATTATCATAAATTAATTACATAATTGTGTAGGTGAATAACAAAAATGAGAGGTACACCATTGAAAGACACATCTGAAGAATCCTACCGGCATCAATCGGGCCTCAAAATGACTGAGAGCGCTTCCAGATGGAAACCTTCCATAATCGTCCTCCAGTTCGACTCCCTCAATGGTGTCACATCCGTAGTATTCACGAGCTTCTCTCTACATTGATGAAAACCAATCTATATCTATATCTTTGATCTGAGCAGTATGTGTGCGTGTTTTTCTGTGTATATGTCAATGTGTATATAATACAGTTTATATAAACATGTATATATATATATATATATATATATATATTCATGTGCGTGTGTGTGTGTATACTGCGCAGATCAAAGATAATACTCTTTACACAATCATTGTGAACGAAATTACAATGTCTATAAGTTTTTTTTAAATTGGATGATTATGTAGTAAATAGGAACGAAAATGAGTAATATGGTATTTGAAGTAAATTAATCGTAACAAATTGACGACATCGTGATAAAGAAAAATATATATTTCATAGAGAAGGGCGTCTACTTAATCGTCTATAAACATACAGCCAATCATGATATCTTAGGTACAATAATTATAGGTGCAATTTTTTTCGGATGAAATGGAAATAAAGGATGATGGTTATCATCTCCCCCCCCCCCCCATTCTGGGGTCGGAGGACCACATTCGTGTTCCTTTCTCTCTCTCTCTCTCTGGACTCCTGAAAATGTTTAAAAGGGGGTTATAAAATACCTTTATATCATAGATAAGGGTTGCATTGAGCAGTGTGTCGGATTTAAGGGGGTCTCCACAGAAGAAAAAGCCCGCAAAAGGGGGTTCGATGCTGGCAGTCCTGAGATAGGGGGTGCTTTCACGGGGAGGGAACAAGCATACGCGTACTTGAAATAACACTGAGTGGGGGGGGGGGGGGTGTTGTCTTTTTGATCAGCAGCACCATCATCATGTTTATATTCATAATGATAAATACTTACTATAAGGTTAGGTGTTACCATGATCGTCACATTTCGTTCTATTTGACCCCCACGGATATCCCAATCTAGGGTTTGGGTTCGAGCTACACGGTCACTCCATTGAAGGTATCCGCCACTGTAAAATGAAGGAAACAGTTCAAACGAGGTATATCATAGGTGTTATTTTTAAATGAAGCAATTTTTAAACGCGATAAAAGATGTGTATTTGTTACTCAAAAGCAGCTAGTACAAACACATCCCTGCTGTCTTCTCACGTGACACCAACGGTGATCATCATAATCATCATCATTTAAGACTTGTTCAGCTTTGGATAGGTCTTTTGAATATGTGACATTTCATGCCCAAATGAAAGTCATGTATGTATCTCTGACTGGGATTCATAATTATGAAAGAATGAATGTATTAATTTCTACTCTCTTTTACTGTTTCTTTTCAAAATCCAAAATAAGGTAAAAAAGAACAAGAAGTGAGCGGGGTGGCGCAATCATAAAAACCAAGAGCTTGTTGGGGATGACAAATATTGCATTAATGAGATGGTGGACAATCAACCTGTGCCTTTATATAATATCTCGTATGGCTGCAGGCCACGAGACTAACAGACAGAAGAGACCGAAAGGGTCATTCTGGCGGGCCTTTCTGGAAAGAGTTACGCGAGGGTTCACGAGTCGGTCTCCCAGGCCTTCTGAAAGAACGTATCTGAGGGCTCATAAGACTGACACCGACCTTAAAGGGAAAGTCCACCCCAAAAATAAGTTTGTTTCGATAGAGGCAGAATAATAAGAAAATCAGGTGAGTGAAAGTTTGAGCAAATTCTGAATGAAAATAAGAAAGTTATGAATTATTGAAGTTGTGATCAATCAAACACAAATTGGCAACTCTATGACGTATCATGCGAGCTCAACTTTCATTTGCTCAGTACTAAAAAAATCTAAAATTTTCATTTTCCCTCAAGAAAAATTTCAACCATACATGCACCCTAAATATAATAATTGCAAATATGTTTCTATACTCCCCCTGCAAGGAACAAATATATATTCCGTCATCAATAACGAAGAAAACATGATTTTATGGAATATTATGCACAAAGCAAATGAAGGAGAGCTCGTATAATAAGTCACAGAGTTGCCAATTTGTATTTGATTGATCACAACTTCAATAATTCATAACTTTCTTATTTTCATTCAGAATTTGCTCAAACTTTCACTCACCTGATTTTCTTATTATTCTGCCTCTATCGAAACAAACTTATTTTGGGGGTGGACTTTCCCTTTAAAGGGTGTCAGTTTTCGAAAAGCAGGAAAATGTGCATTCAACAATAACATATGAAGACAAAAACAACAACATCTACAACAACAAAAAGACTGCAACTGCGTATCCTTATTATGCCTCTGCATTATTTCAGTATAGGAAATATAGATGGAATTATTCGTGACATATCACAATTAAAACAAAAATCCTATAAATATATCGGCTCCTGACTATGATCTTGACCTACTAGCCCCACAATTTACCAACAATCTAATTATATCATCTTCCAATGACGATAGATACTATCCCTACTAAAACAAGTAATTTAAAAAATTGACCTCTGTGCCCTTTGGCCTCTGACCTAATAACACAAAGTCTGATCTCACCAAGTTTTGGCCTTTTATCTTTAATGGTTTTTTAAGAGATTTTGCAGGGAAATAAGAGGCTACTAGCTGATATTTGAGAAGTTGACCTCTGTGACCCTGAACCTTACCAAGCTAAAATCTCATATCTCTAGTGGTTCTAGAGATTTTGCGATAACGAGGCTAAAACCTGCAATTTCAGAAATTGACCTCTTTGGTCTTTGACCTTTAAACTCAAACTATAATCAGATCATTTACCTATGTTGATACATGCTATCACCAAGTTTGAGCTTCTTATCTTAAGTCGTTCTTGAGATATCGCGAGAACAAGGCGATATCTAGAATATCCGAAATTGACCTGTGACCTTTGACCTATTAGCCGAAAGTCTAATCAGATCGTCTTCATGTGGTGATACAAATAATCACCAAGGTTGAGTCTCATATCTCGTTTGGTTCTTTAGATATCGCGATAACGAGGCCAATACCTGTAATTTCATAGTGAGCTTTGACCTTTGACGTAGTTAATACTCCAAAATCTAATCAGATTGTCTTACTATGTTAAAACATGCTGTCATTAAACTTCAAGTTCATATCTCAAGTGATTCTTGAGATATCGTGTCAACGAGAATGCAGTACACCCGGAGCTTTCCCATCCGAATAATTTACTACGTGGATAAAGTTTTCAAAATAATGCCATTGTTTCAGGAGAGTTGTCGAAGGGGGTCATATGTCTCCCTTTTCCATTATGCGATGGTATAGCGACTGCTTTTAGAGGCCTGGCTGTTGTATATGCTCAAGGGAACGGAGAGCATATAAAACAGCCATGCCTCGAATATTAAAGCATTCGATATGTCTTTTTTATGCCGAATTGAAACAAAAATCTACCAATAATTCTTACCTTATCCTTTTATTGAGTAAAGATTTGTTAAAACATCACAGAAAATCTTAGAAACTGTCTGTTTATCTTCGCTTGAAAAATGACAGAAAGTTTCAATTGTTTAGGAATCGCAGACAAAAAGTACTGTATAGTGTCCTCGCTCGCACAATTTTTGTTCAAACACGTAAACCAATGGGGATCTGAGCACAATTGATTTATGCGGCCTGTTACCCGGGGCGACGGATATCACTCATGAACCATTGACCATTTGTTTGTCTCTTTCAGGGAATATCCAAAACCACGACAGCAATTTCGACCAATCGGATGTCTAGATTTCTAAAGAGAGGTATATAATGTTCGATATTCTTTTCCCCATTCGACGGGAGGGAATACGTGCCCGCTGGTATCACTTCATATTAAAAGGTGTAGAACATGATCAATAGGGCAGTTCAAAAATGGCCCCCTCTTAGGCATACTTTCGAGAACATCTTCAACAAAATATGACCTTATGCGTAAGATACAGGTACATATTTGGCTTAAAATATGATCTGATATGAGGCTTTTCAGTTCATATTTATAAAGGGACGCTATTTGCCTGCATAAATAAATACTTGCGCACTCATCGGTAGGACCTTTTTTTTGTGAATTGCTCTTTCAACAAAATCCGCGAACAGCCTCAAACCCCCCCCCCCTCCCCCTTTTACGGAATTCCTATCATGTACACACTTACACAAAGTCAACATTATAGTGCCTCTTACTTTAGCTAAGCCACAGACAGAGAAGCTGGCAGACATAATTTGTTTTAATAATACATTTTGAACATTTTTAAAGAACACAGATCTACTTGTTGACCTTACCTGTTCAATTCAGTGGGGAAGCCATCGTCCCCAAGGGGGGTCAAGGGGTCCCCATTTTCATCCCGGTATAAAGCATACAAGACTGGTGAGATACCCTGTAAAATAATAAGAATAAGAAACAATGTTTTAAAGGCCAAGTCCAAGGTATTTGTTCACTTGGCTTAATTTGCATTGGGTCTTCGTGTTAAAGATGAGGTTGAGTTCTGGTCATGCGATTGCAATGTGAAAGAAAACGTGTGGAATGGGTCAGAAAAGGTAGTTCATCTAGGATACAAGTATTGGTGTGTACTGCTAGGTTCTGGAATCATCAAAATGATAAGCAATTTTGGTACAGTAACAAGCACTGTACACAAAAAGATGTATATGGGACTACACGAACATGTGGTGTAAAAATCCGTCCCGATTTGTATGCTATATACATGCCATATTTAGAATATGAAGGCAATTGAAGAGCCATGCTTTTCAGGGAATATTTTTAATCTGATTTTCTTCTACATTTGCATAATAACAATGGTAACGCTAACAAGAACTCAACCTTCTCTTTCATTATCGCGATTTACGAACTTTCGTGAATAACATACACTATGAACATGACTAACAATGAGAGCGGACAAAATATACAGTTCCTCAGGTAGACAAAGGAACATCCCTTCACAGCTATTATGTAAAAAGGTGAATATGCATGTGACACCTGTTCTACACATTTTTACATAATAGCAGGGATGTTCCTTTGTCTACCTGAGGAACTGTATATTTTGTCCGCTCTCATTGTCAGTCATGTTCATAGTGATAACCCCTTATTATCGATACCCTCGGATGAAACTTTTCACAAGGAAACCAATAGGGATCTGAGCACAATTGATTTATGCGGCCAGATAACCATTTGTTCGTCTTTTTCAGGGAATATTCAAAATCACGACTGTAATTTCGACCAATCAGATGGCTAGATTTCTAGAGAGAGGTATACAATGATATTCAAAGATCTGCGTGCGGACTGATTAACATTAGCTGAACAACTACCAGCTGTCATCTTGTTTGTTTCTACACAGATGGCATGGGGTGTAACACAACTTTCTTTGGGCCGTCGAAGGGAGTTATAATTTCCAAAGTGGTTATATTTTCCATGAAGCGCGTATCGTTGAGGGAAAATATATGATCACGAGGGAAAATATCACTCTCTATCTAATTTTACTTACTATTGCATGGTAGATTTCATGTTGTATTAGCACTTGAATATCTTCAGGTTCAAGTATTGTTGTGGCTTGTGGACAGATATTGATGTACCCTCCAATAGGCCTTTGAGTCAGAGAGCAATAAAATAGTAACACATAAATCCTAAATTAGTATGATGAAAATAAAATACCACTGTCGTATCGTCTTCATGCGCTTAGGAAGAAATAAATAACAGGTAAAATTGGTGCTGTAAATGCTCGACTGTTACTCAGTCAAAATCCAAATTAGAGAAGTATGTTTACAAGAAATTTTTAATCTTATAACTAATGCTTCCTTCACATGAAATTGTGCAGGGGTAGCATAAGCAAATAGCTTCTCCCCCGTAAAAAAAAAGTATGAGCAACTAGACATTTAAATATCACCTAATTATTTGCCTCGTAAAAGTTTCATCAACAAATATATGTATAGGCCTATAACATCAGAGAGAGAGAAATAGTAAAGAACTATCTACTTTATAACCCTTCACATACACGGATTTTTCTTACGAGTCCTTACCGGTCGCCCAACTCGTATTCAGTCTCTAGAATCCGCAAATAACTCGCTGGTATCCGTAAATAACTCGTCATAACTCGCAATAACTCACAGACACTCTGAAAGGTCCGTGAAAGGATTGTCCACGGATTGATTTTCCGTAAATAACTCGTAAATAGCTCGTAACAAATCCGCAAATCGCAAACCGCTCGCAACAACAAATAACTGTCCGTTAACTGCTTACAAGAATCTGTAAATGACTCGTAACAATTTTTGTAATGATTTTGTTACGGTTAGTTTACGATTTGTTTACGGATTATTTACGGATTATTACGAGTGCTTACCTGTCGTTTACAATATCATTCAGGGTTGTGTTACGATTGATTAACGGATTGTTACGAGCTATTTCGAGCACTTTACGTGTAGTTACGAGTACTTTACAAATAGATAGTATACTTTACGTATTCTGACGTATTGTTTTAGATTTTGGGAAAAGTATAACAGCTGCAAATCGTAATGAAAATCGTAAGGACTCGTAAATACTCATAACTAACGCGTAACTATGCGTAACAACACATAAACAGGTCGTTCAATGCTCGTAAGTTGTTCGTAGTTATCCGGGACAGCTCATAAAAAATCGCGGAAATTCGCCATAAATACATCGTAATAACTTTTAATAATTCGTAATAAACCGTAAACAGCTCGTAAAAACCAACTCTTAAATCGGTCGTAAAAGTGGCCAAATCGTGAATTTGCGCGATCCGTAGGTTCTGTAATACATATTTGAATAGGATCTAAGTCATTTTAGAAAATAAATCTAATCCAGACACGATGTGAGTTTATTTACGCCTTTAAAAAATGGCATTTCCAATACAAAATTGAGGTCACTTCCTTTATTTTGTACGAATAGACCTGTTATATAATACATTTCAACTCATGCATGTTAATGATGTTCCTCTCCAGAATTCCTAGTTACTAACTATTTGATTAACCTCTGTATTTGGCATTTCTAGATGGAGGCCATCTGGCAATCCTCTGGCGAGTTTTTTTTCAGTTGCTAAGAGAAGCTTTTGTTCAAGAAGTATGCATGCACAGAATACGATGAAAAGGAGAGGGAAAGAAATGGAGAGAGAGAGAGGGATAGGGAGAGAGGGAGAGGGGGGGGGAGGATCCAACTCAAGCCAACAAAGTACGAAGTATGACGTCGTACTGGCCAAGTTGTCAAGGTGGCTGGTTCCTTATAATTTTCTGCTAACCGATGGTGCCGTGGTCACCAGGCCCGAAGCCAGAGTTTGATGTTTGGGGGTGGGGGGGGGGGGGGGGGGAGGCACATACATGTAAATTGATCGACGTCCTGGGGAGGGGTCTAAAAAAGTTCAACCGATCTTGGACATTTTTCGGGGGGCATGTTCCCCCCCCCCCCCCGTAGCTACGTGCCTGGTGATCACACCAGCCCCAATATATACCCTGACTTTGCCCTGCCCGAGCCCGTTGCTTGAGTGAATTCACGTTGAAACGTACGCGCATGCTCTGTTAATTAGAACCGCAGTATCCTGGACGACGAATTAACAAGACGTCAGTACTTGGGTACTATATATTATAACATTCCTACCTATTTAGTGTTAGGTCAATATAACACGAATTAGCAAACCCGGCGACGCCTCCCGAGCACGGACCAACGGAGGTGACATAGAGAACGTAATGAACGTCACTCACGCCTCTCTCGGCGGGTCCTCCTGGTTCGGGCACGCAGTCGTACTCTGTCCCGTTCTCATACCGCTTGCATGTGGAGCACGGCTATAAACATTAAAGGGTTCAATGATAATAATTAAAGTAATTATGAAATTAATAGTAATAAAATAGTATTAGAACAGTAATAACAATAATGATACTACTACTACTACTACTACTACTACTACTTCTTCTTCTTCTGCTACTACTACTACTACTACTACTTCTTCTTCTGCTTCTACTACTTCTACTAATAACGATAACCATATCGAAGAAGAAGAAGAAGAAAAAAAGAAGAAGAATGATAACAATAATAATAATAATAATTTTTTTACGAAGGAAAGCGTCATTAGCTTTGGTGCTGTCCTTCCTGAGGGCCCTGCAATTATTATTACCCCAGCGATTGTCAGGTACCAATTTACACCTCGGTGGAGAGTGGCAAATGTGGATTAATGTCTTTCAAATGATAATGTTGTGCCGGGCTGAGATTTGAACCATCAAACCTTGTATTTAGAGTTCAAGTGAATGAACCACCATACCACGACAAGTACTGAACATTTGAAGTTTTTTTCAGCTTACTTTGTTAAAAGCCACAATATCTAATGCAATCGATAATTTACGTCGCAGGGCCGTTCATTTTCCGATTTTATTAATGTTTGTAATAGTTTTTGTTGTTGTAAGTTTGAACTTGTGCTAAAAGCCATCTTCTAGCTGGATAGGTTTGCGTTTTTCTTTGATTTTTCATGGCTAATAAATATCATACAATAGACGTTAAAAACCTATTCCCGCTGCATATCATTAACAATATCACAGATTTCATTTTAAAGTGCCTTTAATAATAATAGTCGTCGAGTCTTATATAGACCTCATGTCTGGCACATTGCCACTCCTGGCGCTCCATTATCCTTATATCATTACCCCCGCTTTAGCACGGCTGCCATTACAGCGCTCGAGCATTGTTAATAGAGTTTAGTTGGAGTTTGGCAAATTTAGAGTACGGTAATCAATACGAGTAATGTATTGCCAGAGGACAGTAGTAGGATTCAAGTCCCCGACCTTGTGCTTCACAGTCCGGAGACTTATCCACTGGACCACAACACAAACGATTGAGGCGCATGGTCGGAATATTATTACGATATCACCGGAGTAAGAGCACGACATTTGTCAGCTGTTATTTCTGGTATGAACACCGACTTTCCAAGTTCTAAAAATATGCGAGCGTACAACTTTGGCGAGGAAGTAAACCGACGGTTCTAGGTCACCTACCCCGTGGACAACCACCCCCAGATAACCACCCTAGGTTAATCACCGTCTAGGCAAACTACCCCGAGGACAACTAACCCCTAGGGCAACCACCCCCTAGGATAACTACCCATGGACAACCACCCCCTGTGGCGACCACCCTCTAGGACAACTACCCCTAGGACGACTACACCCCGGACAAATACCCCCTAAGGGCAACCACCCTCTAGGACGACTACCCCCCCCCCCCCGGAAAACGACCCCCTGAAAACTACCCCAGATAACTAACCCCTGTGACAACCATCCTCTAGGAAGACAACTACCCCCGGACAACTATCCTAGGGGTAGTTGTCCGGGGGTAGTTTTCCTAGGGATATTTGTTTGTATTATAGCTACGTACTTTATCCTCGTAAAGACACTCTTTCGTTTTAAACGAATGAGGATTTATTTGTATCCCTATCTGTAAAGGCCGTACGGGTCGCCGTTGGATTATAACGCGGAATTATAACTGTTTTCATTCCTAGGTTCGCCATAGCGATTAGACACGCCGTAGCCATGACGCAAGGCGGTTCCACAGCGAGCGTACGTCGGGCTTACGGTAGCCTTGCGTTTTATATACTCTAGGGGTGAAGCGGTAGCATCAGTTTGGACGCACAGTCGCCGTATGGTTCCCCTTCGGCTACCTTGCGGGCACCTTACGGCACCCTTGCGTCTGTCTTAGTTTAAGTAAAAAGCTACGGCCGCCGCAGAGACTATTAAAGGCGACCATGCGTCATCACTTTAAAGGCCGAGCGGAAATCACATATTTTCTGTCTCCACAAATTCAAAAGACGCCGTGCGGTTACCATAACATAATGTGATCGCTACCGTATGTGACCATGGGAATGCTGCGGCGGTCCTATAATTGCTATTGGCCGTTGATATTTTAGACCGCACGGCAGCCGCGACAAATGTGACCTATTACTAATAATTAAACACAGCATTTGTGACTGTATTATCTAAATGACCATGAAATTGCCTTTCTATGTCCTTGTATACCATTAATCCAACGTGTAATGCCTAGGTCACATATAAGCCGGGCCCCGTACGATTTTCCCTACCCGGCGGCTTGCCGTGGATTTATAGACCGTACAGGAACCTTCCGATTTTCATTTCTACTGCATTTGTGATCACATATTCTGCGGCGCCCAGGAGGTGCCCGGTGAAAATTGGTCGAGTGAAATGCAAGGCGCCCGTAAGGGTGCCGGCAGGGTGCCGCCCGAGTGCCGGCCGGTAAGATTATGGGCTCCGTCCGTGAGCAGGTGCACCCATGGCTCCCGGTGCACTGAAATATGTGTCCTCTGGCATCCCCGCCTCCTATATTTAAAGCTACGTTGTACATTTTGAGATGCCGCCGTGATGGACCCGCACGGGCAATATTTATTTCAAATGGCACCCGGACGGCAGACGCCTTCTGTTGTAAAGTTATCTACCGTAATGTCTCAGATCCTCATTATGGTAGATAACAGATAAGTGTATACTAATATCAACGTTTATCCGAAAAATACTCCAAAAATAACGAGATAATTGACACCAAACAGGTAATAAACATAACGACTTTTAACTCATGATCTTTATTTGGACATTTAATGAATATTACTTCATTTTGGGTAACTCCACGCCGGAGTTACGGGTCAAATTCGGGATAGGGTTCTGAACAAGCGCCAGATCTCCTTCGCCGCTCGCCATGTTCTGTAATCGCTCAAAAATGTATTTATGAATATGTATGTTGATAATGAATATTCATAAAGTTTTCTAGAATCGTCTACTCTGATTGGTGCGTTGGATTGGAAGGGGCGGTTCGGCCGGCAATCTGGATTAGCTACTTTGCATCTAATTGTCTACCGGTTATAATACAAAACAAAAGAAATAAACTGCAACAACCACTCAGGTTAGTAAAGGCCGAGATGCTGACGCACCACGTCCCACGAATCGCAGTCGTCGCGCGATTAGTCTATGTATTCAGGCGCGTTTAGGAAAATAACAGCACGAGTGCCTTGACTAAAGGCTAGCTGGACACCGGCCAAAAATTCCCCAAAAGTATGTTTTACTCGCCGTACTGGCCCCGGAGTGTATATGTAAAAGCCTCTTAACACACGATATTGATGCTGCGCATGGTACGCACGTGCGTAGTAGAATTCCCGCCTCGATCAGACATGAATATTCAACATAATCGAGACTTTCCCCGACCCTGCGTAATGAATATTCATGATATAACAGGAATCTGGGCTCGCCGTGGTACGAAAAAGACGCATCCGGACCGGATAGGCTAGATATCTCGCACGTGTTTCGTAGTCCCATATACAACTTTCTTTGTACAGTGCTTGTACCTTTACCAAGACTGGGCCAAATTTCTTATCATTTTGATGATTCTAGAACTTTGCAGTACACTCCCATAATATATGCTAGATGATCAACCTTTTCTGATCGATTCCACAACGTTTCTTTCACAATGCAATCGCATGACCAGAACTGGTCTTTACCTTTAATACAATCACTTACTAGTAAATGGTGTTCGGGCAACGTAGCTGTACCACAATTTGTCACATTAGCACATGTACAATTGACCACTGTTCCATTGTTCATATCCCAACCAGTTCGACAAGACCTGTGTTTTGAGAGAAATAGTAGAATATCAATGTTAGAAATCTATCTATTAATTAGTTTGTTTGTTTGTTGGGTGTTATTTCAAGAGAGAGAGGGAGAGATAGAGGGATTACTTGAGAACTATTTTCCTGTGATATCTAGTGTTTGCTTTGACACGCGAAGTTACAGTGATTTTTTTTCTAAGGCCTCATTCAGATATGACGCGGCAAAACCATGACATTATATAAATAAACAAACTAATAAATAACCTTGGTAACGTTACCTGTCGAAAATAAAGTCCTTCAATTCTTCCTTCACTTGGAGTTGTCGGGATATCAAGTCCACTGTCTCTCGGGTTAGATTCTAGATTTCACAAATGGAGAATATATGTTGGTTGAATGCCATGTACATGTACTATCATAATAATAATCTGGTTTTATAGCACTGAATACGAAATACCGTCTACATTAGTGCTTTAGATGGTTCTAGGACACCTATACCCCTTCGACATTCACCACGAGGGTAACCGCCCCAGTCATCTACCCCCTAGGACAACTACTCCAGTAGACTACCTGTAGACAACTACCCCCTAGGACAACTACCCCTAGACAACTACCCCGGACAACTATCCTAGGCGGGATTTTCTTTTTTAAGTGGAGACATTTTAAACATATGCCATCCACCATGTCGGCGGTCATCCCAGCTAACACAAAAACATTATAAGAACATCATGATAATGTTTGGCTAAACGTTTGGGAAATGTTTTGTTCAAATGTTAAAATCATATGAAAATGTATGGTCTTGTGATTATCAAGAAAACATATTTATAACATTCAACACCAACATCAAAAAAACATTTTTAAAATGTTTGTTTAACATTAAGCTTAAACATTATAACAATATCAATAAGATATTATCAAAAATGTTGATATAACATATTAATGATATTTTTCAAACATTTGAAGAAAATGTTATAAAAATGTGAGCCATCTATTTCTAAGACCATACATTTTGATATCATTTTAACATTTCATAGAAACATTACAATATTGTTATTCTTAAATTTTTTTAATATGTTATTTTAGAAATGTTAATTAAATGTTGAAATGATATCTTATACATGTTTGAAGGAAATGTTTTTAAAATGTGAGCCATCTATTTCTAAGACCATACATTTTGATATCATTTAAACATTTAATAGAAACATTTCAATGATAAAATCCCAAAATGTTTTTAAAATATTAACTAAGAAATGTTAATTAAATGTTGTAATGATATCCTATTAATGTTTGAAGGAAATGTTTTTAAAATGTGAGCCATCTATTTCTAAGATCATACATTTTGATATCATTTAAACATTTAATAGAAACATTTGAATGATAATAACTCAAAATGTTTTTAAAATATTAACTTAGAAATGTTAATTAAATGTTGTAATGATATCTTATAAATGTTTGAAGGAAATGTTTTTAAAATGTGAGCCATCATTTCTAAAACCATACATTTTGATATCATTATAACATTTCAAAGAAACATTACAATATTGTTATTCTTAAATGTTTTTAATATGTTATTTTAGAAATGTTAATTAAATGTTGTAATGATATCTTTTAAATGTTTGAAGGAAATGTTTTTAAAATGTGAGCCATCTTTTTCTAAGACCATACATTTTGATATCATTATAACATTTCAAAGAAACATTACAATATTGTTATTCTTAAATGTTTTTAATATGTTATTTTTAGAAATGTTAATTAAATGTTGTAATGATATCTTATTAATGTTTGAAGGAAATGTTTTTAAAATGTGAGCCATCTATTTCTAAGACCATACATTTTGATATCATTTAAACATTTAATAGAAACATTTGAATGATAAAATCCCAAAATGTTTTTAAAATATTAACATAGAAATATTAACATATGTCAATGTATCTTGAAAACACACAACACCCTGGATAGTTATCAGAGAAGCTTTTATGGGTGAAACAAAGTCGACAAAGTCAATATGCTACAGTCCCGATTGAAAAGTATTAATTGCACAGCGATTCGGGGCGTTGTCCCTAAATGCGTCAAAGTCGATGGAATAGATTTAATAATCATACCATATTTCAAAAGTTTACAATAGTTTGTTCAATATCTTTTTAAAGTGAATATTATTTTCTCAGCTTTCCTGCATTCGCAAAATCACCTAGTCACGAAGGATCGAGTTGGTAGCACTTGCGTCGATTAGACAACTAATATTCTTTATTTTCCCACTTAAAGGCATTTTCAAGCCCTTCTTGTTTAGGGAAGTTCTACATTCGTATTGTTTTTCAAATGCCGTTGGAATTTAACCTTTTTATATTTTGGCCTGCGAATAGGGCATAGTGCCTTTAAGGCCAATAAGGCAAAAAGGTGACTTTTTAAGATTCACGAAGGCGCATTGTTTAAAGCACCACTGCACTACTTATAGCTACTTGCGCCCTTTATATAGCAAACAAATCCTAATCGGTGACAGCTGGTCCCACTTGGTCCCCCTATTCTTATGTTAATTGAGAGCTGATTTGATGAGATAACCACCTGTCATTGACCATGCAGGGAAGTCTAATCCCTCCTGGCGAAAATAGTGCAGATGGGATTCAAAACATGAAGGTAAAAAAGCGAGATGCAAAAACTCGCCAAGGCTACTTCCCCCCTTCTAAACCGAAAACAAGGCGACTTTGTGAGTTCCAAGTCGCATTCTCGCCTTCTGTGTTAAACAAGGCACCTTGGCGAGTTTTAACAAGTCACCTTTTCGCCTTCTCAACTTAAACATGGCGTCTTGGCGAGTTTTAACAAGTCACCTTCACGCCTTCTGTTTTAAGCAAGGCACCTTGACGAGCTTTAACAAGTCACCTTCTAACCTTCTCGTCTTAATCAAGGTAGGCTACCTTGGTGAGTTTAACAAGTCGCCCTCTTGTTTCATGTTTACGGTCCGTAGATGTGGCATAAAATCACTTACCATGATGAGGTCCCTCATCGATGAATGCATGACTGACTCGTCGTACCATACTTCAAACTTCATTTGTTGGAACGTCCTGCTCCCTGACCGACTGGTCGATGATCGATGAGTGTGTATCCCTGGTTTGAGCTGTGCAAAGCAAAACATATAGTAAAGGAAAGAACGAACAAATGTGAATAGAAATGAATGGGATATACCAACAGTCTTTAAATACTTTAATTACTAAGAATAAAATTAAATGGGAGTTTTTTTTTAACTGGAAAAAACTTAATGTTGTCGACAAAAAACATTTTAAACCACACTGTCCTACTTGTAGCTACTTGCTTCCTCTTTATAAAAAACTTCCCCAATCGGTACATGTTGGTCCCCCATGATATTCCTTTTCTTATGTTAATAAGAACGTTGGGTGCGATAGAGACACGCTCATAATCGCTGCATGTTCGCTGGGCATGCGTTTGAAACGCACTATAGGTATGCAAGTATGGTGTCTCTTTTGCGTTTACATTCATGCGTCGAACTCCGCGCACATTTTGGAGCATGCTAAATAAATCCCGACGTTCACAGTGAATGACGTCGAATGCATAACGTTGGTACAGCGCTCGAAGAACAAGTAACGAATGATGACGAACACCTAGCGATCGACGACGCACTGGCCAAAATAGCACATTTTTAATGCGCGGGCCGTGCGTCCCCCGTTCGTCTCCTAATTGTGTGACCGCCCGATAACCAAAAGCAAATCTAAAGTACGAAGCATACACTGCTAGAGTATAGAGAGATAATAGGATAGGATAGGGCATAGAGTCAAAGAGTGATTTATAGCCTTACCGCTTTGAGCTCAACTTTTGGAACAAAGCATCTCGACGCATCGCGGTCCATAAACATTGGCTCATTGAGACCAGGGAACTCCCAGCTGAGACCAAAGTCAAAGACGAACGCCAAACACACCAAGGTGATCACACGCCCCTCCATGATTATGTTGAAAAGGATAATGTGTAGAAAGATACGTCACCAGAATGATTTCGTGTTGTAAGACTGCTGCAGTAGCTTGTTTTTAAAATGGCGTCCTATTCTTCTAAATCGGATGGGTACTTCGATCGTGTCCTTATATTTTGAAAGCAGTGTTATCAGGTTTTATTTTTTGCACGCCGTAACGATTTTGATAAAAGGCATAGTACTGTGTTTAAGGCTCATCGATTCTATTTGTCCTAATAAAATGCGAAGGTCATTGAAAAAATGAGAAATTATTGTAATGGTACGTCATAGGTTAACTCAACCGTACATCGTATAAGAGCCTAGAGATATGAAAGGATACACACAAAGGAAACTGGTCATGTGAATTGATTGTAACAGAAACTCCGAAAAAGTTATTGACTCTAGTAGACTCTCATCTACCGAAAAACCCTTTTGTACGTGACTGCTCCGAAAACGAGGAATAATATCCCACTTGATACAGAAAACTGTCATTGGTAATCGGGGGTAATTATAACATGTAGTTTTAGCTTCTAGTAGCTTTCGTCCACTCCTATAGACTTTCACAAGCCAAGTGATTATTCACTGGAGCGAAAAGAGAGAGAGAGAGAGAGAGAGAAGGAAAAGAAGGGAAAGGGAAAGAGGAGAGAAAGGGAAAGAAAGAATAGGAAGAAGAAAATAAAAGGGGGAAATAAAGGAGATCGGGGGGGGGGGGGGGGTTGCCTCCCAGCTGTTGCCCCCCCCCCCCCCAATCAGGAAAATAAGAAAGAAGTAAGGAAAGGGAAAGAAAATGAGAAAGGAGGATATAAAGGGGAGGAAATAAAGAAGGAGAAGAAAAAGAAAATAAGGGGTATGAGTTGCAATTTTCCCTCAAACAAGTTGTGGACCCCACGACAATTAGTGACCTACAAGTGTCACAAATAAGGTAACAAAATATGCTTATCTGACCGTAATTAAATGCCTTAAACCCCTGAGCTTCTCGGGGCTCTGCCCCTAGGAACCCACCCTTTGGCGGGCCCCTAGATGTTCATATGGTGGTTATTAAATGCCTAAAACCCTGAAGAAAAATGACACTAATTAGGAGGGATAAGGAGCACATGTTAAAATAAAGGGGAACTTATCAGAAAAGAAGACATAGGCCATTTATTACAGAGTTAAAGGAAGCACCTCTTAAATTTGAAGAAGGGCACTCATCCGAGATAAAAAGGGAAATTGATAAGAATGAAAAGAGGGCATACAGAAGAAAAGAGGCACAAAATATAAGGAACACCTCTCAGATTTTTTAAGAGGTTATTGCAATAGGTGAAGCGGCACTTACCAGAGATGAATATGGGCACTTACTAGGAAGGAAAATGGGCGTTTGTTGAAGGAGAACGGGCATCTATGAGATTTTAATAGAGGCATCTATCAGAGGTGTCAAAAGTGGCATAAGAAAGGGAAGTGGCTCTTATCACAACAAAGTGGGGCATTTATCACAGAGGCAAAGGGGCAGTTATCGGAAGGAAAAGGGTCACTTATCAGAGGTGAGAAATGGCACTTATTACAAAAGAAAAGGGCGCTTGTAAAATGAGCACCTCTGAGATTTGAAATGGGGCACAATATCTAAAGTAAAAGGGGCACCTTTGCTATGTCAAAAGGGGCACTTTAGAGGGTAACTGCAACAGTGTTGGGGGCACTGTGCGAAAATGATTCTATCGGAATCCAACCTGGACATTTTTATTCCGTCCTACGAGACGCAATTACTCACTGCTTTTGCAAAGTTTGTGCGTTGGATTCGGTTTTTAGTGAGTCTGGGACGCAAAAGCGCTACTTAGCGTGACCCTTGCCTAGAAATATTTGACACTAATAACGATGTGCATGAGACTAATTTTTGAAATTAAGATCTGTACACGCTCAATCTATATTTATTATACCAAAGCCATATTTTGCATTAGCATTCACCCACTGACAATGACTGGAGTCATTATTTGAATACGCTAATGCATTGGTTAGGCTTAATAGGTAACACTTACAGATGATATTGTTATGTACCGATCATTAAATACGCTTTTTTGTTTTTGAAAGTAGACACACACCGGCCCATGAATATAACTTACAAACAATTTCAAAAATTGTAGCAGTTTACTTTTAATTTATTTCATTTCTAAGAATTCATACAAAATTGTTCATTCACATCGTTGAGGAGTAATCTACGTCATGATATATTTACAAAAACAATATACATTATAATAATAATAATAATAATAAATTTATATAGCGCAGCTTTTATACAAAATATATTCAGCTGCGCTGGTTAAGAGCTCCTTTTTTACTAAATTATACAAAATAAGATCACTCAGTTGAACAAATAAGTTTTTAAATTGGATTTAAAAACATTGAGAGATGGAGTGCTTCTTATTTCTATTGGCAAGCTATTCCATAGTTTGCTGCACAGATGGCGAAAATATCTCCTATTCTTTTAATTCTTATCTGTACATATTCTCAGTCGATATAAATATGCGTGATAATTGTCAATACATATTTTTGTTGATAATTAGTTATTCACATCGTATCTTATAGATAATAGAGAAGAAGACTTATAAATAAACATGTATAAGCTGTTTTATCTAATTTTATAAAAACAGCTTTAGTATTGTACATGCTCTACATTAGTTTTCTGCCCACATGTTTTATATACATACATTTGTGAAAACAGATAATCAACTTTTTAATTCCAGAGAAAAATCTAAGACTCTCTAATATCCTCTAAACTTGGAGTTGCATAAAGAGGATTATAGAACAGACAAATATTAACAGTAGTGCAAAATATTTACACGATTTTTTACAATATGTAATGCACTCACTTTGTTTTCTTTTCTATTCATCCTTTTACAGGGTTCCAGTATTAATTATTAACATAATCATTTTCACAAAAGACCGAAACATGTACTATTCCATGACTTGTCATATACAAAATCAAAAAATAAAATATTACAAAATAACCTCGGACGCACACCGACATATAATATATTAAACTTGACACTATATAATGTATACATCAATTCTTTAACATAAATTCTAAAATTCTAAAACAAACAAGCATACTAAACATGGACACTCAGAAACGTTTGATAAAATTAAACCATTATTTTCACGAAATTATTTTCTTTAAGATTTGTTTTTCTCTATATCTTTCCATATCATAATAAGTTTAACAGCTGACAAAACATTTTCAAACAGTGGTATCTGATTCTTGCATTTGGCTGAATATATTTCATTTCTTACAATAATTAAGATATAATAAAAAGCATTGCTATGACCTCCTTTTAAGCCAAAAAAATTATTTTGGTTTGTGAGTTTGGCCTGTAAAGCGGTCTTACTGAAAAGACATTGTTCAAGTTTTTACCATATTATATTTGAATATGGGCAGTAAAAAAAATATGCAAAATTGTCTCTTCACTGCTGTTACAAAATGTAAAATGTTTATCAGCGACTATTAGACATTTCAGCAATGAATCTTTCATGAAACGTATTCTGTTTAAAATATTTAACTGGAACCACCTCATATTTATATCGACAGTTGTTTGATAAGGAATCAGACAATACGAACACCATGCTTACCTTCTAGAGAATATGATGGAGGCAAAAACGAAAGAAACATGTGATAAGTAAAGTTTTCATCTAAAGATCTTCTGATCCAAAAAGATTTCATACGTATGAAAGTATCTGTCATTATTAACTCCACCATCCTTATGCAAGTAACATATTTATGTTCTTCTTATTTTGTCAGGGTTATTACCCCATATAAACGAGTAAAATCATCGATTTACCTATCCAATAATTTGTGAGTGTGGTTCTGGAAGTGATAGAAGCAGACAGTTTAATTTGGGTATAAATAACGATTGAACAATGGTTACTCGTCCTAAGGGGTCAATGAACTTTTCGACCAAGGGTTCATTTGACTTTTAATGTTCACATCTTTTTACAATAATTCTGTTCAACCATCTGTGATAAATATACCAAAAAGTCTATACCTAGGATAACCTTCAAATATCCAGTTCAATTTGTATTAGTACTGCACCTATAGGAAGTTTTAACAAACCATGTGATTGGTTCAGCTCTTAGGATCGTATAGAGAGGGTTGCTAGAGTCTTGGGCTATGATGCAATGTGATTGGTTCAGCTCTTAGGATCGTATAGAGAGGGTTGCTAGAGTCTTGGGCTATGATGCAATGTGATTGGTTCAGCTCTTAGGATCGTATAGAGAGGGTTGCTAGAGTCTTGGGCTATGAAGCAATGTGATTGGTTCATCTCTTAGAATCGTATAGAGAGGGTTGCTAGAGTCTTGGGCTATGATGCAATGTAATTGGTTCAGCTCTTAGGATCGTATAGAGAGGGTTGCTAGAGTCTTGGGCTATGATGCAATGTGATTGGTTCAGCTCTTAGGATCGTATAGAGAGGGTTGCTAGAGTCTCGGGCTATGATGCCATGTGATTGGTTCAGCTCTTAGGACCGTATAGAGAGGGTTGCTAGAGTCTTGGGCTATGATGCAATGTGATTGGTTCAGCTCTTAGGATCGTAAAGAGAGGGTTGCTAGAGTCTTGGGCTATGATGCAATGCCATTGGCTCAGCTCTTAGGATCGTAGAGAGGGTTTCTAGTAGTGGACCACGTGTTGGATGCTCGCTTCCTAGCGGTAGAAAAAACACGAATCATTATTAGAAATAATGATGTAATGTCTCAAAAATACTAGGCACAAATAATAAAGCAAACAGACGATGAAACAGTTATATAACTTTGCACTATTACGCGACTAGATTTTCTTAGATCATACTACGAATGCTACAAGTCTTTTCATAATGTTGTAATATAACTTTTATGATAACACTTATAACAAAGTTGTAATTTCAGTTACAACTGATTTCAATTGGTATATGATTACATTTGAGTAACATATAATTTTACGTCACATTTAAGGGATTGTTCAACTTTCTCATATATTCGAGTACCTGTATATTGCTTTCTTGTAAAAAGGGAAAGAAATAGAGAGAAAAAGAGATTAGAGAAAGAGGAATGTGGGAGGGAAACATGTAAAAAGTTAACAAAGAGGAATGCAGATGGGAGAGGCAGAAGGATAATGATGAATGGAGGATAAGTAAAGCAGATGAGATTAAAATCAATATGTGATGATAAAGGAAGACATTTCTTACTTAAGTTCTCGTTTTCTTTGTAGATGTCGTTGCCTAGTAACAAGACAGGCGATGGTGAGACAAAGAAAAAGAAGAAAGACAGCCGTTCCTCCTCCTATTGCTGCTGCATGCACTGTACTAAGTGTCATAGTCATACCTTTTACGTGATGAAAAGGAGAATCAATTACTATAATTGAATTACATTTCGTGCAAGAAAATATCAGCACTCAATTAATGCTAGTAATACTACTACTACTAATATTAATATTCCGCTTTTATATAGCGCTTAATACAAATGTCTGTAAGCGCTTTACAGATATACCCCGGTCATTGGATTCAATACTTGTTCACACACACTGTGTGCATATTTTCCACTACATGGGGAGCATTCCAGCCAGCCACCATTGTACAAGCGCCACCTGCTATTCCAACCACATTAACTTTCGTATCCTACCGGGTATCCATTTAACACCTGGGTGGAGAGTGGCAAATGTAGATCAATGTCTTACCAAAGGAAATTAGTGCCGCGGTGGGACTTGAACCGCGGACCTTGTGATCCACAGTCCGGTGATATATCCACTCGACCACGACACCTCTAATACGACTACTATAACGACGACTACTGCTACTATTATTACCACTATGTTACTACTATTACTACTGCTATACTGCTATACTGCTACCACTACTACTACAGCTACTTCAACTTCCACCACTACTACCAATACCTCCCATACTATTACACCTCCTCCTCCTACTACTACTAGTACTACTACTACTACTACTACTACCAAAATGACTACTGCTTTTACTACTACTTCTTCTTTACATATTCCATGGGATCCCCGCCACTAGCCGGACTTGTTTGGTCCGTCTTCGAGTGCAATTCACCATAACAGAAAAAATATGATATTAATTTGTTGATCATATTTATCAACATCATAATGACATTGCCTAAATAGTGTTGATTATATACCTTTACCCATCTTCTTGCATACGGGGAATGAGTTTGACCAATGACCATCTGCCATGCATTCCATCATTGATGTTCCGACGAGATCATACCCTCCTTTACATGTGAATGTAGCGTAGATGATTGGACAACCACCAACCATCACGTGGCCATTGGGCGGGGCTAGGGGCGTGTCACAGTCAAGTTCTATTAAATAATACGAACAACAAACATATTGATGTATCATGGAATTCAGTGTCATAACTCGACATAGCTAGATATGGCTAGGTTTGCCTACGCTTGTTGGGGGGGATAAGTTGTCATTTGGTAATGAAAAATATTCGAAGCTACCGACTTTGAAATTTAGGTATGTGATCTGATTGCAATCTATGTGTGAGATTATACTCCTTTTTTGTTTTGTCTTTGTAAAGAAATTGAAGAATGAAAAATAAAATGACACCAACTTTTCTGTTCTACTGACGTCCCTTTCTTACGTCTTTACAAATTAATTTAAAAGAGGGGCTCTAAAAATATTTTGTTTGACAGCGACAGCAACAGATAAACTTACCTATCGGTTTACATGAAGGAATGGGATATAACCAGGTGCCAGTAGAAGCACAAGTAGTATTGCTAGGCCCCCGTAATTCATAGCAAGGATCACACCTAAACGTAGCCAGAGATCCCGGCGAGGATTCGGTTGATATCATACGACCGTTCGCCAATGTTAGTGATGGACAAGTCACTAAATAAATAAGAAACAAAATTGCAGAGAATTAGAATGCTGCACATTCCAGGGGCGTAAATCCCGGGGGGATGGGGGGGGGGGGGGCTGCATCCCCCTGGCTTGAAGTAGGGGGGGTGGCCTGTACAATCATCCCCCCTGATATTACAAAACAAAGAGAGAAAAAAGGAAGAAGAAGAAAGAAAAAATGTGATTGTTTCAATTTCAGCATAATGCATGAGAAATTAGTTTGTTTTTTTAATGTATGTATAACTGTATAGCCTACACGTATACAGTATGTCACGATCATTGAGAGTAGTTTCGCGACGTGCGCGAACAAGCACTTCATAAACTTCAGAATAATTTTTCGTTATTTTGCAAGGTATTATTATAGCCCAGACGTAAAGTGCGCCAGCGCGCGAGCGCTTAAAAAATGCAATCATGTACAGTAGATGCCCGGCTCCCCCCACTTAGTGTTATTTAGGGTACGCGTATGCTCGTTCCTTCCCTTTGAAAGCACCCCCACCCTATCTCAGGACTGCCAACATTTCTGAATCCCCCTTTCGCCGGCTTTTCGCTGGCTTTTCCTGCCTTGGAGACCCCCCCCCCCCCAAAAAAAAAAAAAAAAAAAAAAAAAATCCGGAACACTGCTAAATGTGCCACCCCCCCCCCCCCCCCCCCCAATTTCAGGTGAGCTCTAGTCGATCGAGGGGACTGGGGGCCAATGTTTTTACTTTTCAAAATGAAATAATCCTGAATGAGCTTTCAAAGCTCAGGAATTTCAGGAATTTGATCCCGGGATTTGATCAATTTTTCTATGATATTCCAGATATTTTATAACCTTCTTTTTACATTTCTCAGGAGTCCAAAGAGAGAAAGAAAAAAAAAACCCACCCCCTTTTAAAAGAAATTAAGAGTCGAGAATGGTACAACGAAACGTCTTCTTTCTCTAATGATTTAATGAAACGTAAAAGCTTCCGCGCTTTGCGCGGGCGGGGGAAGGGAAAAACTGAATTCAGATGAGGATTAAAGGTCGAGAACGGTACAACGAATCGTCTTCTTTCTCTAATGATTTAATGAAACGTAAAAGCTTCCGTGCTTCGCGCGGGAGAGGGAAGGGAAAAACTGAATTCAGATGAGGATTAAAAGTCGAGAACGGTACAACGAATCGTCTTCTTTCTCTAATAGTGTTTGTTGTTTGTTCGTTTGTGTGTGTGCGTGTGTGTGTGTGTGTGTGCGGTTGTGTGTGTGTGTGTGTGTGTTGTGTGTTTGTGCGTGCGCGATCGCGCGCGCTTGCGTAAATTAGTGTGGGCGTGTGCTCGTGCTAGTATGTGATGGCTATCGCCGATCATCCCCCCAACTCCTCGGTACGGATTTACGCCCCTGGCACATTCTAACATAGTTTTCCCTTTCTCCTTATACAGTATCTTCTATATGTCCTGTTCTCTTCCTTTCTCCCCAATTCCCAATTACTATAAATGATAATAAGATACATATCTTCTATGTGACCTTTTACAAACGTACAATGTTAGTATGAGTATATTATGAAGGTGATGATAATGATGATGGCGTCTTCTCCGCCTCTTGTTGGGCCGCTCGTGGCGCTCTACAACGCATAAAAGAGGTGTTTTAAATTAAGATTATTTTCCAATTTTTTTTAATTTTTTTATTTTTTTATTTTTTTTAAAATATTTTTTTATTTATTTATTTTATTTATTTATTATTTTTTTTCATTTTTTTTCATTTTTTTTCATTTTTTTTTCATTTTTTTTTTTTTTTTTTGGGGGGGGGGGATTATTATTATTGAAATAACGTCTTAGCTCGGAACAGGAAATAAATACGATTAGTATATCCATTTGCAATTTTTCGGTTTGAAACACTCAAGAGAAATCATATTAGGTTTCATAACCTTTGATCATGTTGGTTTTACTTCAGTGTCTAATTGTATCCAATATGTCGCTTTTCTTGCTTTAATATGTAGTTACATTTGTTTAGGTTTTTATGTTTTTAACATGCATTCGGGTACTGTTTTTATTTAAGTGAAAGGTTAGTACTTAGCATATTTTTCAAATGAGGTAGTTTATCTGATAACGTTAAAAAACAAGGGAATATCTGTACATGTTCATAATTTGCACATTTCGGGAAAAATGTTTGCGCTAAACGAATGTGTAATTCTGTAAACATGACACTTAAAGATGCGTTTACAAAATGGGGGAAAACCTGCTGTGTTTTGGGTTGGTGGATTAAAACTGAAGAGTTACTCTGAGCCCTGCTTACATTATTTATGTGGTCTTATACTAGTGAAACGAAACTACTAGGAAGCTTGGTAGTAAAAGAGAGCTTTATAAATAGCATACCTGGTATAAGATCATTACTAGTAGACCTGTACAGACTGATGGCGTTCAACGTCTGTGAAGCAAACCCTTCGCTTCCACTCACCAACAAATCAAAGGCACATAATTGGTCAGTGCCGCACACGTGACGGATACGACTATCCAATAAGAATTTTGGATCAATCAGAGAAGGTGTGTAGTTATAGTTCGTATACGATGATTGGTTGTATCCCGGCATGTAGTAAAACAAAGACTCGTTCTTCTTGACACGCCCTATCATATGTAAAGAAAGAAAGCGTGTTATTTCTTCTCTTCCGGAGTTAAAGCGTTGGCTTTTACAAAATAGAATTTTTGGCGACGCATCGACCAGCAAAAACAAATAAAGAATAATAATAAAAGGAAAGAATGGGAAATAAAGGAAGAGAGGAAAATAAAGGTATGCGAGTGCGTGCACGTTTAGAAAAACACTCACAAAAATTCAGTGATATTGCTGGAAGCCATTATTTTTACATGAGATTAGAATGATGAGAGTAGGTATACTCGTAATGGTAGCAACAATAGATAGGTAGTACATCATGATAATAAAAAAAAAACATGTATCATATATCTGAAGAAATAGAATTGAAACTGGTCATAATAAAGTTGTTTTTCCTCAATTGTTTTAATCATCATTTATATATCATAAACATATCATAATGAATAACAGTGCAAGCCGGTTGGAAGGCAATCATGCATATTAATGGTGACGATTGTGAAAATGGTAGTCATCTATTCGGGGGGGGGGGGGAGGGTAATCTCTAGGACGTATTATTGCCCGGAGAGTAGTTTTCTGGATACATGTCTGAGGGCAATTATGCTAGGTGGTAATTATCCTCAGGGTGTAATTGTCCAAGGGGTTATTTTTCGGGGAGGGGGGGGGGGGGTGTTCACGGGGGTAATTGTCCTCGGAGTTTTTGTCCTAAAGAAGTAGTTGTCCTGGGGGGGGGGGGGCGTAATTGTTCTATGTGATGTTATTCTCCTAAGGGGATCCAATCCAATCCAAAAGATATTTGATATAGCGCCTTTTAATTGTCCTTGGGGATATTTCCGGGGGTTATTTTTCTCGGGGGTGGTTATCCTCGGGGCTGGATTTCCTTGGGGGTAACCGTCCTTTTACTAATGAATATACGATTATAGAACCCTTTCCGCAACATCGTCGTATATGTCCTATGTAATTCGCATTTTGTCTATCTGGAAAGACCACTATCTCCGATGATGATGTGCCTCCATAGAGTAACGAAATGCTAACGTCATATTCGTCCGTCGTTGTGGTTACTTGTTTTATACAACAGAGCCTGTGCATGCGGTTCACCGCAAAATCATTCATGCAACGGGCTAGAGCTGGGCAAATTCAGTTTTTCAGAGCTGGTGCAAAAACCACACCGTCCATTGTTTAGCAACAAATTGTTTGGAAGCAGCAGCCTTGACAGCTTCGTTAATACGACTATTCACTTCGGTACTTTATAAAATTACTGGATCCCGCTACATCAATGAATATGAAACAGGGGGCTATTTCACACATTTTAAATGTAAAGCTTATGCAATAACAGAAATTAGGAGTATCACGCAAGATCTAGAACAGCTTGCAAGCTTATTAATAAACAAATAGGGAAAAGGTATACTTACAAAGATTTCCAAACTCATGGAATATTGTCTCCATGGATGAGGTTGCCGGTATGATGACGTCATCATCAGGTCTTTGTAGATCATCACTCTGATCATCATTCCATGTTCCCAGCATGCCTTGCGTGTTGTATTTGAACCTGTTTGGAACGGTGACCAGTATGGTGAGCGCATCATCGTGTGTGGTCATTTTGAGGGCGATACCGTTATCAAAGACGACTGATAAACCGTCTGCTCTCAAATCATCTTCTGCTTTCACAGTCACACCTGGTTTGATGCAAATTTCATTCATGATAAGTATTATTTTCTTTAGCACTTTTTTGTCTAACTTCATTTGCTTTATCAGTATTTTATGAAATAGTTACTCCATTTTTAACGGTATTTGTTAAAGGTATTATATAAATATATATATACTTGTAATACAATAATATTTTAACATCTACATAATAAATCAAATACACTTTTTAAAATAATTTTTGTAATAATTTCAATATGATTCTAGAAAAAAAAGGAATTTTGGATCCAGATCACAAATATTTTGATAAATAGATTATATTTGATAAAAAATCAAATTTATATTATAAAACCTGCCAAGGAGTCTGTAAAGCATATTGATTACATTCACCATTTGACGGTCAACGGAAATGTTGGTTTAATAATTATGACTTACCGCGAAGATACCAAGTTTTCTTCTGATCAAGGTTCATTTCCTCGAAGTATCTTCCGTCCCTCCGGAAAAGTACAGTCATTCCTCGTCTCTGATTGGCTTCGACGTGTATGACGTCACTGGTGTTAGTCTTTGCGGCCACTGCGGTGAATATTGTAGCGTTCGGTGTTTCTGGAAAAATAGTGGCATGAATATAGCGCCATGAACTTATGTTCAAGTAAACATATCCATCATGTTAAGCCCGAACGAATCTATCAAATGAAATACGTCTTTATCTTTCCCGCCCCAATTATGTTATCTATTCTTCAATAGTTTGGTTATTTGATCCTAATGATACCTATCACAGAGAATTTTAAATAAATGGAAGACTTATATTGTTATCCCCGTGTTCGAACTTTAATATCCTTCCTCCCCTATCTATTAGTTTAATATATGTATCATTACTAGAAGAAACCTAACCCAAGTCATACATAATACATACACGTGTGTGTTTTCGTAGATATAATATATAAACCAAATAGTGTATAAAGAAACCCTAACAACAACGCTGACATATTACTTTACAGACGCAAAAGCATTCAGTATTTATACCTTTCATAGGTAGGCTCCTTGCTTGTAGTATAAACTCGTCTTCATTCAAGTTCGCCAGAGTGAATTCGTCATATCCGTTGAATGTGTAATTGAGACCGTCGAATGTAATGAAATGTGGGTCTCCAAAAGCCAACGCTATGCAGTAAAGAGTGATAGTGAACAGAGTTTGCTCTACATAATTGCTTGGTTTTTAATTTTCTGGACATAAAATATGAACACGAGAGCATAACTTTATTACTAACATGAATGTATCTGATCAGATGTGCGGTGGACTTTTTAAGTACCTCCATGGATATAAAAGTACCTCTATGGTTGTTATATACTTCTAAGAGATGTTAACTGCATTGATATAAGTCAAATGAAAACAAAATAGGGAAAAAATGAGGCAAACGCTTGAATAAAAATTGAAAGACAATAGACAATAGAAGACAATAGACAATAGAAGATATAGAATAGAAGAAATTATGATCACACATCTTCTTTTTTCTTTTATTAATTTCTTTCCACTTTTTATTCAGATACTTTCTGAACAAAATCTTTATATGTGACTCTCTATTCCCCTACATTCTCCTAAAACAGCGCCATGTACCCCCCCCCCCCTTCCCGGCTGCTATCGACTCAAGCTTCTTTGCTTATGATAGTTGGCCTCTGCATTTATCTTGATTATTTTTTACTTACCTCCATACTTTCAAGCTTTTAATTATGTATTTTTTTAAAAATATTTTATTTTGTGTGTATTAAGTTGTCACTCTTGATGTAAATCAATTATATTATATACTATTATTGTTATTTGAATGTTTTATATTTGATTTATCAATAAATGCAGAAACATCTGCTAAAAAAAAAACACACAGATAAGAAGAGAAAATAATGTATTAAGAGGGAGAAAAAAAATACACATGTAGTAGCAAAATTGGGAAAGAAAGCAAGAACTATTCAAAGAGGGAAAACAAAAGAAAATGGACTAGAATTAAACCCTACAGTACAGGAGCCCGTTGCATAAAACTTACCATTTATGGTAACTTTGCTATCAATGATAACTACCATGGTAACAGGGCTAAATAGCCAATCAAAATCAAGGTTTCCATGGTAGTTACCATTGGTGACATAGTTACTATCAATGGTAAGTTTTGTGCAACTGGGCCCGGGCGTATAATTATTACCTGGTTGAGGCGGGCGGTAGCCGTAGCAGCTGTTTGGCGGTCTGACGGTGCGGTAAAGATCACAAAATTGCTCGTTCTCGCTCTGATCGGCTACACAGCATTGCAAGTATGGCATTGTGTCAGCCAGATAGTGGGACAGAACTGGTAATGGGCCAAGTCCGGCAGACAGATAGGGCGAGGTGACGCGCTCATGTTGACGGTGTGAAAACCCGGCTCCTATCGCATCCAACTCAATCAGGTGACCGTCTCTGTTGTAGCAGCATTCCTGACCTGCACCTGAATGACTATTAATTGAAGTGAAAACCATTTAAACCTCTTTCACCTCACTCACACTAACGAGACTGACACAAGACCGACACAAGACCGATACCGGACCGACACCAGACCGATGCCAGACACCAGACCTACACCAAACCGACACCAGACCGACACCAGACCGACACCGGACCGACAACAGACTGACACAGGACCGACACCGGACTGACACCAGACCGATACCGACACCAGACCGACACAAGACTTACACCAGACCGACACCGGACCGACAACAGACCGACACCGGACCGACACTGGACCGACACCAGACCGACACCGGACCGACAACAGACTGACACCAGACCGACACCGGACCGACAATAGACTGACACCAAAACGACACCGGACCGACAACAGACCGACACCGGATCGACACCAGACCGACACAAGACTGACACCGGACCAACACCAGATCGACACTGGACCGACAACAGACTGACATCGGACTGACACCAGACCGATACCGACACCAGACCGACACAAGACTTACACCAGACCGACACCGGACCGACAACAGACCGACACTGGACCGACAACAGACTGACACCAGACCGACACCGGACCGACAACAGACTGACACCAAACCGACACCGGACCGACACCGGACCGACAACAGACTGACACCAGACCGACACCGGACCGACAATAGACTGACACCAAAACGACACCGGACCGACACCAGACCGACACCGGACCGACACTGGACCGACACCAGACCGACACCGGACCGACAACAGACTGACACCAAACCGACACCGGACCGACACCGGACCGACAACAGACTGACACCAGACCGACAACAGACTGACACCAAACCGACACCGGACCGACAACAGACCGACACCGGACCGACACCAGACCGACACCAGACCGACACCGGACCGACTCCAGACCAACACCGGACCGAACAACCAATTACATTACCCTCAATGGCCAAACATGAGTGGCGTGGAGTCGGTCTTGAGAAACCGGTGATACTGGAGTATTATTTACAAGTGTTCACTGTTTATTGATACACATTTAAAAACGCAGCGAGTCAGTGTATGTAATTGTGGTAAATAAGAAATATGGAAATTAGACGGAAAAATCATAGGGCGATGTCAGTTTCACCTCTCCAACCTATTTCTGTACAAATCCGTACAGACGAATGACAGTAGGACTCTCAGGCACATTGTTTTGACTGTTTTCAGATTATTCGTTTTCATTATTTTATATTATGTGAACTGTACGTGTAGGCCTAGCAATCTTTCAAAAGATTTCTCATTTTTGTTAACCCTTTTGCATATTTCTCCTATTTTTAATATAAATATTAGTTAATTAGGTGATATTTGACGGTCTCCCCTTTCTATAACTTTGATTTAGATAATTATTGATAAGTAAATATCAGGGTTTGTATGCACGCCTCAAGCCTTTGCCTTATATTGCACCACCTCTGTCTGTTATTATATTATCCATTATGTTACACATAGTGTGTTTATAGTACCATTCTAAATCTGTTATTTCTAGTTCTTTCATATAATTTGTTTCTTTATTTCGATCAACTAAGTAATGTGATGAAGATGTAGAAAGAAAGAAAGAACTTTATAAATACAATTGTGTCACCTTTAAAATGGCCAACGGAGGCTTGATGGTATGTGCATTTAAACGTTGGGACGTTTTATCTCTAACCACAGTGGTATAAATATCCTCATTAAATATTCGCATGACGTTGGAAATGAAATGAAAGGAAAGGTAGTAAAAAAAAAATTGGTAAGAATTATGTTGAATCAGAAATCATCACTGTGGATCACCTTGGAAAGTTGGAGTTTACACAGAACGTCGCACCCGGTCTGTCTGTTGAACAGTCCTTGTCTGTCCTGCTGAGTCGGCAATCTAAGGAAACGGTGAATGATCCTATATCTCTCCTTGCTTGTCTCTCTGTACATGGGCAGACTGGTCGTTGAGGGAGCCATTGATTAAGCTCATTGAGTTCTCGAGTTATCCATGAGTTACACCATGACGTCATGTTGATAGGATACAACCAATTGAGAGGGTGGATCTCGCTCCAAATGGCTCTCCTTTCGAGTCTGAAAAGGAAGAACGGTTATTATAAGAAGCTAATATAAAGATAAGGGTTCTAAGAATATACACATGATATTACAATAAATCGTATTGTAATTCCGAGATTCAGATGTTTCTCACGAAAACAAATCTATTGTCAATTTTATATGTTTAATATCTTATGTTCATATGAAATATCAACTTTGTACTGACTCGAAAAACAGGTTTTTGTGTGTGAAATGGATGAGTTTATAATTACGTGTGCCAAGCTTTTTCGACATATTTCTTGACTTGTTGTTCAAGTAAGTTTTTGTATAGTTATTCATTATTTGTTCACTTTAACATTGTTATTATTGTAATTGTTATTATTATCATTTTGTTTGGGGGACGGGGGGCGGGGGGGGGGGGGGGGGGGGGGGGGGGGGCGGGGGGGCGGGGGGTTCAGAGCTCCATCGTTAATTCGGAATGTTAATGAAGACTCAACTGTGGATTCTGCTGATTAATTGGTGAGCTATGTCATAAATAATTGTATCGAACATTACGACTTAATCCCAATCGAATAATTGGCAGACTTTAGGTCCTGGTGTTGATATTAAATCACGTAGTATATGTGTAGGAAGTAAGAACGGTAGTGGGAAATACTGACAGATAATGGACATAGGATGGAAAATACAAAACACAAAGCTTATGAACTCACGACTGATTTGCTGTATCTAGTGCAATAATGCTAAGAGCTCCAACTTTAAGAGAGGAATCATCTGTCTCGCTTTGTGGACTAACAGTGACCTCGAGACGCCCGGCTTCGTTTGAAGTTACCCGTGTTATATTGTAAACAGGTTCCCAACTGATGAAGTTGTTTGGGTCACTGGAAAACTCATAAACAACGACCTCAACTGCGTCAACACCATCGAGTTCGGTAGGGTTCCATGTTATAGTCAAATTACCATTTGGTGCTGCCGAGAAGGTTACAGGGGATGGTTCGCCTTCATCTACAAGTACACAAAGAAAAGACTCGGATTACTCGTCAAATGATGCAGGTTGTCATTCAATCATTATTAAACACACATTGGAATTATCTTATAGATCTATCAATTATTCAATCGATCAGCGAAGCAGCCGACTGACCAAGCCTGACAATTGATAAGTCTGTACCACCTACCTACGATGATGGTTCCAGCGTAAGGGAACGTCGACCCTCCGTCAAGTGAGAGATGGACATCAATGACCCCGGAAGCAAACATGGCAGGGGTCACGCAAGTAGCAATTGAGGTCGACGTCACAGCTCCGTTTACGATGGCGCCACCGAAGTCACAATGTATGACGTCACTCGACGGGTTCAGACATGGGACTGATATAAAAACCTGAGAACCCCCTAACATAGGAACTACCTTGGGATATACAGTCAGCTGTTCATCTGGTGAAATGAATGACAAAAGGAAAAGCGATGAAATTTAGATACAATAGGTTATTTAAATGGAAGGGAGGGAAAAAGACAAGAAAAACGTTTATTTCCAGGTGTTGATTGGGCACTGGTAAAAAGGAATTCTTTGAATACTGTGAGCACCGAAATTAGTAGCTCATCTAGAGCGGGGCTTATATTAAGCACCATGATCACCTTGTATGGTGGACATATGGCCGCTATAAAAAATACCCACTGTTAATTGCATAAATATCTGAAATAATTGAGTTTAGTGTATACATTTTAATTGTTCTCCAGTTGATATCATACCTGATTTCTGGCAAGCCGCGTCTACTATGTCAACCCCGTCGACTCTAAACACCCATGTCCCGGGTTGATCAATGTTCGACCTCGTTTCGATGTCGATGATACCGACTGGTCCAGAAATTTCGATCATATAATAATTGATGTTGTCACCAGCATTGAACCCAGCCTGACAAAGCAGATGAATACATAACACAGTTTTAATGAAATATAATTTTCATTTGATTTTAAATTCAATAATACTACCGTGATCTTACCCCCAAAAAACGAATATAATGGGAAAAAACACAATACAAATACGACACGATTGCAAAAGACTGTTGGACGTGACACTGTGTTACAATTATGTCTTGTGCTTTTGAGTTTATTGCATATTTGTATCGGCTCTTTCAGAACAACTTGCAACTTATACGTATTCAAAATGTAACATATTACAAAGAGCACGAATAAAAATGTACTTAAATTAGATTTACAATGATAAGAATCAGTATGACAGTCGATGAACCTGTTGAAAAGGGGAACTTATCGGGTGAACTCGGTATGCAGTGGTATGTTGGGAAAGAAAATGGGACTAGAAATGTAAAGGGACAGGGAGAGACATGAGGGCCTGAGAGACAACGAGATGGAAGGGAAGAGATGGAGATAGATAGATAGACAGAGAGAGAGAGAGAGATGGAGATAAAAATAGATAGACAGAGAGAGAGAGGGGGGAGGGAGAGAGAGAGAGAGAGAGAGAGAGAGAAAAGGAGGGGGTATGGGGTAGGAGAACAGACAAAGGAAGCTTATAGAGGGTACTTTCAATATCAACATAAACTCCATCTCTTAACATTCAGTATACTTGCCTGTGCAGTCTTATCATCCGTATCACTTGTTGGAGCTATAGACTCGTCACCGGACTCGTCACCATCCCAATCAATGTCATCATAAACCATTATCACACCACAGAAATCACCATCCGTCATAAGAATACACTGAAATGTATTCACCTTTAAGTGGGATTAAGATAACATGAAAGATAGACAAATGAAGTCATTGCCTCTATTATGACATTTGCACAACGTTCGTAATTTTTAATTGCGTTGTTACTAATATTATTGTCATTACAATTTTATTCGGCAAAGAAAAAAACGAATACAGAACAATGGTAGATTTTGAAGTGTGTCACATGGATATCGGGAAAAACAAAAAGATTAACTAATGCTACGTTTACACTATGTTCCCGGCGGCCACGGCAACCACGTTTCAGGCCACCGTGGACGAAACGAGATTGACGTGACACAACGCGGGGGACCGTATGGGCAAACGTGACAGGCCGTGATTGCCGTGGATACCGTGTCAGATTTTTAAACTGTCAAAAAAATTGCCACGGCAGTCACGGTGCGGATGAGAAACCTAGTAGGCCGTGATAAACCGGGATGAACGTAACAAAACGTGACAGTCCGTAATAGGCCGTAACAAAACTTGGGGGTGGTCCGTAGTGGGACGGTTTAAGCGCCCGGCACGCTACGGCGCGTTGCGTTCTACTACGGTCTGACACAACGCGAGGTCTCAGAATACCATGATTGCTATTGCTTGGGAGACCTTATTTTTATACCGCCGGCACAAACGTGCTCCAAAGCTGCCCTGCGTCCACGTTTCATCCGTACAAAGCCTTGACAGAACGTGAAAAACGTGTCAGACCTTGATCAGAACGTGGGAAACGTGAGGGACCCCATCAGAACGTGACGGGCCGGCAGGGAACGTTCTGGCATCCGTGGTAGAACGCGGGCCGAACCGTAGTGCGCCTTGAAGCCTCCGGGACTCACCAGCCCCTTCCCCCCACGGCCCGTCACGGATACCGTGGTAGACCGTGAGAAAACTTGGCAAGACGTAACAAAACTTGAATCCAGAGATAAAATTTGTCTAAATCCCACGGCGCACTACGTTTCGGGAAAACGGGGCTGCCGTGGCCGCCGGGAACATAGTGTAAACGTAGCATTAAAAAACTATAAACCAAAGATCATCTTTCCCAATCCGTGTGACTTCACATAAATGAATAGCACAACATACGAACATGAATTGCAGGTATAAGAGAAGATTACATAATATATGCTATTGAATCATACATGTGAAGGCTACTCGGGTAAGCGCCAGTAATTTAAAGCAATGCTTGAACTGTCGAATTTGAATTTACTCTTTTGTACGATATCACTCTTGCACAGAGCGTCAAAGACCGTGCGTAACGTCAGCCACGACGCCTCGTGTGCAACATACGTAATCATAATAATACTCTATGCTTTTATGGCGCATTTTTAAGCCTATTGACTTTTCAATGCGCTTTAAAAATATACATATTTAAAATATAACAAGATCATACAAGGAAAATGAGTAAACAAAAGCATACATAGAAAACAATAAAGATCTAACAAAGAGAACAATGACTTATCCTGTATGTAAAGATAAAGTGTATAGAATGCAGAGATTGATTGGTAGGCAGCGTAACATTTTCGAATGTAAGCGAGGGGAATATCAATATTTATGGAAGCCCTCTTTCTGAATGCATACTGGCTTCCTATCGCATTTTATGAGTGACTGTATTACTGTAACAATCAGAAGACAGATTTAAAACACTTTGAATAGCCTGCTTGACTGTATACGTACACGTGCAGCAGGATCCAATGCATCGAAATAAGCCACACTATCCCAAGTTACGATGAACATCCAGGTCGCTGTGAATGTATTCTGATCCGCGTACGCATTTCGTACAATCCTATTGGCTCGATCGAACAATGGTAACGTCTGATTGGTTAGAAGTAGTTGTCTGTACATGACGTCACCATGACCTAGACCCGCAGATGTATCGATATCAGTCCAGAATGGTGCGATAATCACACGATCATCACCAAGAGGGAAACGTTCGGGAGTGTAGGATTCAATTCCTTTGGAGAACGAAACAGCGCCATTGATATTAACCTATTCACACAAAGATAACAACAAAAATCATATTACAGTCAAGGACGTCATGGCAGCGGGTGGGAGTCCGGGAGAAATAAGAGCATAATATATTATTGGCAAATTTGTATGTGTAAAACGTCTTTTTTGTCACTTGTTGGAAAATCTCCAACCATGGTGGAAATGGTGAGGGGATTATCGTTTCTATACGTTCTCCCAGCTTGCTTTGTATTCTATATCCAAAAGGCTTGTTTACGTTTTTCCCCTTCAGGTATTCAAAATGCCAACATGGTGACTGTGATATGGTGTAATATTGAAGCCCTGAAAAAAAAATCGCGCTTCAAAATGATCAAGAAGTGCCTCAAAAAGTAAAACATCTTTGAGTGACCGGTTTTACCATATTCGTTTCCCCCAATAGACTGTAGTGTTATGAAAACTGTTTGCCAAACGCAAAATTTGGTTTCCATTTCCAATCATAAATATCTTGATGATCAGGCAAGCGATCGGCTTGTAAAAGTTATGGGGTTCCTGACTTACCTAAATGCTTATAATTTTCATTGCAGCATGAGCTAAATCCAGGATTTTATTTAAGAATCTGAGACAAAGTTACCGGATCCCTTTAAAATAAAATATAAGGTCAAGACGGTATACAACAGATAGGAACCAAAGTTTACTCACAAATAAGCTTTCGTATGGTACACCAAAGAAAGTAAAAATGTTGGAGATGGGGATTTCACCGGAGTTTCCATCGTCGCCTTTTGGAAGAAACGTATCACCTTCTGCTGATCCGTAAGGGAACGACTGAGCTGTATGATTTGAAGAAAAACCTAACAGAGAAAATATAATTGTGAATGTTAAAAAAATGGTGTATTCTCCATGAAAGCACGATAAATTGTATGTAGACCTATATATCAAAAGGAGGGGGAGAAATATCCATCTTTCCTCTCCCCTTCTCTCTCTCTCTCTCTCTCTCTCTCTCTCCTTCTCTCTCTCTCTCTCTCTTTCTCTCTCTTGTCTGGACTGTTTATCTACATGTAGATAGATAGTTTATTGGTTTCCACAATATCTAATTTTACAAAGAGTGTAACAACATATTGAAAATGATTATTTTATACATGTACATACAATGCCGGTACACACTATTCAGAATATTGTCCATTATGTTTAACTTAAGAGATAAAGTGGCGGAGCCTATGGAAAAGCAGAGCTTGTTGTGGATAGGCTCCTTAAAACTAAAAATGACATAATTAACTAAAGTAAAGTTTTCTCCTGTCTCCTCTTATCATCCTCATTTGGACCGAACATGACGTGATCCAAACGAAGACTTCTATGTCCGAAGGTCAAATTATTTTCAAAAAATTATATCTCGTTTTGTTCAAAATGTCCGAATCGTGGTTTGGGGGAGAAATGATCAGACGGTTTCTGTTTTTTTTAACAATGAAACTATGCCATTGCAAGTTGCTTGTTTCCGGTGATATTCATCAACAGTAGGTACAGAGTTCATATATTTTGTATTTTCTAAGGCGGGTAGTAGGCCTGATAATGCAAACATTTCCAGATCCTGTTGCTACATTCGGTTTTGCATTCTTGTAGACCAACCTGAACAAAGTTCATCGCTTGAATTTCCATAATATCTCACTAAATGAATACATTTAGAGGTATGTTTTTATAAAACAAATAATCTTTTCCTGTCAATATACTGCAAATTTAGTCCAAAATTGTCTTATGAAATGAATTTACACATAATCATGCATGTTCTTTAAAAAATCATCACATTAAAAAAAAGCATAGAACTCTATCATGCCCATGAAATGTGGTCATTAAAGATCATTCAGAGGGCGTACTTGGAAAGCAGTTTTGTTAAACTGAATGTACCTACCCTCTATTTTAAATAAAACTTGAGTAAATAAATAAATAAATATAAATCAAAGGGATTATTTTAATAATAATCTGGATTCTTTTTTCGTACCACACAGCCAGAAGAAAAAATGAATCGAATCAAATGACAATGCCTCCCCTCTATAGTGATCACATGTACTTATAATCTATATAAGTTATCAACTATATTGGGGATAACATTTTGAATACAAATTGAGACCTTAAAATGTTTTTAAATGCCCTCGAGCTCTTCATCCACATCCATGTTTCAATTCCCCAAGCAACATGAAGAAAAACCACGGTAACCATGCAGGATCATATTATTTGTTATTAAATACTATAATGTAATAAATCATACTGAATAGTCGTTGACCTATAAAGCTATACCTTGTTAAAATGATGATCTAATGCCTGGCGGGTATTGAGTTTCATCCCATGCATACATGTGCCAGTGTAGGGTTTCAAACCAGATGTGAATAATACAGAGATATCTGTGACTATTTTCTGAAGAATGTAAGTTAATTTTCCTGTTTTTTTATGAAGTGTTATTAGTATAGCGGTTTATTTAGAAAGGGGGAATGAGGAACATGAATTCATTTTCAACAGTACAGAAACAAATTTACATTCTTGTGTAGAAAAGCTGTGATAGAAACATGTAAGCGGCGTGTAGCTCTCCAAAATAAACCCGGATCCCGTCTTTGAGTAGGTTAAGAGTTGCGACATATCTAGATTCAAACACAAGTCCTCCAATCAATAGCAAACTTAAGAACTCCTACATCTTCAGTACGGAGTTGCAATTAATTTGAAATAACGATCAATTTGAATGAATTGCAATTTTTCTATGACGGGGCCCTGGGCTATCACAACTTGGAAAAAGATCCCATCTACCATCCCCACATATTTGTTATTAGTAAGGGGGATTTGCTCATGTACCACAAGCATTATACCTATAATCAGATACCATTTAATTCCGGGAACTGTCTATTTCGATTTGACACTTGGTTAATAATGTGAGGGTAGTAAGGATATTATGTTGCTGTTATGTGGGTTAACTGAAGCGTTTCCATGTCAGAGCGCAATAACCTCCCCTATATAGTGTTCACTATAACCGGCCTTTGGTGCTTTTGCCCTACCCCCCGCAATACTACACCGCATCCTGAGACTGAAGGTCAAAACTATGCTCAAAACTATTCATGTAAAAACATCAGATCAGAATCATTCCTTCTGTTCGTTGTATTGACTGTGTACTATCATCGTTATTTATACGGTCAATATGCATGTGCTGTAGATTGATAAATTGTACTTATGAAGATAAACATGAGAGAAGCGGAGCTTTGTACAGTGATTGTATATCATTTCCGTGATTCTTATTCAGCTCCCTAAGATGAATTCTATCTCTCTCGATAGTAGACACCCCCATATATCTACCCATCTCTCTCTCTCTCTCTCTCTATCTCTCTCTTTCTTTTTCTGTCTCTCTCCTCTCTATCCACCTTAAACTTTCGTCATATTATGTTGATAGATTGATAATGGTTATTACTATAAATCGTTATGCACGGTTCACCCTTCCTTTGCCCTTCCACCAACTCTTCTCTATACCAATATATATATATATTTCTATCAAGACTCGCTGTAACATCTTCTGTACATTCTGTTGGCATACATAAATGGAAATCATTAGTTTAAAAAACAAGGCGTTAAAACTAGTTTATTGTAATTGCTTATTTCGATAAGAGATCTTACTTTCCACCTTTCTCTCACTCTCTTTAGTTTGCTCTTCCTACTAACTCCCAACCCCTCCCCTCCCCTCTCTCTCTCCCCTTCCCCCTCCCTTCCCCCTCCCTTCTCCCCCTCCCCTTCCACGTGTAGCAAGTCGGGACTGGGAATGACACGTTTAAAGGTATAGTTCAGTTTTGGAAACGTCCCCCTCTCAAAAAATGAGATGGAAGCTCTTATTACCAATGATGTGAAAGATTATGTTTTGACTAATAAGTGATGATACAAATTTTGCCGGGAAACCGCCTACTACTGGATTTATTTGGTAAATTATCATATCTATCCGGCCTGGATAGATATAGGGTAGTCCCAGATACATCTTTCTGTGTACAGTGCTTGTAACTTTACCAAGAATGTGCCAAATTTATTATCATTTTGATGATTCAAAAACCTTGCAGTACACACCAATACTTATATGCTTTCACAATGCAATCGCTTGACCAGAACCGGTCTATACCTTTAAAACATAGAATTAGGAGAAATATATCGGATCAGAGCTAGCGTTGGAGGTTCGGCCGGTTCAGTATACGCTTGTTGCAATAAAGAAAGGTAAAACGAAGCCAACAACAACAACAACAACAACGTCAAGAAGAAGAACAAGAACAAGAGTCGCGACAATGACTGCGTTTGCAACAACAAATATCTGACGAGGAAAGATACACCCCTCCCCCCTGCTACCTTGTATCCTGTTTACAGGTGTTGGAGTATGTAAGATTATCTGGTCAAGAGTATACTATTCACCAGCAGGAACCTAATATGAGGTAAAGAACCTCTGAATTGGACTTTCTTTGAAAACGATCCCTTTATTCAAGAACTTGAACAAGGAAGTCACAAGAGAACTTCCTTTGGTTTGCGACGTTTGGCACGTCCGGTGTGCAGGATCACTTTCGAGTCTATATTTTAATATTTTGTCAATAGCTTGTTGGAAGAAATAAAGAGGCATTTCATTCATCAATTTATTTTTTCACTATTTAAATAATGTATATGATGTGTCACTAGAATATCCATGGTCCCACTTTAATAGGAAACACGTGGATGGACGGTAATTTCAAACGATCTATACGTTGCATGATCTAGTAAGTTGTTATAAATATGGGGGGGGGGGGGTGGGGGTGCGCGGGTGGGGGTTCCCACTAACAACCGGCTTGTAGCCCCTTATGTTGTTATTGCGCATGGATTTCTTGTTTACTACTATGACGATAAATTTTGATCAAAACAAGATGTGTTGTTGTCTCATTGTCATAAAGTGTCTAAGAACGAGACCATTCGTATTGTCGTTTCCCTTAACAAAATGATTATAAAGCGCATATTCAAAGACAGGAACTGCAAAGCATTAACACAAATATTCTTTACTTGTCTAAGGTATGATGATGCTAAGACAGTGACGTTAATGCTAAATGTACAATTAAAGATAATCTGAAAGTTTGAGTGAAAACAAACTATTATTAATGATAACAATGTGAAAAAACTGATCTGATCGATTCCTTAATTCTCCCAACTATATTATTACAATTTAATTACATTTAATATAAATGTAAATCGTCACAATGCAATACATTGGCTTCAAATAATATTCCAGACATTTCAGAGTTGAAAGATCTGGAAGCCTGTCTTATGTCTTATTTAATATCTTATTAAAATTAAAAAAATGTTTGGGAGAATTTACTGTTAGAGGGTGTCGCACAGTGACGCCTTCAAAGAAAACCATAAACATCTTTGTGGTTTGAAAACTTTTCAGAATGTTTTGCATGTTAGAGGGTTATCGCAGTAGAAGGAATATAATAAGTAACATATCATATACAAATTACGCAGTTTTTTCATCAATCTTCAACAATGTTACCTAGTCACTTTAACAAAACCAATTGTAACACGCATATTCATAAACGGGAACTGCAAAGCAATTTAGAAAAGAAAATCACATACGTAAAATCATAAAATACCGCATCATTGTCAATAACATTGCCATTGTTGTTTTTCTCCTCCTCCTCCTCCTCCTCCTCATCATCATCATCATCTCTATCACTATCGCTATCATCACTATAATCATCATCCTCATTGTTCGGTGTCGTTATCATTACTCTTCTAAACGATGATATTCATGTATACTTACCTATACATCCCCGGGCAATGACACTCAGGATGAAAGCACTAAGCTGTACTTTCGTCATCGTTACTCCGAGATTCGTAGTCGTTGATCACGCCGAGTCTTTTCTTTTTGTCAATGCTCATGTAAGTCCGTGAAAATCTTATTCACTCGTATCTTGAGCGAAGGCCAAAATTCTGTAGTCGTAGAAGTATAAAATTACATACGAAAATTAAATTTCGTATTTCGATTTCCTTGTCAGCAGACTGTTACAATGCGTATGCACGTAAAAGCATTGTCTTCAACCTTTAACATAATTAGAGGTTTTTGAACGGTACAATGTCCATCCAGAACTGCATTGTGCAACTCGGAATGGTGTGAAACGTTCTCCAAAGAACAATAATGTGTTATTCGGAGCTTCCTAATATTTTGATGAAAATAAGTTGTTCGTTGTTAGATAATTATTCATGTGGGGAGAATGGGATTAGCAAGTAAACGAAGACAACAGAGAGAGAGAGAGAGAGAGAGAGAGAAAGAGATATATTGGGGTGGTAGCGTAGCTCGGTCAATTTGTAGAAAAATATTATGAGTAAGTAAATCCAATCTGTGTTTATAAAGTATGAACAAAGAGTTTAAAGCTTTTTACACATATCGATATGAAGAAGTAGAAGGAAGAAGAAAAAACTTCCCCAAAAGACATTCGAGTTCTAATCAGTAGGCCTATATAAAATTCATTGTAATAAATTTAGAAACAACTCGAAATAGAACTGGCCATGCCATCAATTGACAAACACTTTAAACACTTTAAATAAATATCAATCACACAATATATGAAGTTGTTAACTTACCTGATAGTGTGATTAAGAAGACGTCTGGTTCATCTATCCTCTATCTAGATTGTGTGAATATGAAGGAAATCAACTATACTTTATCCGATCTAGCGTTGATATACTTCCTGGAAGGAGATACTCCCAGAGTTCCACGTAACCTGTACCTGACCCTGATCGGAAGATGTGTTTCATGATATGCACGTATCACATGGAAACTTACAATAGAAGCAAATTCTAATATTTTTAATACTGGGTATAACTAGTACGAGAATAAAGACACTTTTCTCAATTAGACAGAGAATTAGCAAATCTCCGAAATTCTGTGAGTTGAAAAAGAGTATAAGGTCATTGTCTCCTGCTATGTACATGTTTTAAACGGAGTGCATCAGTCTGATTGTTCTCTCTCTCTCTGCCCCCTCCCTACTCTCTCTCATCCCCTTCTCTCTCCCTATCTCTCACCCACCCCTTCTCTTTCTCTCTCATGTTTTATTTCTTTTTAAAGCTTACAATTGTGACTTGCTGCTGCTATGGACTTCTCATCTTTCCTGCAAAGGCATTTTCTCACGATTCTCGAGCGGTGCTCATCGACTAATATTTGCATGGACCTACTTCAAATACCGCGGGAAAGGTAGATATGAAGAATAGAACAGCTTACGATGTATTTTTCGAATTGAACATAGGTTTGATGCTACCAGACTTGTTTTAGACTGTATGATAAGAAGAAAAAGGAAACAATAATATTCGATTATTTCATGCTGGAATAAAAGGAAACCTGACACACCCTTGTTTTTCATGTTATATTTTAGTTTAATTTCATTCAGTATCAAAACAATACAAATAATTCTGCAAAATAAAATTTGTACACGCATTCACACTCACGCACGTTTGCAAACCACCATACACTCACACGGCAGAACACCCTCGCCCCAAACCCATACGCATACATACAAACATAAACTCTAAACATACAGCAAGATTACCTGCTCACGTTCATATCTTAAAGGTGATATCCATTTGCAGATTGTAAAATGTCCAATCAGTCCAGACCGCAACAGGACAAATAATTGCTACTGTATAAATGTAATATATTTTCACTTGGGGAAAAATGATGAAAGGCTCTCGAAAGTTGTTTTTTCCCCTTCCATCACCAGAAACAAACATACACACACCCACACGCACATCACTGATGAAAGGCACTCCGAATAAGTTCAATTCGAAATGATAAAATGATTATGCTGCTTTGCTTCATGAACACAGCGTCGAATAGCCTTTTTTGAAAATAAAAGGTAGGATATTCCATAACTGTGGAATAAGTAATTCGTTGGCTACCACCCAAACTACTAGAAGGACAACTCCCTATAGCGTATAGTTGTATGAAGGCAGTTTTGCTGACCAGCATTCAAAGCCATCAACCTCTATTTACAAAGTTTGACTAACTTGGTTCTAGATGGTCACAGCACGGCGTATATTTTGTTTTGTCCTTAGCCACCAAAGAGTATTGTCAAGTTGTGCCTAACTTGATCTGAATTTTATCTCAGTGTTTGATTTAAGTTCATCGACAAATTGAATGTCCGGTATTAAAAGAAGGCATTCTTGGTTAGGCAATTTCGTTGATTCACCACTTCAGATAGTGAACTTCATTTATCGTCATTTTAGTTGCATGTCAATACCAAAGTTTTCGAGAAACTTCATTGATAACCTATTATGTTGTAGGAAGAAATAGCGTTAAGCGTCCGGTATATTAGGTGAAAGCAAATGACCTGTCGTACTATTTAACCATGGAAATAATTGTCGATATAAAGAAAATCGATATAATGTCTACATGGAATAAATCAGAGGACTATATTTGACATTGAATATGGTTCGAACACATGCCCAGGCAAGCCAATTAACTCTATTATACTATCAATCCACATTAGGTAGGCATACCCTGGATTTTAAGAGAGAATTTCGTTGAATACTTGAGAGCCTAATAGTTATTAGGTAGTGCATACGACTATATGAGCTAGAATGGCAGAGGGCCAACTATTAACCAGCCAAGAATAAATTCAGCGGCATGATCACGGTAAGAATTAAGCAATTACAGCGCCCGATGTTTCAGAGGGTTCTAGGACACCTACCACCTGGACATCCACCCCCTGATAACCACCCAAGTCAACGAACCCCTATGACAACTCCCCCGGACAACTATCTTAGGGGGTAGTTGTCCCGGAGGGTAGTCGTCCTAGAGGGTGGTTGCCCTAGGGGGTAGTTGACTTGGGGTGGTTATCCAGGGGTGGATGTCCCGGGGGTAGGTGTCCGGATACGGTTTCAGAAAACATCTAGGTTTTCTTTTCTCTCATGTTTTGTAATGTAACCGAATCATACACTGCATGTTATTGTTCGAGATGACTTAAACTAAAATAAGTATTCTTGTATCAGCATTGGCGTAGCGAGGGAGAGATTTGGTTGTTCAAACACCCCACCCCCTGGCAAAAGGGAGTGTTTTAGAATTTTTTTGTTTTTTGTTGTTGTTCGAGTGGGGGGGGGGGGGTGATGTTGAGAAAAAAAAAGTGCTCACCCCCCCCCCCCCCCGTTGAGTTAAAAAAAAAATAGTCCTTTGGCGGCTTGAATCAAGTGTAGGAAATATAAAGAACCGGCCAGATTACAGACTACCATTCGATATGTACATAGGGCATCCGTTGATTTTACTGACGCAGTTGATCTACATGTAACCATTAACATATTGTACGAACTTTCATTACAGGCCCATATATGCAACGACGGGGTTATGTAAACAATACTTACGGTGTTACAAAATCGATTATTTTTTTGTCGGCACATGTATCATATAACGTAGTTTTTTTAAATATTGTGGTAAGAATTGTTTTATAGGAAGGCTTATCGAGCGTTATTTTGTTAACATTTTTTTTTTTTTTTTTTTTATTTTTTAAATCTCATTGTAGCCTTATCAAAGAATAATGTGATTGATGATAACTTATGTAAAGGAAAATGAGGACATTTTATTGAATCCTGGGAATACTGGCATGTTTACCTTTGACAGTAAATATCCTCTGCCGAAATCATAACTTCGGTCGGTAAATTCTGAATTTGTCGATTCACATATTTTGTTAACACTGGAGCATGCAATATTTGTATAATATACACGAATCGGCTCAACTGACATGATTGACGTGGGTATCAAAATAGTATTTTGATGAACCAATATGCAGAACCCACGCGTTTCGGGATTTTGTCACGATTAGGTGTCAATTGACACTTGCATCTCTCTGCTTGTGTCAACATGACAAGAAGTAATACTATGCAAAATGTCACCCCATGTTCCAACATAAAGTCAGTTACGATAACATGGATATTGCAAGATGGTTTAAATTGACTTTCCGCTGGCTTAATCTGACAAACGATTTTACAGCCTAGCGACCGGACTAACATGATGCGGGTAGAATAATTTCCATGATAGACTACGCGTATTATAATCTATGACAAAATGGAAGGAAACTCTACGAATTTTCCGAAGGATATCGATTTTGGTATTACTTGGACGGATATATTTCAACTGGTTTTTCTCTTTATTTTCTTTTTCGTTGGAATTTTTGGTAATGCTTTCATCCTCGCCGTTTACCTCAAGAAGAAGCGTCGCACAAGCACGGACAACTTAATACTAGCTTTAGCGTCTACAGACTTAACGGCAAGTATCCTCAAAGTACTACCAATGTTGCGTGTAGGATTCCCATCTCTAGTAAATGACGGCCTTTGTATAACTATTGAAATAGCGGATGAAGGAGCTGCCTTTGCTACTCTTTTCCTGACTTTAGCTATATGCTGTGACCGTTATATGGTCGCTTGTAGACCTTTCAGATGTCGACTGTCTACAAAGTGTGCAGGTATTTTGTCAATATCTTGCATTTCAGTCGGATTTCTTTTGATGACCCCTAAAATTCGAGCTGTCAGAGCTACGAAGCTCACACCGCTAAGTAATGCCATTTGTGATGCCAGGAGTAGAATTTGGGTCGTAGCATTATCTCAAGTGCTATACCCTACCGTCTTTATTGTCGTCATGCTCCTAACCCTGTCCCTCTACTGCAAGATCTTTATATTCCTACGCAGGCAGGCAAAGGTTCATGCAGACCTTTTACGTCGCAAACCGCATACCACATCTAACATGACAGAAATGCAGAAGCAACACGCAACAGTCATCGCATCTAGAGTTGATCCTGACAAAAACGCAGATGCCATTACCATTTTGGGTACGAAAAAAACCCCGACGAAGCCAACATCAGTTTCTGTAAGTGGATTTGTGAGTTCTGATATAACGGGACAGCCATCAGGGACGGCAATTTTGTCATGTCAAAGTAGACTATCCAAAGAGTATCAACCTTCATCTGAAGCTACGACGAGTGCGTGGATGTCACCTGCCTGTAGACAGAACTCATTGCATGATATCCTTAGAAACACACTTGTAGACTCCGAAATAAGTAACGGCCATTTAGAACACGAGGATACTCAACATACATCATCCAACGTGTCTAACGGCATCAAGATAGTCTCTACTGCTGCGTCTGGACATAGCGCGTCGAGACAAAGACTGAAGTCAAATAATGCTGCAGGCGTAGGTGTTGCATGGCCGTCAAAAACTCCGAATCATCATCCAAATGGACGATCAGGAAGAAAGACGAATGATATGGGCCGAACGACTACCAGAATGGTTCTTATTGTCTCTATATTCTTCTTCATTACCTGGTTACCCTGGATGGTCATTGGAGTCTGCTATTTCAAACTGTCGCAGCTCCTGAGCAAAGATATATTTAATGTCATGTTTCTTGTCTTTGGTCATGCTCGTAGCGCTAATCATAGCGTCAATATTTTCGTTTATTATTATGTAAACTTGCCTTTTCGAAAAGCAATTCGACATCTCATCTGCGGTAAAGCTATTTAGTATGTTTAAAGGTGAGGTATTTGTAGGGGGTGTTTCTGTTCAAGCAAATGTAACGTGGACTTCAGAAGGTAAACAAAATTTCCTACTGACCAAATAATCAACGAGAATTCTCTGGCTCTTGCATGGAGCTCCGTTCTCCGGGAACCACAGACTGTTTATGCTCAC